AAGTGTGCCATTTTCGTCAGTCGATCGACGACGACCAGGATTGCGTCATTCCCACTCGCCCCGGCCGGTAACCCCGTGACGAAGTCCATCGTCACTTGCTGCCAAGCACGCTCTGGAGGTGGGATTGGTTGCAACTGTCCCGCCGACCGCTTCCGGGTTGACTTCATGATCTGGCAAGTGGGACACGATGCCACGTGTCGTTGCACGTCGGTCAACATTTCGGGCCAGTAATAATACCGCTGCAGCTGCTGCCATGTTTTTTCTACTCCGAAATGTCCCGAGGTAACTCCGTCGTGTGCCTCCTGTAACAGTAATTCCCGTAGTAGTGTGTACCCTGGTACCCAGATGCGTTCGGTCCCAGCTTTTACGTAATAGACTCCCTTGGTTGCTGCGAATTGCTGCGAGTTTCCTCCTATGAAGAATGGATCTGTTTGATATCCGTGGGTAAATAGTCCTGTCAGTAGCGGGCTGGTCTGGGCGAGTAGTATCGCATGGATCTGGGCAGTGGGGCGGGTCAGTGCGTCGGCGATATTCGAGGCTCCTTTTTTATAGGTGACCGTATAATGGAAATTTGACTCGAGGAAATCGAGCCACCGAATCTGTCGTGGGTTGAGGTGGGGCTGTGCACGGAGGTACTGTAGGGATCGATGGTCTGTCCGTACCGTTACGTCTGCGCCGGTCAAGTAGCAGCGCCACACCTTGAATGCATGCACGATCGCGAGCATTTCGCGGTCGTGTATCGGGTAATTTCGTTCAGGCGGATGCAGTTTTCGTGATTCGTAGGCGATGGGCTGGAGGCCGTTGCCGAAGTCTTATAACAGTACGGCTCCAATGGCGATGTCGCTTGCGTCTGTAACAACTTCGAAGGGGCGATGTGGGTCAGCGATGCGTAGGACGGGTGGTGAACAGAAAACATGTTTCAGGGCAGAGAAGGCAGCATGCTCTTTCTCCCCCCATGTAAAAACGACCCCCTTGCGTAGTAAATCTGTTAGCAGGGCTGTTAATCGTGCCATGTCGGGGACGAACCGACGAACGTAATTAACGAACCCTAAAAAACTCTGCAGCTCCGTGATGTTCGTCGGGGGATGCCACGCTTTTACGGTATCCAGCTTCTTGGGGTTGATTTCAACTCCAGCCTCCGAAATAACGTGCCCTAAAAATTCTAGCTTATCCCGAAAAAACTCGCACTTGGAGCCCTTGGTGAGTAACCGATGTTCCTCTAAAATTTTAAACACTTCTTCGAGATCGACTAAGTGTTGCTGCTGGTCGCGACTATAAACGAGGATGTCGTCGAGGTAAACTATCACGCATTTATCTAAAAGTGGCCTTAACGCCTCGTTCATGGTCATCTGAAATGTTGCGGGCGCGTTGGTCAGCCCGAAAGGCATCACCGTGTACTCGAATGACCCGTACCTAGTCCTAAATGCTGTCTTGGCGCAGTCCGATGGTTCGACCCGAATTTGATGGTAACCCCCCCGTAAGTCTATTTTCGAAAATACCCGTGCTGTTCGCAGCTGGTCGATCAGTTCGTCGGCGCGGGGGATGGGGTATCGCGATTTGACTGTTTCTCTGTTGAGCGCTCGGTAATCAATGCACATGCGAAATCCTCCGTCTTTTTTCGGTGTGAACAGTATCGGTGCGGCGAACGGTGACGAGCTCGGTCGAATAAACTGCTTCTCTAACAAATAATCTAACTGCTTCCTTAGTTCGTCGAGCTCGGGCTGTGTCAGTCTGAACTGGCGCTATACAGTTGGCTGTGCCCCCGGTTCTAACTCGATCCTATGGTCATGCGCCCGCTGAGGTGGCAGTCCTTGCGGTAAATCGTCTGGAAAAATCCCCGGGTACCGTTTCAACAGATCCTGAAGTACGGGCGGTACCGCTGCCAACAGTTTCTGAAAATCGCTCGGCTGCTCCTCTTCTCCTACTAGTGCTATATCCAATGCGTACACGTCAGCTCCCGCGGCAACAACCCGTTTCATCGTGATGGCGTTGACGTGGACCGTTGAAGACTCGGGTGACCGCCAGCGAGGTAGTTCGACCCAGTTACGACTACTTCGCACGGTGCAGCTACCCGTCGTCCAGTCAATTCGCGGGTTATACCGTCGCAGCCAATCACGTCCCAATAAAATGTCGTGCCCATCCAGTGTCGTGGCGAGCATTTCCTGTGTAAACCCGAAGTTCCCTCCGGAGCGGATTCTTACTCGCTCCACCTTTTCCCGTATGGCCAGTGGCGTGCCGTCGACTAAGCGTGCGTCTATCTCAGGTAAGCAGCGGTTAAGTGTTAACTGCAGTTTCCGTGCGGTCGCGGTATTAACTAAACTGTGACTTGCTCCTCCGTCAATAAAAATCTTCACTGCTGCTCCCTGTATCTTCCCGTAGATCAGTACTGGGCAATCCGTCGCTGTACCCTCCTTATTCATCCGAGCCCGATCGATGGCGTGAATCGGTACTGTGACTCGGTGAGGGTCGGTGCGGTTGGGCGAGCAGGCAGTCTCGTCAGTAGTTGGCCCAACTTCTACTGACTGCTGGCGTTTCCCTGCCTCTGAGACTCTCTCCCCTGCTCTGCTCCGCGGCGCCTCAGCTCCTCTGGGCATTCGCTCTTGCGATGGCCCGGCCTGTTGCAAGCAAAGCAGCGCCCCTTGAACGGTGCGGCAGTTGCATTCGTTGCGACGGCGTGTACAGTGGCGTGCTCGGTCGGTCCCCGAGGGCGATGTCCGTAGTAGGACCCCGGTCTCGGTCGGCGTAGAATGTCGATTTTCTCGGCGAGCGCGAGAATCTCGTTGAAGTTAGAGAGTCCGCGCAGCATGATTTCGTGCGAGATATCCGGCTTCAGCCCTCCGATGTAACGGTCCACCCGCTCCGCTTCGTGCATGTAGCCGACCTGTTCGCAAAGTGTGAGAAAACCGCTTGTATAATCTTGAACCGACCCGAGCTGGCGCCAAGTGCGCAATCTCTGACGCGCCGAAATCGAAGCCGCGATCGGCTCGAAGCGCGCCCGTAGTCCTGCGCACCACGCATCCCACGTGCTGTATTGGGCGGTCTCGCAGAACGAACTCCAGGTGACAGCTGGACCCGTGGGCCCTTCCTCGTGCGACGGTGGCTCGTAGGCGCGTGGCGATGTCACAATGACTCGCCACCAGTCCATGGCGGGGCCCCTTAGCAGCGAAACTGCATACCGGATCTTCGCGGCGTCCGACTCGACGTAGTTTGCGTCGAAGAAGACGTTCATCGTGAAGACCCACGATTGAACCGTCGGACCTCCGCGTTGGCTTGGGTCGAAGCAGGGCGGGCGTTGCGGCTTGAGCGGCATTGGTGCCATAATGGCCTGTTCGCCACTTGTTGCCGCAAATTCCACGTGCCGACGGGCTTCCCGGGGCTCCCGCGGGCTTGGTGCGATCTTGCCTCCCCCCATGCCAGGCATCGGCTGGGCGGCGCCATCACTGGCTGCGCCTGAGCGTTGTCCCATGCTGTCGTGTTGTGTTGGTGTGCCGGACGAGATGATGATCGGCTCGTCCGATTGTGCAGATGCATTTGTCGGTGCGTGTGGTGTCGCCGGAATGTTCACCGTGGATTGTTGACGGGCGGAGTCACGTTCCGCCGTGAGCGTCGCGATTTCGAGCGCCGAATCTTCTAGTTGACGCACGAGACGATCAAGCTGCTCCTGCGTCAATGTGGCGAGCGTGAAATCGGCCATGGCGGGGGTGTCGGGCAAGCTCAGCGAGAGCCTCGGTTGTCGAGAGTAATAGGAATAACTAGTTAGAAGGTGGGGCCTAGGCTTAGTAGCCTAGGCCCGAACTTAGGTATCGAGCGGGATTTTCCCTAGGGGCGATGTATCGAGTGAGTTGAGAGAAAATTGGTGAAAAGGTGGGTTTCACTATAGGTTCAGGGGTACATATAGCATAGAAACACAATAAGGTGCACCACCAACAAAAGTTTACATAACTACACTAACTACAACTACAAGCAATTATAAAACATGACAAAATATTTCGACATCGGTCATGGCCGTGCGTGCTTACGAGAGAGCACTACGAGCGGCGGTGCTGTATCGCTGAGAGACGTCTACCCCCCCCAAAAAATTGAGATAGTGGGGAAGCGAAAGTGTGGATGCGGTCCGAGATGAGATCGTAGGCTATGAATACCAAGTATTACGTGTGCAATTGAGTGAACAAACGAGAATTGCACTATCGAAGCAAGAATACAATGAGCGAAGGCGTGAGCGAAGAATATATAGCGAAACTACAGTGGTAACGGTAATGGACTGTGGTTGTCGTGCGACGAGCCTGGGACTGAGGTTGGGAAAGTGTCGAAGCGGAGGCCCGGAGCGCGGGCTACCAGCCGAGCCGTGAGGTCGGGGTGCGATGTGCGAAGTTGGCGGGATGATTGTCGATGCGAGGATCGCGAGTGGTAACGGTGCTGACTGAGGTGCTACAGTGATGTACGCGTTGAGCAGGGATGCGAAGTAAGGAAAAGGGATTTTCCTTAGAGATAGCCAGTTTAGAGAAAGGCGTCACACTTCGTCAACGCCAACAGAGTGCGTTTCAATGAGCGTTTCAACGTGAAAGAGGTTTGGTTGCACGCTGGTGTTGGGATGGTTCGTTCCCAACGTCGATTGGCTCTTATTTCCCCAATAACCACGTGGCTTTGCGTGGATTGGGTCATCATGTTCCTCACCCACCAAGTTGTTCACAACTTCCACCCAGCATAACAAGCTGGGAGTTTGAAGTCAAAATTCTTCACAATCGATTCAGGCCGTTCATTCTTCCCGTCTAGCGGTCCTGCAGGCCGCCATGGCGCGCCGAGCACGCCTTGAGGCGGCTGTTCGACCGAGAATACGAGAATTCTAATTGTGACGAGGTTTGCAATCTTAATTTGTGACGAGGTGTGCAAGGCTAGCCTGGGTACTAGGCGCGCCAGCGAGCAGGCAGCGGGCGACAAGGGGAGAAGGGGTTCGGGGAGACGTGGATCGGCGGGTTGCGGGGGAGCGATCTCGCGACGCCATGAACGGCACGGGCGCAGGCATGGGCGTGAGCGGGGCGGGCGGGGCGCGCGTGGCGGAGCTGCTGGGGGAGCTGGCGGCGATGGAGGCGACGGTGTCGTCGCTGCAGAGCGACGTGAGCGACAGCGTGTACCTCGTCGCCAGCATCTGGCGCATCACCGGCACCACCTTCGTGCTCCTCATGCAGGTACCACCTTCGTGCTCCTCATGCAGGTACCACCCACCCTCCACTCGTGCGCGCCCCCTCTCGTGCACGCCCCACGCATGCTCGCTCCCACCCGTGCTCGTCCGCACTCGTGGGCTCCTCCACTCGTGCGCGCTCCCACTCATGCTCGCCCGGTCTCGTCTCTCCCGTTGGGTCTCGTCTCTCCCGTTGGGTCTCGTCTCTCCCGTTGGGTCTCGTCTCTCCCGTTGGGTCTCGTCTCTCCCGTTGGGTCTCCAACTCACTCCCCCCCACACCGCACGCCTTGTTGCCCCTCGCCTTCGTGTGCGGGTGGTGCGTGCAGCTGGGGTTTTCGCTGCTGGAGGCGGGGCACGTGCGGTTCAAGAACACGCGCAACATAATGATCAAGAACGTGCTCGACACGTGCGTCTCCGCCATCGCCTTCTGGCTCTTCGGCTACGCCGTCGGCTTCGGCGACGGCACGCGCGTCTTCGGCTGGGCCAACCCCGACGGCTCCGTGAGTGCCTTTCCCTGCGCCATGCCCCATGAGATGAGAGGCGTGCTCACCCCCATTGCCAGTGGTACATGGGTTGCAAGGGACATCCACATTCGCCTGCGCCTCTCTTTCTCCAAATGCACGCCTCCTGCTCGCACTGCATGCACATTACTATCCATCCTTCCTCCCCACCCATGCCTTTCCCTGCTACCCTGCATGCCCCCCCTTGCTCCCTGACCCCCTGTCCCCCCTGACAGGTGGCGTTCGCGGGCGGGCAGAACTACGTGCAGTTCTTCTACGCCTTTGCCTTCTGCGCCACCTCCGCCACCATCTTCGCCGGGGCTGTGGCCGAGCGCACACACCTCGCAGCCTACCTGCTCTTCAAGTGAGCGCCCTCTCATCTTCAACTCAACGCCCTCAGCTCTTTAAGTACGTTCTCTCTGCTCTTCAAATGCTCTCGCTCACACGTCCCCTATACACCATTCACCTCTCAACAACACATCATGTGCTCACACTTCCCTGTCACCCTGCCACTCTGCCGCCCACTGCCCTCGCCTATGTCATCCACACCCCCTACCCCCCTCCTCCCTGCTCCCCTGCGACTGCCCCAGTTTCGTGCTGGCGGCGCTGATCTACCCGGTGATAGCGCACGTGCTGTGGAGCAGCAACGGGCTGCTGTCGCCGGCGCGCGGGGCGGTGATCCTCAACACCAACGGCGTGCTGGACAACGCCGGATCCATGGTGGTGCACGTCACGGGGGGCGTCACCTCGCTGGTGGGCGCGTGGATGGTGGGGCCGCGCATCGGCCGCTTTGACATCGACGGCAAGGTTGTGCCGTTCAAGGGCCACTCCATGGTGCGATCATGATGCCATTCAACGCCACAGGAGAAGAGCACCCTATGACCATGCAGAACCCCACGTTAACACATGCTCATGCCATGCTGCGACGTGTTCATTCATTCCCGCCCTCTTCTTCCCATGTCACGTCCTCACCCAAGCCCGTCCCCCCTGCAGGTGTTTGTGGCGGCGGGCACCATCATCCTGTGGACGGGCTTCTACGGCTTCAACGGCTGCAGCGTGGACTACCTGGGGGAGGACCCGCTGGACTGGAGCGCCGAGGTGGCGCGCGTGTGTGTCAACACCACCATCTGCGCCGCTGCTGCCGGGGTCACCGTGTGGACGCTCACGTACCGGCGCCGAGAGCCCGTGCCCGAGGACACGTTCAACGGGGTCATCGGGGGCCTCGTGGCTGCCTGCGCCACCAGCTCCCTCGTTGAGCCCTGGGCCGCCTGCGTCATCGGTGTGCCTCTCACTTCCTGCTCTCTTTGCCTCTCTGCATCTTCCATCTCCGCTGCAGTTGATTCAGGTCTCGCTCCTGCCACATGGCCCCCCTCCTCTGCCACCCTCGTCCCTTCATTCTCGTCTCGCCATTACTCTGCCTGTGCATGTGAGCAGGCATGGGAGCGGGGGCACTGTACCTGCTGGGCACGTGGGTCATGCTGCGATGCCAACTTGATGACCCCGTGCAGGTATGACCCCGTGCAGGTATGACCCGTGCAGGTATGACCCGTGCAGGTGTGACCCGTGCAGGTATGACCCCTGCAGGTATGACCCCGTGCAGGTATGACCCGTGCAGGTGTGACCCGTGCAGGTGTGACCCGTGCAGGTGTGACCCGTGCAGAACTCTAATCAGCTGTGCACATATCTGCATAACTCCACCCACCTATGCTCGCTTCTGTCACTGTCATTCCCACCGCCTCTCACCCTCACCCCCCCCAGCTCCCCACCCACCCACCCCAACCCCTTCTGTGCGTCCTCAGGCGACGCCGGTGCATCTGGTGTGCGGGTCGTGGGGCGGGGTGGCGGTGGGGTTCTTTGCGAGTCCGGCCAACATCAGCCGCACCTACAACATCGCCCAGCCCCTCTCCTGTGGCGTCTTCTACGGCTGCTCCGCCTGGCAGCTCCTCGTGCAGGTGCCATGTGCCCTGTGTCTACCAGTGCACGTGTGTCTACCAGTGCACCTGTGTCTACCAGTACACGTGTGTCTACCAGTGCACGTGTGTCTACCAGTGCACGTGTGTCTACCAGTGCACGTGTGTCTACCAGTGCATGTGCGCCCATTCTTCTGTGCACTCTGGCGCCTGCCAGCCACTAGCGTGCTCTCCCTGCGTCGTAGTTTACCTTCATCTCACCCCCCCTCCCTTCCCCCTCACCTTGCTTGCTTTCTCTCTCTCTCTCACCCCCCGGGGTCCCATGGCACGGCAGATTCTGGGCTTGCTGATAGTGTACGCGTGGGTGGGCGCCACGGCGCTTTTCCTCTTCTACGGGCTGCACTTCTTTGATGTGCTGCGCGTCAAGCGCCACCAGGAGGAGGTGAGCCCAGGGCGCGTCAAAAAGAGGGGCATGCCACCAGGTGTGGCCAGGGCGTGACGCAAGGCAGGGGGGCAGCAGGGGGTGATGGGGTTGAGTGAGAGTCATGGGAAGGCAAGGTGTGGGAGGTCGAGAGCAGGGAAGCTACTTACACGTATGCTTTTTCTCTGTTGATTATTGCATTACCACCACACATGCTTCTCGCCCCCCCTCATTTTCCCGCTCTCTCCCCCTGCGCCCCTCGTGCCACCCTCATCCCCCCCCATGGCAGGTGGGGTTGGACGTGGTGTTCCACGGGGGGGACGAGGCCGACGACGTGGAGGGCGACCAGCACGGCCACGCACGCCGCTTTGCCTCCCGGCGCTGGCAGCAGCTCGGCCTCTCCACCCTCTCCGCCGTGCCGCGCGGCTTCTTCAGCCCCTCGCGCTGGCTACGCGCCTCCACGCGCCTCTGCTCGCGCGACGGCCGCAGCTCAGCGGACGGGGAGGGCATGAGTGTGCGCAAGCGGCGGGACGTGTGGCACCGGGCGCTGGACAGCACGGGGCTGGGGCAGCTGTCGCTGGCCATGTACGAGGCCAACTACGTCATGGAGGACGCCGTTGAGGTGGAGGCGGGGTCGGGCGGCGTGTACATCGGCGTGCATGATGGCCATGGCGGCAGTGAGACCGCTGAGTTCCTGCGCCACACACTCTACAACAACCTCAAGAGTGCGTTCGCTGCCCCGCCTGACCGCCATGCTCTCTCTACTGCTCCACTAGTTCCGGCCCATCTGCTGCTTGCATTCCCTCCACTCACTCTTCCACTCCTCTCTCGGCCCCCCGATTCCCCCCACCAGAGGAGTTCCTACGCGGGGGAGGAGCGGTGTCGGTGGAGGCGCTGCGGCGGGGGTTTGCGGAGACAGAGAGGCAGTTCACGGCTCGTGTGAGGGACAGCTTCCTGGACTCGCCGCACCTCGCCACCGTGGGGGCGTGCTCCGCCGTCGCCATCGTCACTCGCAGCGCCCTCTGGGTCGCCAATGTGGGCGACTGCCGGGCTGTGCTGGGGCAGGTGAGACTGCCGTGCTGTGCTGGGGAATAAGTGGGTTACCTGGACCTTTTCACCCTTCACTCACCCATCCCTTTCTCCCACCCCATTACCACCTGCTCCCCTGCCCGTCCAGGTGCGGCACACGGGGGACGGGCTGGAGTGTCGAGCGCTGCAGATGTCGGAGGACCACAACCTGAGCTTCCAGGCCATCCGCGACCGGTACCGCGAGGAGCACGCCGACATGCCCGACGCCGTCACGGAGAAGCGCGGGCGCTACCGCGTGAAGGGCAAGATCACCGTCACGCGCGCCTTCGGGGACCTCTACCTCAAGTCGCACGACTTCAACCGCGAGCCGCTCTTCTCGCGCTTCCGCGTCGCCGAGCCCTTCAACCCGCCGCTGCTCTCCACGGACCCGCACGTGGCGGTGCGCCTGCTGGCGCCACACGATGCGTTTGTGGTGGTGGCATCGGACGGGCTGTTTGAGCTGCTGAGCAACCAGGAGGTGGTGGACATGGTGGCTGTCTCCCCGCGCAAAGACATCGCCCGCCAGCTCATCCGTGCTGCCCTGCGGCGCGCGGCGGAGCGCACAGAGGTGCCGTACGGCGAGCTGCTGCGCATGGCATCGGGGCAGCGGCGGTCGTACCATGATGACATCACCGTGGTTGTCTTCTTCTTCGACCATGATGCCATCCGCAAGGAGGCTGCCCGCAACCAGCCACAATGGACCAAGGTCAGCCGCCCATTCCCTCCCCGCTCTCCCCATGAAGTCATTCCCTCTTCCACCTCGCCCCCTCTCTGCCGCTGCATCTCATCCCACTTTGAGCATTCCCTTCCGCCCCTCTGCCCTCCTCCGCCCCTCCCCTCCGCCCCTCTGCCTGTGCATGGGAGCAGGACGTGTCACTGAAGGGCGGGGTGAGTGTGGACGCAGCGGGGGCGGTGGTGAGCGACTTCAACGTGGTGAGCAGCGTGCACGGTGGCACCGCTGCACGCTCCCTGTTGGCGCGCTCCATCGGCTCCACCAACAACCTCGCTGCCGCCTCCACTCTCAGTGCCTCGCTCATAGAGGACTCGGTGCTGGAGATTGAGTAGAGCACGGCACACAAGAATATGCAAACATATATCATTTGTATTTATTAATTATTATTATGGTATTCTCCTCTGATGGACATCATACGGTATGTATGCAGCAGTTTAGCCTTGCTTGCTGGCTTCCTTGGTGCCATAGCCAAGCCACCATCCACCCAAGCAGCTACGGTAAGCACGTTGGTGGGAGTGCAGAGCAGGCCAACGCACTGCCCCAACGGGGGCTTGTTCGTCAATTGCTCCCAGAGTGTGTTGCTTTAGGCTTGACCTTTCTTGTGTCCAACTGTACGGTACTGTGGGCACAAGATGCTGCCTGCCTGTCCATGAGTCCAACAGTGAATAAGCACATGGTTATGTTGTGTTTCCAAAATTGTGCCACTCAATGGGAGCAATTCAAAAGAGATCCATCATTGTTTGTTGCATGCAAAGCAAACCATGTAAAATAAGTACATCAACTGGAAGCAGGTATTTACGGTATACATAAGAATTGCTTGGGTTAGTATGGTATTCTGACGATAGCTTTGAGAGACGGGAATCACGGGGCCATGGCCTAAAGGCAAGCCAAATGGCATTATTGGGACAAGCATAATCAAGACCATATGTTGACGTGTGCTGCCATGTGCTGCCATGTGCATTCATGAACGCACGCCCCATGCAGGGCATCACAGGGGGGCGGTGGGCGGCTGCCAGGGCAGCAGCTCGCTGCGAGGGGCCCACATGGCCACGTCTCCATCGGCGTCGTCGTCGTCGCCCCTCAGAATGTTGACCACACCACGGCACCCGCTGCTGCCACAGTTGCACGCCAGCTGCTCGTCCTGCGAGTCAAACCTGAGAGGGAGGAGAGTGGATGGATCACGGTTGGGAGGCATGGGGGCGTGGCTCAGGAGGCATGGTGGCATGGTTGACGGGGCATGGTTGAAGGGTGAGAGGGCAGTAGATGGATCAACAAGGCGATTGAGAATGGGCATGCGGCAAGTGGGGGCGAGGGGGGGGGTGGGGAGGGGGAGGGGAGGGCTCAGGGCCGTGCCTGTAGTCGTAGGTGAGCTCCTCGCCAGCCATGATGTCCCGCCGGGCGAAGATGACAATGCGCTCCTCCGCACTCGCCTGCACCACCCGCGAGTAGCAGTTGGGCTGCATGGGGCGCAGGGAAGGAGAGGGGGGGGATGGAATGGCAGGATACTTGAGACGGGAATGAGGGGTGTTGTGCGGGACACATGCAGGCATGGGCAGCTGGGAAGCCGGTCCGTTTTCAAGTGAGCGACATGGATGACAGGAGAGAAACAAGGCGAGAGAGGGGCTGCAGCACAGCCAGCACACGGCATGCAGAAAAGAGCAGAGAGCATGGATGGAGTGGCACTAACGTTGCAGGAGTGGTTGATGAGGTGTGCTATGGTGCCCGCCTTGGTGGCGTCCACCACTCGGTTGCTGTCGATCCGAAACATGTACGTGCCCGCTCCCTGTGCCACACCCAACAGCCGTTCGCCATGCATGCACCGCACACATATGTGCCACACATGCATCACACACAGCGTGTGAAAGCAATGCACCATGCATCATGCATCAAACACCACGCCCATACATCCATCAGTCAGAGAAACGATGAGTAGCGGAGAGATGGAGAAATGACCCAATGCGAGGGGAAAAGAGTGAGCACGGAAGTGAAATGGTGCAGTTACGGGGTACAGCAGTGCAGGCAGCAGCATGCGTACCACGAGTGAGTCATAGCAGCGCCTCTCCCTCAAGTCTGCCACCACTGGCCGCACCACCTCGCCCCCGTACTCTATGATCTGATGGGACAGCACAGCATGGGTAGACAGCATGAGATACGGAGACAGGTTTTGAGATACGGAGACATGCTTTGAGATACGGAGACATGCTTTGAGATACGGAGACATGCTTTGAGATACGGAGACATGCGTTGAGATACGGAGACATGCTTTGAGATACGGAGACATGCTTTGAGATACGGAGACATGCTTTGAGATACGGAGACATGCTTTGAGATACGGAGACATGCTTTGAGATACGGAGACAGGTTTTGTCAAAGACGAGAAAGAAGGAAGACATTCAGGTGAACACGAGTGGAGCAGGGCAAGGCAGGAAGTGATATCACATGCTGAAATTCATGGAGCATGCAACACATGCCATGAGACGCGAGATTTTCCCAGAGACGAGCAATTGCACGTGCAGGGTGGTGGTGGCAGTGGGCACTCACCATGTCCCCGGCCCGATGAGGCGTCTTGGCAAACACACCCCACCCATGGATGGCTGACTTGCCTGCACGCCCACATGCACACACAAGGGAAGAACCGCATGGGACCAAAGAAAACACAATGAAGGAAGAGCGTGTGCTGGCACGACCGGCACACACATGCACCAAATCACCAGCACGGCACGGCACGGCACGGCACGGCATCCCCATCCCTACCATCATCACTGCCCGCCCACCCACTACCTGCCCGCGCACACATGCACCAAATTACCATCCCTGCCCCCAACACACCGAAGGCGAGGCGCTGCTGCTGGGTGGACTTCATGCGGCGGAAGCGGTCCGACATCGACCGCACCTCGCCCTCCCCACTGCCCGCCTGCCCCTCCTGCCCCTCTGCGCCACCCACCAGCCCCGAGTGCAGCAACCGCCGCAGCCTGCTCACATGCACGCCCCCCCCCGGCCCCACGTCCCTCACACCCTCCGCGTCACGGCACACCTCGTGCTGCCCTGCCCTGCCGCGCCCCTCCCCCACTGTGCCCACATGCCCGTCCTTGGAGCCGAGCTCCTGGGCGGGGTGGGAGGCGGCGTGCTGCATGTGTGCTCGAACCGCCTCCACCACGGAGGGGCCGTGCACGCGGCGCTGCTCCTGGCGGCGGCCGCAGATGGCGAAGGGCACATTCTCCAGAAACGACCGCTTCGCCAGGAACGCCGCCACCGCATCCGGCTCCCTGCGCCCCCTCCGTATGCGTGCGTCAAAGGGCTCTGAGGGATGGTGGTGGGTGGGGAGGAGGGGCAAGAGAGAGGGAGAGGTGATGCCAATTGAAGGGGCGGGGGGTGGGGGGTAGGGAGGAGGGGGAGAGAGCGGACGCATATACAGGTGCAAAGGGGAAAATGGCGAAAACAAGTTGTGGTCTTTGCAATCTATCTCACCTGTTCGAGCGCACAGCACTCTCTCTCCGCCCGCCCGGCCACCGAGTGGCACATCCCGCCGGCTGCTGTCCATCTCACACCCGCCCTCGCTGCTACCCCCTCCTGTTCCACTGCTCTCACTCCACCCACTCTCGCTGCCACTCCCACTGCCACCTTCATTCTCCCCTCCTTTCCCCTCTCTCCCCGCCCTTGCACCACCACTGCTCCCATTTTCCCTCTCACCCTCTCTACCCCCACCTCCTCTATCACCCTTGCTCCCTCCCATCCCCTCTTTCCCCTCAGCCTGCCCACTGCCCAGAGCAGCAGGGGCGTCGGAGGGGGAGGGGAGGGGCGAGGGAGAGGGGTGGCATAGAAGCTGTGCCATGGGGAGCACTTTGGGGGGCGGGTCGGAGGGAGCGGGGGAGGCAGCAGCAGCACCAGATGTGGCTGGGTCAGACGCGGGGAAGGGCGGGCGAGGGGGAGCAGCAGCGGCGGTGGGTTCGGGGGAGGGGGAGGGCGCGGAGGGGTGGGGGGGGAGGGAGGGCGTGGTGTGGAGGGCTTTGGCGCGCGCGCGGTGGCGCGGGCAGAAGCAGATCATGGCCACGGACCCCACCACCGTGCCGTGCAGCCGGCTGCGCTCCATGCTCTCCTCACTCATGTCCAACGTCTGCCCACAGGCGGGGCGGACGGGGGAGAGGAGGAAGGGGACGGGTGAGTTGCTGTCCATGCTGGCCTCGCTCTCTCATGTGCATCGTGTACGAGGGGTTAGGAGAGAGGAATTCATGGGTTGCTGGATGAATGATGTGTTAGGGATGCTCTCACCAGCATGGGGTAGCCCTTGAGTCGTGCTCTCACCAGCATGGGGTAGCCCTTGAGTCGTGCTCTCACCAGCATGGGGTAGCCCTTGAGTCGTGCTCTCACCAGCATGGGGTAGCCCTTGAGTCGTGCTCTCACCAGCATGGGGTAGCCCTTGAGTCGTGCTCTCACCAGCATGGGGTAGCCCTTGAGTCGTGCTCTCACCAGCATGGGGTAGCCCTTGAGTCGTGCTCTCACCAGCATGGGGTAGCCCTTGAGTCGTGCTCTCACCAGCATGGGGTAGCCCTTGAGTCGTGCTCTCACCAGCATGGGGTAGCCCTTGAGTCGTGCTCTCACCAGCATGGGGTAGCCCTTGAGTCGTGCTCTCACCAGCATGGGGTAGCCCTTGAGTCGTGCTCTCACCAGCATGGGGTAGCCCTTGAGTCGTGCTCTCACCAGCATGGGGTAGCCCTTGAGTCGTGCTCTCACCAGCATGGGGTAGCCCTTGAGTCGTGCTCTCACCAGCATGGGGTAGCCCTTGAGTCGTGCTCTCACCAGCATGGGGTAGCCCTTGAGTCGTGCTCTCACCAGCATGGGGTAGCCCTTGAGTCGTGCTCTCACCAGCATGGGGTAGCCCTTGAGTCGTGCTCTCACCAGCATGGGGTAGCCCTTGAGTCGTGCTCTCACCAGCATGGGGTAGCCCTTGAGTCGTGCTCTCACCAGCATGGGGTAGCCCTTGAGTCGTGCTCTCACCAGCATGGGGTAGCCCTTGAGTTTGGCGCAGAGCGGGTGGAAGGCGGTGTAGCACTGCCCCGCCGCGCACTGTATGCACGCCCCGTGGGGGATGCGGCACACACAACACCGCAGCTGCCACCGCGCCTGCAGGGAGAGGAAGGGCGAAGAGGGGGAGGGGAGGCGGCGTGGCGGGGAGAACGATGTTGGTAATAAGCATGGAAAACGTTGGGATGACTTGAGAGCGAGCGTGATTAATATCAATATGGAGACGTGCATTGATAGGGGCAGTGGTTTGAATGGTGAAAGGTGAGTCGTGCGTGGTGAGTGGTGAGTGGTGAGTGGTGAGTGGTGCATGGCGAGCGCACCTTGGGGATGTCATCAAAGCCAGTGACGGGCTCCATGCGCTTGATGTTCACAAACGACGTCTCTGTGTGCCGCCACGGGTGGGGGAGGGGTCAGGGTGGATGGACGAGGGTGAGGGTGGGCGGACAGCAGGGCAAGGGAGGGGGGACAGCAGCGATTACATGAAGTGGGCATGAGGGGCGAAGCAACAAACGTGCCTACTCCACTGGTTCTTCTGACACAATCTCCTAATGCTGCATTCCACTCGCTTCCAGAACCCGTTTGACTAACCCACCTGGGATCCAGAGAGAGCATGCCAGGTGCGCCCACAGCCCATGCACCGTCCGCTTCATGGCTCCCCCTGGTCAAGTGCACGGGGATGGGGGTGGGCATGAGGATGGGCATGAGGACGGGAATGTGGATGGGCATGGGCATGGAGATGGGCATGAGGATGGGCATGGGGATGGGCATGGCCATGGGGATGGGCATGGGGATGGGGATGGGGATTGGCATGGGCATGGACATGGGGATGGGCGTGGAGATGGGGATGGGCATGGAGATGGGGATGGGCATGGAGATGGGGATGGGCATGGAGATGGGGATGGGCATGGAGATGGGGATGGGCATGGAGATGGGGATGGGCATGGGGATGGGGATGGGCATGGGAATGGGGATGGGCATGGGGATGGGGATGGGCATGGGCATGGGGATGGGCATGGGGATGGGGATGGGCATGGGGATGGGCATGGGGATGGGCATGGGGATGGGGACGGGCATGGGGATGGGGATGGGCATGGAGACAAAGGTCACGGACAGGACGGGATAATCTGGTGGACAGCGAACACGCGAGGGTGGAGAAGATGGGAGGGCCAGGACACGGAGTGGGCGCTGACCTTGCACGGGGCGCTGACCTTGCACGGGGCACTGACCTTGCACGGGGCGCTGACCTTGCACGGGGCACTGACCTTGCACGGGGCGCTGACCTTGCACGGGGCACTGACCTTGCACGGGGCGCTGACCTTGCACGGGCGCTGACCTTGCACGGGGCACTGACCTTGCACGGGGCGCTGACCTTGCACGGGGCGCTGACCTTGCACGGGCGCTGACCTTGCACGGGGCACTGACCTTGCACGGGCGCTGACCTTGCACGGGGCACTGACCTTGCACGGGGCACTGACCTTGCACGGGGCACTGACCTTGCACGGGGCACTGACCTTGCACGGGGCACTGACCTTGCACGGGCACTGACCTTGCACGGGGCACTGACCTTGCACGGGGCGCTGACCTTGCACGGGGCGCTGACCTTGCACGGGGCACTGACCTTGCACGGGGCACTGACCTTGCACGGGCGCTGACCTTGCACGGGGCACTGACCTTGCACGGGGCGCTGACCTTGCACGGGGCGCTGACCTTGCACGGGCGCTGACCTTGCACGGGGCACTGACCTTGCACGGGCGCTGACCTTGCACGGGGCACTGACCTTGCACGGGGCACTGACCTTGCACGGGGCACTGACCTTGCACGGGGCACTGACCTTGCACGGGGCACTGACCTTGCACGGGCACTGACCTTGCACGGGGCACTGACCTTGCACGGGGCGCTGACCTTGCACGGGGCGCTGACCTTGCACGGGGCACTGACCTTGCACGGGGCACTGACCTTGCACGGGGCACTGACCTTGCACGGGCGCTGACCTTGCACGGGCGCTGACCTTGCACGGGGCACTGACCTTGCACGGGGCACTGACCTTGCACGGGGCACTGACCTTGCACGGGGCACTGACCTTGCACGGGGCACTGACCTTGCACGGGGCACTGACCTTGCACGGGCACTGACCTTGCACGGGGCACTGACCTTGCACGGGCACTGACCTTGCACGGGGCGCTGACCTTGCACGGGGCGCTGACCTTGCACGGGGCACTGACCTTGCACGGGGCGCTGACCTTGCACGGGGCGCTGACCTTGCACGGGGCACTGACCTTGCACGGGGCACTGACCTTGCACGGGCACTGACCTTGCACGGGGCACTGACCTTGCACGGGGCACTGACCTTGCACGGGGCACTGACCTTGCACGGGGCACTGACCTTGCACGGGGCGCTGACCTTGCACGGGGCACTGACCTTGCACGGGGCGCTGACCTTGCACGGGCGCTGACCTTGCACGGGGCACTGACCTTGCACGGGGCGCTGACCTTGCACGGGGCGCTGACCTTGCACGGGCGCTGACCTTGCACGGGGCACTGACCTTGCACGGGCGCTGACCTTGCACGGGGCACTGACCTTGCACGGGGCACTGACCTTGCACGGGGCACTGACCTTGCACGGGGCACTGACCTTGCACGGGGCACTGACCTTGCACGGGCACTGACCTTGCACGGGGCACTGACCTTGCACGGGGCGCTGACCTTGCACGGGGCGCTGACCTTGCACGGGGCACTGACCTTGCACGGGGCACTGACCTTGCACGGGCGCTGACCTTGCACGGGGCACTGACCTTGCACGGGGCGCTGACCTTGCACGGGGCGCTGACCTTGCACGGGCGCTGACCTTGCACGGGGCACTGACCTTGCACGGGCGCTGACCTTGCACGGGGCACTGACCTTGCACGGGGCACTGACCTTGCACGGGGCACTGACCTTGCACGGGGCACTGACCTTGCACGGGGCACTGACCTTGCACGGGCACTGACCTTGCACGGGGCACTGACCTTGCACGGGGCGCTGACCTTGCACGGGGCGCTGACCTTGCACGGGGCACTGACCTTGCACGGGGCACTGACCTTGCACGGGGCACTGACCTTGCACGGGCGCTGACCTTGCACGGGCGCTGACCTTGCACGGGGCACTGACCTTGCACGGGGCACTGACCTTGCACGGGGCACTGACCTTGCACGGGGCACTGACCTTGCACGGGGCACTGACCTTGCACGGGGCACTGACCTTGCACGGGCACTGACCTTGCACGGGGCACTGACCTTGCACGGGCACTGACCTTGCACGGGGCGCTGACCTTGCACGGGGCGCTGACCTTGCACGGGGCACTGACCTTGCACGGGGCGCTGACCTTGCACGGGCCCTTGCCTTTCCCCGGGCGCTGACCTTGCACGGGCGCTGACCTTGCACGGGGCACTGACCTTGCACGGGCGCTGACCTTGCACGGGGCACTGACCTTGCACGGGGCACTGACCTTGCACGGGCGCTGACCTTGCACGGGGCGCTGACCTTGCACGGGGCGCTGACCTTGCACGGGGCACTGACCTTGCACGGGGCACTGACCTTGCACGGGGCACTGACCTTGCACGGGCGCTGACCTTGCACGGGCGCTGACCTTGCACGGGGCACTGACCTTGCACGGGGCACTGACCTTGCACGGGGCACTGACCTTGCACGGGGCACTGACCTTGCACGGGGCACTGACCTTGCACGGGGCACTGACCTTGCACGGGCACTGACCTTGCACGGGGCACTGACCTTGCACGGGCACTGACCTTGCACGGGGCGCTGACCTTGCACGGGGCGCTGACCTTGCACGGGGCACTGACCTTGCACGGGGCGCTGACCTTGCACGGGGCGCTGACCTTGCACGGGCGCTGACCTTGCACGGGGCACTGACCTTGCACGGGCGCTGACCTTGCACGGGGCACTGACCTTGCACGGGGCACTGACCTTGCACGGGCGCTGACCTTGCACGGGGCACTGACCTTGCACGGGCACTGACCTTGCACGGGGCACTGACCTTGCACGGGCACTGACCTTGCACGGGGCGCTGACCTTGCACGGGGCGCTGACCTTGCACGGGGCACTGACCTTGCACGGGGCGCTGACCTTGCACGGGGCGCTGACCTTGCACGGGCGCTGACCTTGCACGGGGCACTGACCTTGCACGGGGCACTGACCTTGCACGGGGCACTGACCTTGCACGGGGCACTGACCTTGCACGGGGCACTGACCTTGCACGGGGCACTGACCTTGCACGGGGCACTGACCTTGCACGGGCACTGACCTTGCACGGGCACTGACCTTGCACGGGGCACTGACCTTGCACGGGCACTGACCTTGCACGGGCACTGACCTTGCACGGGGCACTGACCTTGCACGGGGCACTGACCTTGCACGGGCACTGACCTTGCACGGGGCACTGACCTTGCACGGGGCACTGACCTTGCACGGGGCACTGACCTTGCACGGGGCACTGACCTTGCACGGGGCACTGACCTTGCACGGGCACTGACCTTGCACGGGGCACTGACCTTGCACGGGCACTGACCTTGCACGGGCACTGACCTTGCACGGGCACTGACCTTGCACGGGCACTGACCTTGCACGGGCACTGACCTTGCACGGGCACTGACCTTGCACGGGGCACTGACCTTGCACGGGGCACTGACCTTGCACGGGCACTGACCTTGCACGGGGCACTGACCTTGCACGGGGCACTGACCTTGCACGGGGCACTGACCTTGCACGGGCGCTGACCTTGCACGGGGCACTGACCTTGCACGGGGCGCTGACCTTGCACGGGGCGCTGACCTTGCACGGGCGCTGACCTTGCACGGGGCACTGACCTTGCACGGGCGCTGACCTTGCACGGGCACTGACCTTGCACGGGCACTGACCTTGCACGGGCACTGACCTTGCACGGGCACTGACCTTGCACGGGGCACTGACCTTGCACGGGGCACTGACCTTGCACGGGCACTGACCTTGCACGGGGCACTGACCTTGCACGGGGCACTGACCTTGCACGGGGCACTGACCTTGCACGGGCGCTGACCTTGCACGGGGCACTGACCTTGCACGGGGCGCTGACCTTGCACGGGGCGCTGACCTTGCACGGGCGCTGACCTTGCACGGGGCACTGACCTTGCACGGGCGCTGACCTTGCACGGGGCACTGACCTTGCACGGGCGCTGACCTTGCACGGGCGCTGACCTTGCACGGGCGCTGACCTTGCACGGGGCACTGACCTTGCACGGGGCACTGACCTTGCACGGGGCACTGACCTTGCACGGGGCACTGACCTTGCACGGGGCACTGACCTTGCACGGGGCACTGACCTTGCACGGGGCACTGACCTTGCACGGGCACTGACCTTGCACGGGGCACTGACCTTGCACGGGGCACTGACCTTGCACGGGCACTGACCTTGCACGGGCACTGACCTTGCACGGGCACTGACCTTGCAGGGGCACTGACCTTGCACGGGCACTGACCTTGCACGGGCACTGACCTTGCACGGGGCACTGACCTTGCACGGGCACTGACCTTGCACGGGCACTGACCTTGCACGGGCACTGACCTTGCAGGGGCACTGACCTTGCACGGGCACTGACCTTGCACGGGCACTGACCTTGCACGGGGCACTGACCTTGCACGGGCACTGACCTTGCACGGGGCACTGACCTTGCACGGGGCACTGACCTTGCACGGGGCACTGACCTTGCACGGGGCACTGACCTTGCACGGGGCACTGACCTTGCACGGGGCACTGACCTTGCACGGGGCACTGACCTTGCACGGGCACTGACCTTGCACGGGCACTGACCTTGCACGGGCACTGACCTTGCACGGGCACTGACCTTGCACGGGCACTGACCTTGCACGGGCACTGACCTTGCACGGGGCACTGACCTTGCACGGGGCACTGACCTTGCACGGGCACTGACCTTGCACGGGGCACTGACCTTGCACGGGGCACTGACCTTGCACGGGGCACTGACCTTGCACGGGGCACTGACCTTGCACGGGGCACTGACCTTGCACGGGCACTGACCTTGCACGGGCACTGACCTTGCACGGGCACTGACCTTGCACGGGCACTGACCTTGCACGGGCACTGACCTTGCACGGGCACTGACCTTGCACGGGCACTGACCTTGCACGGGCACTGACCTTGCACGGGGCACTGACCTTGCACGGGGCACTGACCTTGCACGGGCACTGACCTTGCACGGGGCACTGACCTTGCACGGGGCACTGACCTTGCACGGGGCACTGACCTTGCACGGGGCACTGACCTTGCACGGGGCACTGACCTTGCACGGGGCAGAGGCAGCAGAGGGGCTTGGCATCGCGCTTGCCCTGCCGCTCGTACTTGCTGCACACGTCGCACAGCCACAACCCGCCATCTGGCGGCTCTCTGACGCCGTAGCACGCCATGTGGACCATGATGCGACAGCTGTCGCACTGCAGCAGCTGGTCGTCCTCGTACTCCTGCACTCATGCACAGGGGGTGGTATGAGCATGAGCATGGGCATGAGCATGAGCATGGGCATGAGCATGGGCATGAGTATGGGCATGGGCATGTGCATGAGCATGGGCATGTGCATGAGCATGGGCATGGGCATGAGCATGAGCATGGGCATGTGCATGAGCATGGGCATGGGCATGAGCATGAGCATGTGCATGTGCATGAGCATGGGCATGGGCATGAGCATGGGCATGGGCATGAGCATGAGCATGTGCATGAGCATGAGCATGTGCATGAGCATGAGCATGAGCACGCAGACGTGCATGTGCATAAGCCCACACGCATGCACAAGGGAGTGATGCCCTCTCCCATCCTCCCACCACGGAGAAGCAACCCCCCCCCGTGCACCCACTGACCTCGGAGAGGCAGCACACGTCGCAGCGGTCGAGAGACGCCTGCCGGTACTCCACCGCTTTGAACCCCGCCGGCAGCCGCGACTCCTTCACCACCACGGCCCCCGCCCGCGCCCCCTGCGCTGCCTCCCCCTGCTGCTTTGCCGGCGCACTGGCCTGTCGCGCCCTCTCGCCCCTGCTGGCGTCCGCAGTGTTGGAAGCAGGCGCAGGGCGAGGGGCGTTGACCCACGCGGTGAACTGGTGGCAGCGGGTGGCGTTGGGCAGGCCCTGAATGAGGTGCGCCACTCGTGGGTGGGTGAGGCCGAACATCTGAGCCCCCGACCGCACGTGGTGCGACGGCAGCCATGCCCCACACCGCCCGCTGCCCCTGCTGCCCCCGCTGCCACAGCTGCCACCGCTGCCGCCCCACCCCCCACTCACCCCACCACACTCACCCCCACACCGCGGGCTGCCACTGCCATGCGCTGCCCCGCCCCCTGTGCCCTGTGCTGGCAGCGCCTGCCACGGCGGCCGCAGGGGGGAGGGGGTGAGCGGGGGCGCGGATGAGGGGGACGCGGCGAGGGGGCGCGCTGCAGAGGCGGGGGGGAAGGCCCACCTGAGAGGGTCCCCTGCAGGCAGCCCCCCCTGGGACGAAGCCCCTTGGACGCCTGCTGCTGTGTCCCCCCTCTCGTCCCCTCCGCCCCCATCCACCTCCATTGCTTCCGCCTCTGCCCCTCCCTGCCCCACAGCGCCCTCTCTGCCCCCGCCCCCACCATCCCTCTCTGTCCGCTGTGTGCCTTCAATCTGTGCCTGGCCATCCTCCGCCCCACGGCCACCGCTCGTTACCGCTGCTATTCTCTCTTGCTCCTCCGCCCTTGCACCTGCTTTGCCCCCATCACCCCCCCCTGCCTCTGCCGCCCCTGCCCGGCTACCATCACCCGCCTCTGCCTCCGCGCCTGTCCTGCCACCACCGGTCCCCTCTGCATCTGCTCCAGCACGCAGCACCGCACCACCGCTGCCCTCGCCTCGCTGCAGCAGCACCGCCAGCGGCACCATCATCGGCCCCCCGCCCCTCAGCGCCCTCCCTTCCCCTCCCCCCGTGCCTCCACCCCCTGTCCCTGCCCCCGTAACTGCCCCTGCCCCTCCGCCTGCCCCTCCCCCTGCGCCAGTGCTGGGCGGGTGCAGGTGCTGCAGCAGCAGGCGCTTGGCCTCCGCCACGCGCCTCTGGATGATGCGCCAGCACTCGCCCGGTGATGGGCCCTCCACCTGCCCGAGGGGGGGAGACGGGTGGGGAAGGGAGGGGAGGGCGCAGGCACACCAGCCAGCGGCTTAAGGGGGCAGGATGGAGGGCTTGAGGGGAGGGGCGGGGGAGGCAAGGTAGACAAGACAAAGAGAGGGAGGTGAATGCAGAGGCGCATACCGGATCAGAGCCTTCTGGAGTGACTCGAAAGATTGGACCACCAGGCACTGGGGTGTTTCCAGCAGTCCCGGAGGCGCCAGGCGGCTGCTTCTTCTGCTGTGGCTTCTTGCCCCCCTTGGGCTGCTGCTGCTGCATGCGCTGTGGTGTCTGGCGGAGCTGGGGGCGCCGCCATGCCCCTTCCCTCGAGGGCACAAATGGCGCTGCTGCTGGCGCTGGTGCAGCAGCAGTGGGGGGCGGAGGAGGAGGGGGCGGAGGAGGAGGGGGCGGAGGAGGAGGGGGCGCCTGCTGAAGGATCTCCATCACGTGATTCACCACCACACGCGGGTCTGAGGGGAATTCAGGGTGTTAGAGGGGAAGAGAGGGGGAAGGGGAAGGGCAAGAGAGGAGGTTTGACAGTGTGGAAGACAGAGGAAGGGTAAGAGGAGCGGAAGAATGGCATGATGCAGACAAAAGTGTGGGCGGAGGGGAAGGGGCGGAACACACCTTGGGCAGAGGGGAAGGGGCGGAACACACCTTGGGCAGAGGGGAAGGGGCGGAACACACCTTGGGCGGAGGGGAAGGGGCGGAACACACCTTGGGCAGAGGGGAAGGGGCGGAACACACCTTGGGCGGAGGGGAAGGGGCGGAACACACCTTGGGCGGAGGGGAAGGGGCGGAACACACCTTGGGCGGAGGGGAAGGGGCGGACAGCCTTGTAGCCGACAGGGTAGATGTGCTGCGCCGTGTGGAAGCCAGGCTCGCCCGGCAGCACTCGCCCTGTGGGCACGGGGGGAAGGGGGAGGTGTGGGAGGCTTGGCGGTTGGGGGACAGGGCAGCATGAGGGCCAAGGGGACTGTGGATGGACAAGGGTATGGGTGGCTGGGTGCATGGCACGCGGGATGCGGGCAGCAATGGCAGGCACTAACTGCAAAGGTGGCTTCGCAAGGGTTGGGTTGGGGCACATGCATGGGAGGAGTGGGGTGAAGGTGCTCGGAGGAAGCGAATGAGAAAAAGGGGCGAGGAGGGGGGCGCACCAAGGGAGAGCAGGGTGAGGGAGGAGGGGGGCGCACCAAGGGAGAGCAGGGTGAGGGAGCCGATGTGCAGGGGCAGGGACGGCGGGGACGTGGCCGTGGTGGCGGAGTCACCCCCCATCACCGCATCCGACCCCACTGCCTGCCCCCCGCTCCTCCTCGCCTCCCCTACCTTCCCGTCCCCCTGCCCATCTGCCTCTCCACACCCCCCTGAACTTGCTCCTGCCTGCCCCACGCCACGCCCATCCACCACCTTGCCTCCCACCACTGCTGCCCGTCCCCCCACCTCCGCCCCACTCTTGCCCGCGCTGCCTGCCGCCCTCGACCCCTTGCGCCCATGCCCCTCCCCCTCATCCGCCTCTGCTGCCCCTTTCCCCTCCTCGCCACTGCTCTGGCTACCCTCCCCGCTGCCACTCTGCCGCTCACTGCCCTCCTCGCTCGCCCCCTCGCTGCCCTCCCCACTGCTCCCATCACTGCCCGACTCCTCCTCACTGCCCTCGTCGCTGCCCTCCTCCGACCCTGATCCGTGCAGGAACGCCATTTTCGCCGGCAGCTCCTCCACCAGTAGGAACCTGCCGGGGAAGGGGGATCAGACGGGAGCGAGGTGCAAAAAAAGTCGCTGGTATGAGAGTGGGCTCGCCTGCACAACAGCAAGGTGCAGCAAGCTGTTGCGGAAAGTTCAGGTTAATTGACCGTGCAGGGAGGAGGGCGAGGGACAAGGAGTGGTAAGCGGAGGGCCAGGGGGCGGGAGGAAAGAGGCGAGAGGCGAGAGGCCAGGGGTGGGACTCGGACCTTTCGACTTCATGAAGTGCGGTTTTGAAGCAGGCGGCCTTGCTCTTGTTGTGCAGCCCCTTGGCGAGGCCGAGCAGGAAGGGGCAGGCGGCAGAGGCGGCAACGATGCTGCACTCGTAGGAGCCGAAGAAGTGCACCAGCACCTCCCCCGCCCCGCCCTCCCTCACCGCCCGCAGCCCCACTCGCTCCGCCACTGCCGGATCCAACACCATGGCCGGCCATGCTGGGTGCCCTGCATGTGTGGGGGCAGCAGAAGCAGCAGCAGAACAGCACGAATTATGGGTTTACACTTGGCACCAATTAAGCCCCCCTCTTTTCCTTCCCTCAGATCTTCTCCTTTCCATCCCTTTCTACCCGCTACAGTGACATCCAACCATTAAAGTCGCATTCTAGCCCTCCTATCCGTTACTCACACACTAATCCACCTACCCGCAACAGTCACAATCTATCTTCCCTATCTCTACAGTCACACACTACCCCTCATACGAGTTCACGCCCCAGCCCTGCTCACCCTTGACGCGCGCCCACACCAGCTCCTTGGCGCCAAACCGCCCCAGCTTCAGCTCCTCCAGCGGCCCCCCCGTCCCCCCTGCTATGCCCGCCCCTGTGCCCTCCCACCGAACAGCCCCCCCTCCCGCCCCCGCCCCCGCCCCTGGCCCCTCCGCCTTGGCCTTGGGCGCAGACCCCTGGTCCGCGGCCCTGTGGTCTCTGGGCGCAGTGCGGGTGGAGGCGGAGAGCATGGCAGCGGCGGCCAGCACAGCAGCGCGAGCAGGGTCCATGTCCCGCGCCATGCTCGCTGCCAGCTCCGCCAGCTCGCGCCCTCCCTGCCCCCGCCCCTGCCACCCCCGCCTGCCCCGCCACCCCCTCCCCTTGCCACCCTTTCCCGCCTTCCCTCCCTCCCCGACCAACTCCACTCCCCCCTCCTCGTCCTCATCCTCCTCCCCCTCGTCCCCGCTTCGTTCGTCCTCCCCTTCCTCCTCCCTCCCCTGCTCCTCCTCTCTCTCACACCCTGGCTCGCCGCCATCCCTGCTGCACTCCTCCTTCCCACAATCCTCCACCGGGGGGCCAGTGGCACACGTAGCAGCCGCAGCAGCAGCAGGGGGCGGAGCAGAAGCAGCAGCAGGGGGAGGGGGAGGGGGGGTGGGGCAGAGAGCGAGGAGGGGGTCGTGGCGGGGGAGGTGCAGCTTGATGCGCTCAGCTGCCATGCGCAGCCACTCGCTCTCCGTCTCGTCGTACCGCACCTGGTGCTTGCCCGTGCGCGCGTCATATGCATACACCAGCCCCGCGTACCACCGCTCGTCCAGCGGCCAGTACACCTGTTGTACACACACACACACATGCAGGGGCGACACCGGGCAGGGCAGCATGGTGTCGCGATACACAGGTGGCTGCTGGCAGGAGTGCAGGGCCGGGGGAGACGAGGCAACAGGCAGGAAGGCTGGCATCCAACGGTCATACCTTGCACAGTCGGCCGATGAGAGCCCTTGGATCCACTCCAGCCAATGGCAGCCTGCAGCACGGGTCAGAGAGAGCAGAAGCAGGCAGACGGGAGTCATTCAAGTCAAGTCAAGTCGGGTGAAGCCAAGTCAGGTCAGCAAGCTCTTAGCTGAAAAGAAAGAGCTTGAAACACCGGAGGACAAGGAGGTGCAGAGTGGTGAGAGGCGGTGGGCATTACTCCATCCACTGAGGGCGCTGCAGGTCGGCCATCAGCCGGTCCACGTAGCTCTCTATCAGCCGCCGCCGCTTTGGCGTCAGCCGGCTCTTGTCACTCTGCCCTGCTGCTGCTGCTGCACCTCCTTCCGCCTCCTCCCGCACCTGCTGCCCCCCCTTCTTGTCCAGCCGTGCATGGGCAGCAGCCTTGGCAGCAGCAGGAGCAGCGGCATGAGTCACAGTCACGCGTTTCACAGGCACACCCTCGCTCTCACCCGCCTCGCACTTCACCTGCACCCGCGCTGCTGCCACTGCAGGCCCGGTGGGAGCAGGCGGAGGAGGAAGAGGAGGGCGGGGGGCAGCAGCAGGCGGAGCAGGCAGAGGGGGGCCATCGGGGAAGAGGCGGCGCTTGCTGCAGGCGAGGTCGTCCTCGTCGGGATAATCCACCAGCATGGCCGCCTCCCCTCCTCCCTCACTCCCACCCCCTCCCACTGCTCTGCCCTCCCCCTCTGCTAAACCACCACCCTCGTTCCCTGATCGCTCTGCCTTCACTGTCACCTCATCTTCCCGCTTCACACCACCGCTGCTGCCAACCTTCTTCTCGCTGCTGCCAACCTTCTTCTCTCTGCTGCCAACCTTCTTCTCTCTGCTGCCAGCACTCGCCTTGCCTGTATCTCCCTCAGCATCACCGCTTCCTTCTTCCTTCACCACCGCAGCACCCTCGATCTCTACAGGCACTTTCATTTCAACCTCGTCCATACCCAAGTCTTTCAGACCGCTTTCCCTCACTACAACCTTCTCGTCCGCTGTGAAGTCTCCTCCTCGGGCCCCACCGTCTCCTTTCTCCCCACCCATCTGCTCGCACGCATCCATCACCTCCCCACAAGCGTCCTCAGCCTTCTCAGCCACCATCCTGTGACTCGCCTGCACCCCTCCCACGCCGCGCTCCAACCCGCCCTTCTCGCCCCCTTCCGCCTTGCCCTCGCTTCTCTGCTGCCCGCCCGCCCCCGGTATTTCCCAAGGGCTGCCCGCTTCGCACGGGCTGCCCGCCTCGCCCGCGGGTTTGGGTGCGCCTGAACCGGTATGGGCAAGGGAAGGGGAGTCGGACATGGGAGCAAGGGGGGACAAGGCGGGCAGGGCAGTGGAGGCTTGCCCACAGGAGCCTGGCCCCCGGGGAATGACCCCATTCGGTCCTGGCATGGTAGCCGCGACCTTCGCACCCCCCTCCTTTGCGCTGCCGTCCGTGCCATGGCTCTCCTTGTCCCCACCATCGGCGTCCCTCCCCTTGTCCCCACTCTCCTTGTCTCCACCCACTTTCCCCCCAGCGCGTGTGCCAGCAGCGTCCCCCTCACAGCTCTGCACCACCGCCGCTGCATCCCCTTCCCCTGACGCGCGGAAGCAGATGGCGCAGTCAGAACCGCACCCCAGCGAGTCCCCGTCCGCGTGCTCGTGGCTCGAGTCGTGCGGGCTGCCTGCCTGCCCCGCCACAGGGCTCGCCGCAAGCACCGCCACGGCCGCTACCTCCGCACCCCCTCCCGCTTCCACCACGCACACAGCAGGGCGAAGGGTCGCTGGCTCAACAGAGCTCTCAAAAGCCACCGGCGGGTGCAGCAGCCGCGCGGGTGGCGGCGCGCGCGGGGGCACGCGGTGCAGCGCCACCGCCACTTCGCCCGCCACCTCCACCTCCAGTACCGCGGGACCAGCGGGATCAACGGCCCCCATCCACTCCCCATTTGCCTGCCTCCCATCGCTCGCCTCTGCGCATGCTTGTGGTCCCGCCTGTTCCTGCGCCTGCGCCTGAGATCCTTGCGCGCACAAGGCAGCAGCAGAAGGCGCATCTCTACTGCCGGCTTCCCTGTCTCCGCTACTCCACTCCGCCTTTGCTTCCGCACCAGCCGTGCTCACCGTGCTTCCCGCGCTCTGCTCTCCCCCGGTCGGAGCAGCGGAGCTAACCCTAACGGCATTGGTGGGCAGGGTAGCGAGCGGGTGTGTGGCGGGCGGCAAGGAGCTCATGCGCCGCCGCTTGTACACGCTCAGCCCCTCCTCCGCGGACTGCCGCCGCTTGTCGCACGGCGAGGCGCCATGCGGCTGCTCGACGTCCGAGGCGGCGCTCTGAGTGACAGCTGTCACGGGGAACATCGCGGATACGGGCGGCTCGTTGCCAGCTAAGAGTCGTCCGCCCAAAAGACCACTGCTTTCGCTACTTCCAGATGTGCGCACGCGCCGACTGCGCAGCGTGATGTGGTTCTTGTCGCTCGACGACGCCTTGCGACTGTCGCCCGAAATCCCGTCCTCCATGTTGTCCCGGCCTGTCCGTCCCGCCGTCTGCTTCGCCTTTGTCGGCGCTGCCGAACCGTTGGCCCGCTGTTCTTCCCGTTTCGCCAGCATCCCCTTGATGTTGCACTGCACGTACCGCCATTTCGGCGCCGCGACAACTGTACAGTCAGTATCTGCCGCCCTCTGCGGGTCCGCCTTCTTCCGCATCCTCGCGAATAGGATCACGCACCACTGTACGACAGAGTTCAAATATTGATGAAAGATAAGGACTTAGCCTGGAAAGTTGCGCAGGCTGGTGAAATGAGTCCAGAGAGCCATGGAGCCCAGTGGTGAGTAAAGTCGAGAATGAGGGTTGGGTGGCGAAAGAGAAGAGGATGTTCGAGAGAGGGGTGGGTGAATTGATGAGGGGGCTCTGGCGAGATGGAAGAACGAGGTGTGGGGAGTTCCGTGGCCGAACCCGTTTGAATTTTGATTCAAGGGTTCAAATTGGCAGAATTCGGTAAGAGCAGACGGAGAGCAAGGGCCCAACATTGAACATGTCACGTATGAGCCATTTGTACCATGAGCTTAAATCAAGCATCTGCAATCGCATATCTCGTATTTTCTTGTACGGTTGCATTCACTTCTAGCGTTTACATTATTTTACTGCTATTTTCTCTAACAATGCTGAATCTTCCATGCAAAATCTGATACGTATACATCATCGAAAAGCTCTCAAATTTATTAACCGCGCATATTTTGATATATATTAATTGTTTTTCATGCTCTTTTTTTGGCAAATGCCGTATGACCATGGGGATTTTCTTTTATGTTATCAAGGTTGCCTATTTATATAATGCTGATAAGGAAGCAGCTCGTAAACGATGGCTCCGATGTTGTCATTTTCACGCACCAGATCTCAACCGCTCTGCAGCCCCTATCGAACCGCTAGTTTCAATGTCTGCGTACCTGTCAGCTGACGTAGGACCGTCACATGCGCACCTCAAATTCTCCGCGTCACGCGAGCCAGCGCTCCCTCGATGACCTCCCCGTTCGTCTGTCTTGACGCCCCGCGCGAGCGGCTGAAGCGAGTCAAATGGTGGACTCAGCAGGAAGGCAGGGTGGCCCGCCCCACTGGAGCCACCCAACAGTTCCGCGAAGGGACGCGCTGGAAAGGAGCGTGTTTCCGATCCGCGCGTTGCGTGTCGGCGTGGACTTAAGAAGGCATGAGCCAGACTCTACCTCTTCATACTTACTCATCGTATCTGTCCCCCTCGAGTAGTCTAAAGCTTCATCGCCTACTACGTTCCTCACGTCCGAGGAAGGCTACTCGTTGGCCACGCTTTTCGCCAGGGACGCTGATTTGAAACGCTTATTATTCCGTTCCGTTTTCAGTTCCAGCGATGGGCCGCTCCAAGTCGTTAGCGATGCTGACGGTGCTGCTGGCGCTCGTCGCCCTCTCAATAGCGCCCGTTCGCGCTCAGCCGCGCGCCCCCCCTGCGCCAACCCCAGCGGGCCCGTCGCCCGCACCGGCGTCCAGCCCTTCCCCCGCGCCAGCATCCGCGCCCACGCCAGCGTCCGCACCCACACCGGCATCAGCGCCGTCCCCGGCCCCCGTGCCCGCCCCCGGCCCCGCTCCCACTCCGGCCCCTGTCCCCGCGCCTGCGCCTGCACCCGTCCCCGCATCACCACCGCCTCCCGTCGTTCCCCCGCCGCCCCCTAAGGCCGCGTCCACAGGTATTTGAGCAGAGCAGTCCGGGAGGGTCCACGTATTCTGTAGCAAAGCCTGACGTGAAATCGTTTGTCGCTGCTGACGTGACGAGTTACCATGTTTCTGATCCCCATGTTTGCCGCGATGCCTGTGGCGTGTGTTGCAGGTGCCACGGTGCTGACATCGCTGCTGCTCGTCGCGCCTCTGGTTGCGCTCGTCGTGTAAACTGAACGGAGGTCGGCTGTGTGGTCGGTTGGAAGGGCCGTGGGGTTACTCCCGTCTTTAAAATCGTGATTAGGAGTGTGTGTAGCTGTAGCTGTGATGAGCATGCATGTAGTGGTCCACTGGAACAGCTTAGGAACCCATACTAGTTAACCCATTGGATACGTAGTGGTCCTACTTAGGAAGCTTATGAAAAGCCTTGTTGGACACAATGAACAAATGGAATACCTAAAATACGACTCACTCTGCTACTTACCCAACTTTTATTTCCTAATCTACTTCCTAGCTTACCATACACTACATACACACCCATAGAGTGCAGTCCAGCTCACACTAAGCACACTTTGAACACACACCACGCAAGCACACACAATGACTCGCACAAGACGACACAACACAACACAGCACCTGCAACACATCATCAAGCCATTCGCCTGACACCAGTTCCGCAAGAGGGGACAGGTGGGTGCGTGAGCTTAGCTCTTGAGGGAGGCGACGTAGTTGTGGAAGTTGGAGGACTGCTGCTTGGCGCTATCGAGCGATCGGAAGCGCATGAGCCCCGTGCTGCGCCGCCTGCTGCTGCCGCGCGTGCTGCTGCCCTCCTCCCCAAACTTGCGGAACAGAACCTGCCCCTCCGCCCACTGCCCCGCCAACTCCTGCTGCTGCGGATGCTGCTGATGATGATGATGCTGCTGCTGAGGATGATTATTGTTATACTGCTGGTGCGGCTGGTACTGCTGGTACGGCTGCTGCTGACCACGAAAGCCTTCCAAGGGACTGCTACCCAGCTCAGCCTCTCCCCGCTGCCGTCTGTTCTCCCACACCTCTGCCACTTCACCAATCCCACCTCCCAGCCTGCCTGCTCCGCCTCCATCCCTGTTGAGACCCTGAGATGCACTGCTGATCGAGGGCCTGAACTGTGGGGGCGTTCCTATGGGTGATAAGAACCCAGAGGTTGGCGGTGATTTAGGCACTGATGATCGTGCCATCGGAACTGATGCTGTTGCCGCTGCTGATGCTGCTGCTGGTGCTGCTGCTGATACTGCTGCTGCTGTTGCTGGCGGTGGTGGTGGGGTTGGTGGTGCTGCTGCTCGTGCTGCTGATGCTGATGATGGCGCTAACGATCGCCCAAACGCTGGTGCGACGAGTGGAGCGGATGATGGCAATAGTGGTGGAGGAAACGTCAGCCCTGATGACGCTGCTGCTGCTGACGATGCTACCGATGGTGCTGCTAGTGCTTTGGGCGAGAGCAGCGGCGGGGTGGCAGAGGAGGAGTGCAGGGGGGGCAGGGACTGGAACATGGACCCGGACGGCAGTGACGACTGGCTTCTCAGTGACCCTCGGCTGGGCGGAGGCAGGTCCCACGACGGTGCAGTGCGGGACTCGGCCTGCTCCCGAACCACAATCACAAACTCCTGTTGCTGCTGCTGCTGCTGATCCGACTGGCCTGCGTGTGCTAGTGGCTCCTGTTGCTGGTGCTGCTGCTGCTGCTGCTGGTGAGACTGCACGGAGACAGAGAGCCGGAGCTTGACTCGGGACCCGTCGGACCTGATGCCCGTGGCGCGGCGCATGTGGCCCACAAACGACTCCAGCCCTGCCCCCGCCACACCACCGTGCATCAGCCCAGTAAGAGACTTGAGACAGCGGACATGCCCAGATGACAGCGGACATGCCCAGATGACAGCGGACATGCCCAGATGACAGCACACCGACACGACAGTGCATGGCCAGCAGCGACAGTGCATGGCAAGCAGCGACAGTGCATGGCCAGCAGCGACAGTGCATGGCAAGCAGCGACAGTGCATGGCAAGCAGCGACAGTGCATGGCAAGCAGCGACAGTGCATGGCAAGCAGCGACAGTGCATGGCAAGCAGCGACAGTGCATGGCAAGCAGCGACAGTGCATGGCAAGCAGCGACAGTGCATGGCAAGCAGCGACAGTGCATGGCAAGCAGCGACAGTGCATGGCAAGCAGCGACAGTGCATGGCAAGCAGAATGGGAGAAGTGGGAAGGAGGGAGAGGGAGCGCACCGAGGGAGAGGTAGTGGGGCGAGCCTTCAATGGAGTGGATGAAGGCCTTCACGTGCAGTGCGCCCATGGCGTCCGCGTGGCCGTGGTGCTCCTCCATGCCAAACAGCCCACACACCGCCCCGTTCATCCACGTCACCCGCCCGTCCCCCCCCACCGTCATCAGCCCGTCCCGCGCCACCTGGCACATGCGGTGGGAAGGGAAAAGGCAGGGATCGGGAAGAATAGGGGTTAAGGGGGAAGCGGATGGGGGTTTTGAGCAGGTGGAAGGTAATGGAGGCGGAGGGAAGAGGAAGGGGTGTGGCATGGAGAGGAGCGAGCCGAGCGAGAGGACAACGCATGGGAGGAAGTGGCACGGCACGTGCCCCCAGTGCAGGGATGGAGAGAACGCCACGAGCACCGGGGGAAGGGAAGATGAAAGCGAGCGGGGAAGAGGGGGGGGGATGGGGGGGGAGAGAGTGACCTGGAGGACGGAGAGCAGGCGCAGCTCAGCGTCACGCTTGCGCTTCCTCTCGTGCACCGCTTGCAGCATCACGGCCGCACTGGCGGTGAGCGGCTCCAGCTCCTGCAGCATGGCCGTGCTGTACCCACCCGCCCTGTTCGCCAGCGCGTACATGCCTATCATCTCCGACCCTGCAGGGCGTGGTGTGTGCAGGGGATTGGGGCAAAATTCAGTCATTGACCTGCACACAGGGATTCCTACTCGTGGTACTCGGCACATTGTGTCAATTCTTCAAAGCGTGCGGGGGAGGGAGGGGAGGGGCACTGACCAACAATGAGCGGCACGCCCATGAACGCGGAGAGCGGAGGGTGGCCCGGGGGCACGCCGCCGGAGCGGGGGTCGAGGGCGGGGCGGTTGGAGATGACGGGCGCGGAGGAGAGCAGCACGGCGCCCAGCAGGTTGGACGTGTTGGTGAACACCAGGCCCCTGTGCGAGTTGTCCCGGTACCACACCTGCAGCTCCTCCGTCCATGCTATGTTGGACGCCGCGTGCGACTGCCATGTCATGCCATGCCACCAACAGACACGTGGGTCCACGCAAGCGGTGAGCAGGCCAACGAATGGCATAGCATATGATGATGGGTCAGCGAGATGTCACAACAAGCAAGACACACCACACACCACATGCCGCGAGGAAACAGGAGACGGATATGTTGTGCTTGAAGGGGAGGCTGTTACCATGAGGGGACAGGTGTTACCTTGACAGGTGTTACCTTGACAAAGGGATTTCATCACATTAAGAAGATGATTGTACATTGTCACATTAGAGTGGTGGTGCGAGGATAGTTTAGCGTGGCAGGGAAGGGAGGGGAATGGGTGGGTGGGAAGGGGCGAGCGTGGGCGGGGCTACCTTGAGGTAGGGCGAGCCGTTGGCCTGGAAGAGCACGGAGCCGATGAGGCCGAACTGCGACCCCGTCATGTCCAGCAGCGCGCCCAGCACATGCTCCATCACCCTCCCCGCCCCCGCCGACTGCACCCCGCGGCACGGGTGGGAGACAAGAGCAGGGGAGAGAATGGAGACGGGGGAGTGGGAGGTGAGAGGGGAGAGAGGGGTGGGGAGAATGGGGGAAGAGGAGGCGGGGAGGGGAAGGCAGCAGGTTGGCATTCAGACAGGGGGTGGTTGGCATTCAGACAGGGGGTGGTTGGCATTCAGACAGGGGGTGGTTGGCATTCAGACAGGGGGTGGTTGGCATTCAGACAGGGGGTGGTTGGCATTCAGACAGGGGGTGGTTGGCATTCAGACAGGGGGTGGTTGGCATTCAGACAGGGGGTGGTTGGCATTCAGACAGGGGGTGGTTGGCATTCAGACAGGGGGTGGTTGACACAAGCGGGGCGTACGGCATGGGCACTGCCATGACGAGTGCCATGACGAGTGGTGCAATGCGGCACCTGGTCGGACTGCAGCAGCATCTGTGCCGTCGTGATGGCGCGCAGCATCTTGCGATCCATTGACACCTCCCCCTTCCCACCCTCCTCCCTCCCCGCCTCGCCCCTCTCCGCTTCCCCCCTGCCCGCCTCCCCGCCCGCACTCCCTCCACTGTTCCTCCCCGGACTCCCCTTATTTCCTTCCCCCCGCTCGCCCCCCTGGCCCGCCCAAGCGCCTCCGCCCGCCCGCGCGCCGTCGCTCTCCACGTGCGCCACCGTCTCGTAGCTGCGCGACCGCGGCATGGGGCGCCGCCCGCTGCCGCCCTCCCGCGCTGCTGCTGCAGCGGCTGCTGCGGCTGCCGACGCTGCTGCCGCGCCCAGCCCCATCGGGCAGCCTGAAAGTCCTGTCCCTCCACTCACCCCCCCAAGCGCCTGGCTCTGCTGGCTGCTGCCGCTGCTGTGCGCACTGCGCCCCCCCTCGGCCCCGTACTCGCCGTTCCCCGCCCCGAACGGGCTCTGCTCCCCCGCATGCACACTCACGCTCCGCCCCACCTGCCCCAAGCTCTTCTTCCGCCCTCGCCGTCTCCGCCCGCCCAGCCCACTCCCCCCCTTGTCGCCCTCTGCGCCACCCTTTCCGCCTTCCGCGCCCTCCCCCTCCTCTGCCGTCGCCGCCAACAGCTCAATCTCCCCCAGCCCCCCGACGGCGGCACCGCCATCCGCTCCCCCGTCCCTGTTCCCCCCGACTAGGTCCCCGCTCACTGCCATCATTTCCGCCAGCTGCGCCGCATCCGACCGCGCGCGCCTCAGGCCCCCGAGCCCGCCTAGCGCGCCCTTCAACCTCCCCGACAATCCCCTATGGAGGCTCGTGGCCCCAGTTGCTGACGTGGCTGACAGCGGTGATGACGCGGGTAATGGAGGTGGCGGGGTGGATGACGGAACGCCCGACGCGGGCGCGCGGGAAGCGGAGTGGGTGCGCGGGATGGAAAAGCCCAGCGCGAACCGCTGTGCGCCTAAGGGCGGGCGCACATCCCCCGCGTCGCCTGCGGAACTGGACATCGACGCCTTGAGCGGCCCCGAGGCGGGCTTGTCCGCGGAGAGAACGGGCGAGCGGGAAGGCGGGACAGCTCCTGCGCTCTCTGCTGACGTGGCAGCAGAGTCGTTACTGGCTGCACGCGTGCGCACGATGGGGTTGAGCGGAATGGATCCCGACGAGGACTGCGCGGGGCGGAGGTCGTGCGCGGGGGACGCGAAGGCAGCGGCGGCGGCGGAGAGCAAGGAGGAGGTCATGGCGGCGGTGGCGGTGACAGTGCGCCGCAACGGCGGCGGGCGCATGCCGCCCCCGCCCGTCCCACCCAACCCGCCACCAGCAGCAGAAGCGCCGCCACCACTCCCCACACTGGCGGCTGCAGCGGCGGAGAGTGACGCGAGCGCGAGCGCGTCTGTGTTGCGGCTGCTGCCGCCCTTGCGCCCCCACAGCTTGTATCCCGTCCGCGCCTCCGCTGCCTCCCCCGCTGCCATTCCCGTTCCCCCGTCCGCCTCCTTCTCTGTACATTCCGCCAGCCCGCTACCAGCTCCCCCCTGCTCTGTAGCGCCTTGCGCGTCCTCGTCGCGCGCGCGCGAGAGTGCGGCCGCGGAGTGCGGGGAGAAGTGCGCCTTTCCGTGGGCCTCCGCGCTGCCGAACGAGCGCGGATGAGCTTCTAAGCTCGACCCGAACGTGGGGGACAGGGGCGGGAGGGCCGATGGATTGGCGGGAGATAGACGGTTACTGCCCATTGGCGGACGCCGGGGGGGAACTGGCGGCGTCGCGGAGGGAGTGGGGGAAAGCAGAGGGCTGCGCGGAGCAGGCGGAGCGGGGAAAGTCAAGGAGGAGGCAGGCTGTTCTGTCGCGAGAGGCGCAGAGGACGGTTGGTGCATGCCCACGGCGTCGAAGATGGCTCTCAGGCGATGCCGCCTCGTCCAGTCCTCCCGCTCGTTGCCGCACTTGGCGCATCTGCAGTCCGACACGACGGAGAGCCAAGAGGAAGATTCATTTGCCAAGCATTATGGAACTGCGATTTCCGAGACATAAGGAGGCCGTGAGGTGGGAGACTGACACGGAATAGCGCGTCAAGGCCGCACCTTGTCATTTCCTGGCTCATGGCTGACAAAGTCGAGGCTTTTAACAGGACCAGCGCGAATTTCTGGTAAAATTACCGCCAAGCGGTGGTCATCCAGTCGCTTACCGCCACGCGGAGGTCATCCAGTCGCGGAACTCGATCAACTCCGCCTCCGACAGCCCCTCCACCGCCTCCAGCACCGACATTCCGCACACCTCCGACATTCCACGCGCGCTGTCATCCCCCGCCGACCTCTCTCCTCCGATCAACCCGCCGCTTGCGGAAAAAGGATCATCCGCTGCAACAGCTGCGGCCGACCTCGGGCTTTCATTCAACGGGTCTGGCTGGTTGCCGGCAATCGCTGCGCCCTGCAGCACGTGCTGCCGCACCGCCTTGGACACATTGTTTCCTGATTCCGCCAACTGGCGCGATGTCAGTGGATGACGGCGGGATGCAGATTGCTGCTGACCCATGGCTACTATTAGGGCTAACAAAGTTGCCTACAATACAAACTCGGACGTACTAAAAGGATCAAAATGAATGCTTAATTCACATGGCTTTTTCCCTTTACACCGAGTTCTGAAACAAGGTGGAAGAGTTAAAACCTAACACCTCCTTGGGATGTCAGATACTGTCGAGATGCGCGCCCTATTTGACGCATGTTGAGGATCAACGCAACCTGAGCAAGAGGACGAAGATGACGAGGTACTGTACCATACAAGGCTCTGGTTATCCATTACGGCAAACCACATCTCATATATCCATAGACGGCTCACCTCCGTACGGAAGAGCAAGCCAGGTGGGTCTGGATGAAACGCACGGCATGGGTGGGATTCGGCAGTGGGGAAGTGCAGGAGAGGGGAAGGAGGAGGGGGAGAAGAATGGGAAGAAGTGGAGCTGGGATGTGGGGACGGGGAGGTGTTTGATGCCGCCTGGCCCGCCAAAGGGGGTGTTCGTCTTTCCCATCAGTGGTGGGTTCGCCCGCTGAATTTTGGTCTAGAAACCGCAGCTCACAACCTTTTTGAATCGCAACGCACCTTTTAAAAACGTGCATTGATTTGCAAATGACTGTTCTGTACAAATTCGTGAATACAGTACAGTAGCAAGGCATGCAGACTAGTGTGAGATTTTCTACATTTAGGGCTTACACGAAATAGCCGTGTTTTGGAACGCGAACGTGTGCCTGTAACGCAGCTTCCACATTGGAGAAGGTGTTTGGCTGCCACAAAAATTATTCCCGTAATTCCGCCCACAAATCTTAGCCTTCCGCACCACCGCGGCGAGCCCACTTTTCCGCCACCGCGGCAAAAGGTGAGTGGCGCTGGTGGAAGTTGTGGCTGTCGCAGTGTCGGAATGGATTCACCCTGGCCGTTGGATCATGCCAGGCATTTCCAGGAGAAATCGCTGAAGAGGCACCCAGGAGGATTTTCCGTTGGCTGTGTGTTTGGGTCAGCTTGAACCGAATCGAGGCCGAACCAATCACCTGCCCGTTCTCGGATTATGGGATGGGGGCGAAGAGAAGGGAGGAAATGGTGATGAGCGTGGGTTTGGGATGGACCATCCCTCCTGGGCTGGGGTTTCGCAGCATGTGCTGATCACTACCACATGCTGGAGATACAGGAGTCCCCTTCCTGCCTTAAGGCCACCCCCATGCCTAATCCCAAGCTTCGGCAAACCTAGAAATCTTGTAGTTAGTTACTAGTCTTACTCGTACCCTCGTTAGTCCAACACATAAATTTGTGTAAGATTAGGTCATGGTTGGAGCAGTTATAGGGGTTACAAGTCATCAGAGAGAGGCTATGGCGTGGAAGAGCAGGGAGGCAGATTTCCATCAAAAGGCATATCATGGAAAGACGCAGAAGCTTGCAGGTGGACCTAGATACCAGAAGAGGCACGACTCTGAGCGAGTACCTGCAGCTCATAGCTCACACGATTTTGAGGCAGCCGTGACGTCGAATAGCATAGAACCCGCAAGAGTAGCAAGTCGAAATTTGGGAAGTTTCATTTCTAACGTGACTCCGCGAGTAAAGCTTCAGTATATTAACAAGGTATGTTCACGACAGTATGTTGATATCCCTTTGTCACTCGTTTACATCCACATTTTTTCCTGACAATAGTGTCGTTTTGTAGGAATCGGAACGTTTTGCACACCCGGGGAGGCACGAATCTTCAACTTGTTGCGCGTTTTATACGTTGGGAGATCTGTGGGACTCTTTGGAGGAGTGGAGCGCGTTTGGGGCTGGAGTTCCTATTTCACTCGCTAATGGCACGCATGTAACTCAATATTACGTGCCCTCCATTTCCGGTTTGCAACTATATGCGCGAAGCAGCTCCTGGCAGTTACCTGAGTCAAGGTATGTATAACGAGTTCAATGGAAAGCCATATGATTTTTTCGGTTTCAATATTTGTGTGGCACCTCATGCCGTTCTCAATATTTGTTCCACAGGAACAGTGGCCCCGACAGTGACTGCAGTGACGTGAGCTTCCATGATTCCAGTAGTGACAGCAGCGAGAGCAGTGATAGGAACGAGGGTCGAGGAGTTGACGGTGTAGCAAAAGCAGTCGAGGGCTGTGTGATAGATTCATCCGTTGATGGCGCATGGGGTTCCAAGATACACCCGTCACACTTTCATATGATGGAAGAGCTTCTTTCAGGATTGGATGGTCATAACTCTGTCGACGAGTGTGCCGCTGTGTCTTGGGATGCCTGTCGAGACTGTAACGGGGGTCGATTGTTACTGGAGTTTTTCGAAAGAGCACCTCCTCATGTGCGGCTGCCACTCTTCTCAAAGGTAGGGTTTGTTACTTGCATTTCTGGCTTGCGAGGCTATGGTTGGTGTCCCCCATTGTTTAAGCCCTCCGCTGACATTGGTTGCAGGTGGAAGAGTTGGAGAGGGAGTTTCCCTGTCTCAGGCACCTTCGCAGCATTGATTTACACCCACGAAGCTGGATGGCTATTGCATGGTAAGAATGAGTGTTATTCAGGAATCTGTCTTGGCGTTTGTTTGTTGGAAGGCAATGATGTTATTGTTCTGCATTTCACGAGTTCGTTGTTGTGTGTAGGTATCCACTATACAAGATTCCGGCTGGGCCCAGTGTTCGTGATCTTGGGGCATCATTTTTGACATTTCACAGTCTCTCTTCACCAGGCCCATCTTTATCGGGTGAGCCTTGTATTACAATCTTATCAGTCTGTCATGAAGGTGTATCAGCTGCCAGCTGCTAAATTGCCGTCTTCTCTCATGCACTGCAGGTTCTTGCGTTCGCTGTAACGATGAATATTGGATATCCCCCATGAAGCTGCCTCAGTCCTGCATGTTCTCTCCACCACCAAGTTCGCCTGAGGAAGAACATGGGGCCATGCACTGGGGCAGTGATTTGCAGTCAAGGAGTTCCACTACAGCTTTGGCCCCATTTGGTTTCACTGGTTACAAGGCCCATGGAAACTTGTGGTCAGATAGGTGGTGCATACAGGGCCTAGAGGCAGCAGCGGAGCAGTGGCTGAGGCATATCAATGCCAACTTACCAGACCATTCCTTTTTCACCATGCAGCAGTACACAGGGCGCTAAGCTTCTACTGGTTCTTTGGTGTCTGCTCTCTAACATGATAAGGGCTCCAATCAAGGGCTCCAGTCGAGGTGTTGCAGCTTGTTATACATCTGGCTGTCAGGTTAGCTGGTGCCAGATCAATTTTGGTTCAAATGTTAGCAGATAGCCAGATGCGTAGTGCTCTCTGCTTACCTATTTGTATTGGATAGACCATTGACCCATCAACTGATCTTAGTTTTGTCGATTATTGTAGGTGACTGGTGCAGTGTATGACACTAGTGGTATATCCTGGTAGAAGGCCCTTTCGTTACACAACACGAGCTCTAGTCTAGAAATAAGGCCGAGGCAATAATCGCCGCGTACCAAGTGGGTACACGAACATATGCAAATTCCGAAGCAGCTTCTAACAGCTGTGTTTCGAGCAACTTCCCTGCCGAATTCCCGTCGCAGCAGCCCAACCCCCCACATTCACCATCACTCCACTCCGCCAACGAAATCTGCATTTTCATTTTCAATGCTTTCCTAGCGCGAATCACCACCATAACTCTATCCTTTGACTAAAGCTGCCGCAATGTCCTTGCCGTCGCATTTAGCGGCGTCGCTTCGCTGCTTGCACGCCGCTCCTTCCGCTCCCCGCCTCCCTTCCCTCCCCTCTCTCGCTTCCTCCTCATTCCCGCGTCACTCAGTGTTTCCCTTAGTGCATCCCCGCAATGCACGACGAAACCCACGCTTCTCGTCTAGGCGCCAATCCGCGCGGGTCGTGCGCGCGAGGGCGAGCGGGGTGCTTCCAGCCGACGTGGACGCGATCATAGCGAGGGGGCGGGAGGCGGGCGCGTTTGTGGAACACAGCGCGTGCGTGGTGCCCGGCGCGACTGACGGGCCGTTGCGCGGGCTGACGTTCGCCGTCAAGGACATGTACGACGTGCGTGGGGGGGCGAGGGGAAGGTGGGGGGCGGTGGTGAGACAGATCCACGTGCGACGTGCAATGGCCGGCACTGGATGGTGGCGCGTGTCTAGGCATGCAATGCTGCGGCGAAGCGGCTTGAGAGAATGAATCGCCGTGCCTGCCTCCCTCTTCTCACAGTGCTCACCACTCCCCTCTCCCCACTCTCTGCTGGTGTGCGCGCAGGTGGCGGGCGTGCCAACGGGCTTCGGCAACCCCACGTGGCTGGCCACGCATGACGTCCCGCAGGCCACCGCCCCCGTCGTGCAGGTGCACGAGCATGTGCATTTCTATGCCTCATTCCTTCCTTTCCTGCATGCATCCACCCCTCATCTCACTTCCTCTCAAACCCATCCCCTTTCTACCACGCATAAGTCACCATCCAATCCCTTGCACTGCTCTGCACCCCTCACAACCATTCCCCCACCACCCAGGCGCTGCTAGAAGCGGGCGCCAGCGTGGTGGGCAAGGCGGCAATGGACGAGCTGGCATTCTCGCTGGCGGGGGAGAACGCGCACTACGGCACGCCCCTCAACCCAAAAGCCCCTCTCCGCATCCCGGGCGGCTCCTCCTCGGGTTCCGCTGCTGCGGTGGGTGGCTTTGCTTGTCCTCAGTACCTGCCCTCTGCTCCCGTGCCTCTTGTGTTTCCACTGTCTCTGCCGTCCCTCCTTGTTCTGACACACTCTTCACCTTCCTGCACCGCTCCCCACCCATTGGCTGTGTGGAAGGGGCGCACACCCCACCAGCACCACAGTGGACCCGTGGAGGCAACTGGTGGACTTTACATGCCCCACTCCGCCAATCCTCCCCTCGGCAGGTGGCAGCGGGCCTGGTGGACTTCGCCCTGGGCAGCGACACAGCAGGGTCGGTGCGCATACCCGCCAACCACTGCGGCGTGTGGGGCATCCGCACCTCCCATGCCCGCCTGCCGCTCACCGGCGCTCAGCCCCTGCAGCCATCCATGGACACCGGTGAGAGGTGCGGTGGCTTCACGTGCCGTGCTCATGTGTGCCTGTGCGTGACTATGCATGAATGTGCGTGACTATGTGTGCATGTGCGTGAAATCATCACACACTCGCTCTTTCCCATCCTTCCTTCCTCGCCCTCCTCCTCCCAACACTCACCCCCCCCTTTCCCCCCCTTTTTTGTGTCTCCCCACCCCACCACACCGCAGTGGGCTGGTTTGCACGCGATGCCTCTGTCCTTCAACGAGTCGGCTCCACTCTCTTCCACTCCCCCTCCCTTGCCCCCTCCCCCTCCTCCACTTCCTCTTCCCCATCATCCTCCTCCTCCTCCTCCCCCTCCTCCCTCCGCCCCTTCACCGGCTGGCTGGTGGCGGAGGACGCGTTTGAGCTAGCAGACAAAGACGCCGCCCGCGCAATCTACGACAAGATCTCGCCACATATAGACGAGATCGCAGCATTGCTGGGCGGGCGGCCGGAGGAGAAGCGGGTGGCGGGGGAGGAGGGCAGCGAGGTGGGAGGCGTGCACGAGTGGGTGGACGCCATGAGGGTGCTGCAGGTGAGCAGAGGTGCAGCAGTGATGTTTTAGTTGTTCAAATGATACAACTGGTGAGTGTGGTGAGGGCGCACAAGTGGCCTTCTCTCTCCCCTTCTCCTCTCCCCTTCTCCTCTCCCCTTCTCCTCTCCCCTCCAGCTGATAGAGGTGTGTCAGTGCCACAGGCAGTGGATCACGTTTCACCACCCTGATTTCTACAACAGTCTCAAATATCACATTCCTTCCTTTTCCTCCGCTCCCGTTCTCTCCCGTTCTCCCTCCCCCAATCCCCCAGCTGATGGAGGCGTGGCAGTGCCACGGGCAGTGGATCACAGCGCACAGCCCTCCCTTCTGAGATGTATCACAATTCGTCTCCCTGCTCTTCGTCTCTCTCTGACTTCACCCTCCCGCACTCGCCCCTTCCCAGCTGATGGAGGCGTGGCAGTGCCACGGGCAGTGGATCACAGCGCACCGCCCCGCCTTTGGTCCGGGAGTGGCGCAGCGCTTCCAGGCTGCCAGCGCTGTGGACCCGCAGGGGGAGGCAGTGGCGCACGCACGGGAGAAGAGAGCCGGATTCACATCGCACATGGAGAGCCTCGTTGCGGGCGGCAAACTGCTCATGCTGCCGGCCGCCCCCAGCATAGCGCCTCTGAAGGCCGCCCCGCCTGCTGACGTGGACTCCTTCCGCGTGCGCACCCTGGCCCTCACCGTCATTGGCGGCGCTGCCGGCCTGCCTCAGGTGAAAACAACAGAGGGGCTCAGGTGGGAAAAGCAGAGAAGGAGAAGACGCATGCAGGTGAAGGAGAGGCTATCAGGATTCAGCCTATCAGACTGATGGCCCCATGTGTCCTGAATCCTGATACCCTCTCATTCAGCCTATCAGACTGATGGCCCCTCTTATCTTTCTCTCTTCTCACACCCATGTGTATTCCCTGTCCCCTTTTCTCCTCACCCCACATCTCCCTCTCTCTCGTCCTCCCCCCTGTCCCCTGCCTCTCCCCTCCTCTGCGCTACCCTCTGCTTCCCCAGGTGACGGTGCCGCTGACAAGGCTGCAGGGGAGCCCCCTGGGGCTGGGGCTAGTGGCGGCCAGGGGGTGGGACGAGGAGCTGCTCGCCCTCGCCGTGCGCCTGCAGGCAATCCTGGACCTTTCAGTGTGACTCGCCCGCCAGGCCAGTGTGGCCTCTCACGTCTTGGATCATCATTGAATCCGCTCAAAAGCCTTCACTACAGCCTATCATCTTCTGATGCGCCTCAACCACTCTCAGATGCGGGCTAAGATGCTGTATGCTGCTGTTGCCATTGCCTGCCTGGGCATGCTGCTGGGATGCGGTTGTGCGGGTGGCAGTTGTGCCGGGTGCTGCAGTCAAGAAGGGCAAGTTTTGGGACATCTCAAGATGCGCGCGTTACATATTGGAGAATCACTTCAACACAAAGCATTCCCCTGTAGTATACTCTAGTACCGGTACAATCCTTTTCCCTGTACGAAATCTCTAGCTGGCAGGCTGTGAGGCTAGGATCCAAGTACTACCTAGCTCAATAGTCATCATCAACTTGACAAGCCACGCTCCTCCTCAAGTTCACACCACCTGCACGGCCTCAGGCCGCCACTCCCCATTCAGCACACTCTCTGAGGGACAGTACACCCGCAGCGCCACCGAAAACATTGCATTCGGTGTCGGCAGCCAGTTGGCCCCCAGGCTCGCATTGACCGGCGCGGCCAGCTGGATGGGAACAGTGAGTGTGCCGTCCGGATTGAACACCAACCCCTTGGTGCGATCCCCGATGCTGTTCCGCCACATGCCCTCGGGAAGAAACCCATCCGCGTCATACACTGTGAGCGACCAGAAGCCGCACGCGGTGACGGGCGGTGGAGAGAGGTGCAGCGAGTAGTTGGCGGAGGAGCCGTCGTAGCGCAGGCCAAAGGGCCCCTGCCAGGTGAAGAAGTAGAGCGATTCGGATGCGGGCAGCGCTCCCAGACCCCCTGTGGATGAGAAGGCCGCTCTGAACAGAAAGCGATCGCCGTAGCTGATGGTAGGAGGAGAGGGGCGGAGGAAAAGGGAAAGAGAGAGATGGAGAGGGCGAGGGTGAGAAGCAAGAGAAAACAGGGAGAAGGGGAGAGCTAGGTTATGCAATGCAGCATTCTGTGCGTCGGGAAACCAATTCACACCCCACAGTGCTGTTGCCTACGCATGTAATCTCTCCCGCCCTCATTCACCCCCCCCAACGAACTACCCACTCATCCCCCCCCCAACGCACTATCCCAGCGACGTGTCAGCGAGCCAGCGGTTGACGACCACGGAGCGGTTCACGCCCAGCAGCATGAGCATGTACGCGCCCCTTATTGTCACGTTCGCCAGTGCGTACGCCTGCGCGAGCGCGGTGCTCTGCAGCGGTGAGAGGGCCGCGGGGGAGAAGGGCGGCGCGGAGGGGGAGATGCCTATGCCTGCCAGCTGGCTGAGTGCCCTGTGGGGGAGGAGGGAAGGGAGGAGAAAGGGGGAGGCAGAACGGAACAAGAGGAAGAGAGGGGTGAAGGGGCAGGAGGATGGGAAGAGGGGGTGCATGGAGAGTTAAAGTGACGTCATCACATGGGCATGTGACGATTATAGGGAGTTAGGCAAGCATGTGGGTATAATGAGGGCGCAACACGGGACTGTGACTCACTCGAGGTTAGCCTGGTCCTGGGCGGGCGGGTTGTCCTGTAGTGTGCGGTCGATGAGCACCAATCGCTGCATGCCATCTGGCAGCCCCGCCAGCTTAGAGAGGTCGGGCGGCGGCAGGGGGGTGGGGGGGGCGTTGGTGGTTGGGCGCGTGAGAGTGACGTTGCTGGGGGGGAGGGATGGGGAGGGGAGGAAAAGCGGAATGAGCGGGGTAGGGAGCAGAAGGGAGGCACAGGGAGGAGGGGTTGAGGAGGGAGGTAGGGTCGATAGCAGAGTGACCTGAGAGGTGGGCGATGGGCGATGGGTGGTACGTGATGGGTGACGGGTGTTTGGTCATGTCATCACCTGGCCGTTTACCTCAGCAGGCTGCTGGCAGCTGCCACGTCATCAGGCCCCGCCACCAGCACGCGCACGATCACAAACACATTGCGAGTCCTGCTGCTCACACTCAACACTGTGTCGCTGCTGCTCGAGGCCTTCTCCTCTCCCCCTCCCCCTCCCCCTCCCCCTCCCCCTCCCCCTCCCCCAACCCCTCCCCCACCCCCACCCCCACTCCCTCCCCCGCCCCCACCCCCTCCCCCTCCCCCACCCCCACCCCCACCCCCACCCCCGCCCCCGCCCCCGCCCCCGCCCCCTCCTCCCCCCCCTGCTGCGCCTGCCTGACTAAAGTCGGTCCCCTCTCCCCCCTGCCCCTGCCCCTGCCACTGCACCATGACAGCAAGCGGCCCGGCCCCATGGGTGCGCGCACCGAACACGGCGAGCACGTCGCTGAAGGGGTCGAGCAGCAGCGCGCTGTAGTAGCGCGGCTGGGGCACCAGCGGCAGAGAGAGCAGTAGAGGGCCCGCGGCGAGGTCCAGCCATGCTGACGCGTAGAGCGTGTCCGTGTTGGACACTGGGATGGTGGACTGCGGTGCAGAGGGATTGGGTAGGTGGAAGGATGCAAGGGGACGGGGAGGGGACGAAGGGGAAGAAGTAGGGGGAGGGGAAGTGGGGAGGAGGGGGAAATTGGGCGGAGTGGGAGGTGGGAGGAGGGGGAGGAGAGGCGAAGGGAAGAGTGTGAAGTGATGCACGCAGCCCATGCACATGGCACCCTTGGTTACCGGATTACCAAGCCAGCCTAGCAGCTGGGTGTGGGGCCGCAGCAGGTGAGTTTAGAGTCTTATACGAAGCGCACCTGGTCTTGCGCGGTGGTGATGTTGGTCTGCTGCTGCAGCGCGTTGATGGCAGGGTAGGTGGCGGCGTTGCGCTGCGATGTCACCAGTGGCTGCCCCCACACGTGCGCCGTCAGTCCCCCCTGCAGGTACCTGGTGGCATGGGGGCATGGGATGTGGCATGGCATGGCATGGCATGGCATGGCATGGCATGGTATGGTATGGAATGGCTGCCCCTTACGACATGACTCAAGTACCGGGTGTGTAAGCATCGAATTACGCGCATTGCATCGCATTCACCTGCCGTATTCGCCATCCAGTATTCCGCTAATGAGCGACGCGTTACTGCGACTGTCTGATCCATTCCCACCGGCTGTGCCGCCCAGCCCGTCTCCGCCAGCGGCGGACGGAAGAAGCCACGGCGCCGAGGCAGACGTGTTCGCAGGCGCAAAGGCAGGGGTCGGAGGAGAGGCGGAGGGCGAGGGGTTGGCGGATGGCGGCGGAGAGGCGGAGGCAGGGCGAGGAGGCGTGTCGGCAATGCTGTAGGAGCTCTGCGCGGCGACTACAACGGCTGCGAGCGACGCCACAATGAGGAACAGCGGCAGCCTCGCGGGATGCGAAGAATGGGCCGCCATGAATGGCTGAACGAGGGGAGCTGACAGCATCGCGCGCTATGAGCGTTGCTTGATTGACGCATCAGCGTACAGTGAACGTTGAGTTTCACTTATCAGGCTGGTTCCGTCCCGTGTCAAAAAGGAGGAGCCCAAGTACCGACGATGGCAGAAGTTGGCGTTACTCGTCGTATCGGCTCGGTGAGACTCACCACCTCGCGAGCTCCGTCGACTGATGTCTTCTCACATCCCCATTCGGCGCAAACCCTTGAGAAAGCTCCGCCCACTGTTCTCTTGCATCCCCATTCCGGCGTGACCTCGCGACCCCAGGCGTGAATGTAGAGTAACGCCGAGTGGTGCGCGGCTGACGCCAGGCATGGCAGCGGCATCGCGATGCGGGAGACGCGGCGAGCGGACGTGACGTGCAGAGCGAGGCGGACTGCTTGTTTGTGACTTGTGACGCGCTACTGTGCGTGCGGGTGCAACAGCAGGATACGGCAAATTCGAGGCCAGAAACAAGATTCCAGCTCGGGCAGAATCAGGTGTTATGAGCGGTTGGGGGGCTGAGGAAATCTCAATGTCCCGAATTCGGCCTGATTGCATGAATACACTTCATATAACTCGAAATGCAAACTCATTATACGAGTCAGTGAGATAAAATGTTCTGTTACACTGAACCAGCTCACACGCGAGTCAACACTCGAGGCAATGTCGGGCTCGTCAATATCGGCTAAACACATAAGCCCAGCCCCCAAACACCCACAAGCCAGTAGACGCTGCTCACTGTGATCAGCTCGACAAGATTCGAGTCGCTAGACATGGCAGACCTCCGATCTTCCAGGTACGCGAGCCCCGCCTCTCTCCCTCCGCTTCCCGCCGCACTGGCTTGTCCCCTTCCCTCTCTTGCCGTTCTCGCTGTGCCTGCTGAGCGTCCGCGGGCTTTGCGCGTCTCCCCCAACCCCTGCGCGTTCTCCTTTGCGCGCTCCTCGTGCGCCTGCCCGCAGGGACGACGAGGGCGAGGAGCGCGGGGGCTGGGCGCACGAAGACAAGGCGCGCGGGGAGCAGGGGCGCGCGCGCGAGTGGGAGGAGGCGGAGCGGCAGAGCCGCGAGGTCAAGCTGGGACTGCACCCGCTGCAGGTGCGCTTCCGCATTGTGACTGTATCGAAATATTTTGGACAGGAGACTGCATTTGCAGAGCTTCACCGAGTGAATCGGGTTCTTGCATTGAGCACCTCCATCCGTCCACCCCTCCATCCCCGCTGCAAGCAGACGCGCTACGTGGTGTGGTACACGCGGCGGCAGCGGCAGCCGCCCGGGCAGCGCAGCGCGACGTCGTATGAAGACAGCATTCGGCGCATCGCTGACTTCAGCACTGTGCGTGACTGGTTGGGGGGTTGGGGAAGAGCGGAAGAGGAATCGGGAGAGATAGGGGGAGGAAGGTAGGGGGGAGGAGGTAGGGGGTGGGGTGGTAGGGGAGCATTCGCCCTCCGAAGAAAGCTCCGGGCGAATGAGGGAGTTGAGCATCGTGAGCGTGGCTGTGGGCTGTCGTGGTGGGGGAGTAGAGGATACAGGGTGCGGCTCTATGGTGGAAAGGGGTAGAGTGGTAACTCGCTCTGTAGCAGCATGGGTTCGCCAGAATGTGTGTCATGTCACTTCCTTCCTCCCCTTCATTTCACATCACCGCCCAACCACCCTCACTCACTCCCCATTGCCCCTCTCCCCATCCCCCTTGTTCACCCCCCAGGTGGAGGGGTTCTGGGGGTGCTACTGCCGCATGGTGCGCCCATCCGCGCTGCCCGCCCCCACGGACGTGCACGTCTTTAAAGACGGCATCCGCCCGCTCTGGGAGGTGAGCGCCCCTCCTCTCCCCTCTTTCCACCGCTCAGAGTGTATCCCCTCTTCACTGCGCTGCCCGCCCCCACGGACGTGCACGTCTTTAAAGACGGCATCCGCCCGCTCTGGGAGGTGAGCGCCCCTCCTCTCCCCTCTTTCCACCGCTCAGAGTGTATCCCCTCTTCACTGCGCTGCCCGCCCCCACGGACGTGCACGTCTTCAAAGACGGCATCCGCCCGCTCTGGGAGGTGAGCGCGCGCCCGCCACACCGCTCAACCCTCTCTCGTGGTCGTCGCCTCGTGGCCTCTTCTCTTCCCTCTCTGTGCCCAGATGCGCCAGCCCGCCCTGCTGATCCCCTCCTCCACCTCCGCCCCTTCTTCTCGTATGCAGCAACCTGTTGCTTACCCCCTCTCTTCGCCCTCTGTGCGTCCACCCCCCCTTTCCCTCTTCCCCCTTCCTCCTTCCGTTATCCATACGTCCCCTCCTCCCAACCCCCGTGCCCCCCTGTAGGACGCGCACAACCGGCGGGGGGGCAAGTGGATGGTGCGTCTGAGAAAGCCGCTCACTGCGCGCATGTGGGAGCAACTGGTGAGTTGTTGCAAGGAGGGGCAGCGATGAACTCGAGAGGAGAGAGGGGGCAGATGGTCAGTAGCAGAAAGGGTAGCAGCCGGAGAGCACGGATTGGGGGTGAGAGGCAGAGGGGTAGAGAGGCAGAGTGGGTGAGAGAGAGAGGTTGTGAGAGGCAGAGGGGGAGACAGAGGGTGTGAGAGGCAGAGGGGGAGACAGAGGGTGTGAGAGGCAGAGGGGGAGACAGAGGGTGTGAGAGGCAGAGGGGGAGACAGAGGGTGTGAGAGGCAGAGGGGTAGACAGAGGGTGTGAGAGGCAGAGGGGTAGACAGAGGGTGTGAGAGGCAGAGGGGTAGACAGAGGGTGTGAGAGGCAGAGGGGGAGACAGAGGGTGTGAGAGGCAGAGGGGGAGACAGAGGGTGTGAGAGGCAGAGGGGGAGACAGAGGGTGTGAGAGGCAGAGGGGGAGACAGAGGGTGTGAGAGGCAGAGTGGGAGACAGAGGGTGTGAGTGGCAGAGGGGTAGACAGAGGGTGTGAGAGGCAGAGGGGTAGACAGAGGGTGTGAGAGGCAGAGGGGTAGACAGAGGGTGTGAGAGGCAGAGGGGTAGACAGAGGGTGTGAGAGGCAGAGGGGGAGACAGAGGGTGTGAGAGGCAGAGTGGGAGACAGAGGGTGTGAGAGGCAGAGGGGGAGACAGAGGGTGTGAGAGGCAGAGGGGTAGACAGAGGGTGTGAGAGGCAGAGGGGTAGAGAGGCAGACGGGAAGCAGCTGGTATGACATGTGCCTCCGTCCTCCTCCTGTTCATCCCCCCATTCAACCCCGCGGCTGATGGCGGTGGTGGGGGAGCAGCTGGAGGGTGTGGAGGAGGTGTGCAGGGTAGGTGTGCCAACCTGTGTCCCGGTCCTCTTACCTTCAATCTTTCCTTCAATCTTCCCTTCAGTCTTCAATTCAATCCCCCCTTGCATCCGCTCCAATCCCCCCCTTCAGTTGATGGCGGTGGTGGGGGAGCAACTGGAGGGCGCGGAGGAGGTGTGCGGGGTGGTGCTCAGTGTGCGCTTCGGTGAAGACATTCTCTCCATCTGGAACCGCTCTGCACCGCACAGCCTGGTGGGTGCAGCACTTGCTGTTAAATCAGCCTAAGGAGTGCAGGACGGTCGCATCACATCACATGGGAGTCCTTACGTGGTTGATTGGGTGTGTTGATGACCACATGTTCAATCAATGTCTTTGTTTTCTTTGATTGGGTGTGTTGATCACCACATGTTCAATCAATGTCTTTGTTTTCTTTGATTGGGTGTGTTGATCACCACATGTTCAATCAATGTCTTTGTTTTCTTTGATTGGGTGTGTTGATCACCACATGTTCAATCAATGTCTTTGTTTTCTATGATTGGGTGTGTTGATCACCACATGTTCAATCAATGTCTTTGTTTTCTATGATTGGGTGTGTTGATTGCCATTCTCTCATTTATGGCATGGCATGGAGTGTAACAACAGGCGCGGGACAGGCTGTGTGAGTCGATTCGGAAGCACCTCAACCTTCCACCATCCTACACCATGGTGAGACATGCCTTTCGCCTTCATGCCATCCATCACCCCCTCATGCTATCCACCACTCCCTCATTCTGCTTGTCTCCATGTGCCCTCGCGTCCTCACCTGCCCTTGCCTCATCCCTGCCCTCACCTCCTCCCTGCCCTCACCTCCTCCCTGCCTTTGACGCCACCAGGAGTACAAGCCGCACGACGCCTCACTCAAGGACCATTCCTCCTACCGCAACACGTGGGTGCGCACATAGCCCACGTGGCACACATCCAACTGACACACATAGCTTACGTGTCATACGCAGCCTACGTGGCATGTAGTGTAGCTCACCGTGACACGCAACTTGCCCCACACACAAGCAAGTCTGTTTCATCCAGACCACTCCGGCCAGTGAGGCTTTGTGATGTAGCTGTAGCAGTGAGGCTTCAACATGTCTGCTCCTTGTCCCCTCATGGCACCATGCTTACTGTGCCCTGTAAGGGCCACTATGCCTAGTGTGCTGAGCAAGGAAAAAAGAATGGGTATAGCATACCGTACGTATCAGAAGTTTTAACATTCCCAACTGCTCAAGTGACTGAACTCTTTGGCACTGGTACCCATCCCTTATACAACGGGGTCGTGGGAAGTGTGTGGAAATAAATAACAAAAGTAAGCATATATGTTATACGATGGGTGTACATATAGGTCTTATTCGAAGTTCTGATGTTTAGAGATCATTCACACCACTGCAGTCAATAATCACAGCACCCTCGAATCCCCGGCTATCGTACCATCGCTTGCGCGATACCGAGAGTTGATTTGGCTTCGCCTCTTGTCCTCGCGAAACGGTGCACCTCTCCATATCCAGTTTTCGTCACTTCGTTAACAGACTGGCCACATTTCGCAAATGCATACAAGTCATCGCAAACTCGCCGAATCGCGCATCCAAAGCACAATTACAGTACTCGCAGCGATTGATCCGCTCACGGAAATTACTGTACAGGCTTCCCATCCCACCCATGCCTCACATCTCGTGCGACTTGGATTCCCAACATCTACATGCGCGACTCACGGCGCCATCCCTCGAAGCAGCAGAACAAAGCCTATAAAGAGCCACCATTGCTTCAACAAACTTCAAGCAGCTCTACCCTTTTCTTTTCAAAACTGCTAAATAGCACAAACTCGCCGTTTCAGTCTAGTCGGATACAAACAGAAGCGAAAATGACTTCCTTGGCCAGACCACTTTCTTCGTCGTCGTCCTTGCCTCTGCGATTGTACTTTCTTCTCCTGCGCGTGTCTCTGCTGCCGCTAACGCGACTTCTCCTGCTAACAAGACTGCTTCCGCTAAGGCGGGTGCTCCTGCTAACGCGACCGGCGCCGTAGTGGCGACGGCGAGGCAAAGCAAGGGCGCGGGCGAAGGAAAAAACTCCACATGCGCCTATTACGGCAACTACAACACTAACCCATACTTCAACAAAGGGCTCACCGCGAAGCTTCCTCCTGCCGAGTTCGGCAAGCGGTGCGGCGCGTGCTACCGGGTGGTGTGCACGAACGACACAAAGCGCTGCCACACAGGAAAGGCGACCGTGACCGTCCGTGTGGTCGGCGAAACCACCACGGAGAAACAGCTCTCTCTCTCCACCGCCGCTTGGTCCAAGATCGTGCACGGATCCGACACCGCCCCCGTCAGCATCACGTACAAGCGCGCCAACTGCGTGGTGTCGACCCTCGGATCAGGCGTCCGCGTGCGCAGAAACTCGACGGCGGAGAAATTCAACATTCAGATGGTGGGGCTTGCCGCCCCGGCACGCTCAAGGAGGTGGAGCTCAGCGCGGACGGCAAGAAGTGGGCGAAGCTGACGCGCGACGGCAGCAAGGCCGTGTGGGTCATCGCGGGCGCGGAGGCGAAGGAGGTGGTTGGCGCGAAGAAGGCGATGAGCGTGCGCCTGACTGCGGGGCACACCCTGGAGAAGATCACGCTCGCGAATGCCATTCCCGCTGACTGGAAGCCCGCGACGGTGTATGCGTCAAAGGCCAATTTCAAGAAGATGATGGCTGAGAGCAAGTAGCGCAGCTGTGGGACGTTTCGGGGCACCGCCTGGAAAAGTATCTGTGCTCGTCTAAGGCCAACTTTATAGAGGCATTTTCGAAGGTAAGTGGGCGGTGGCGTGGCGGTTGACATAAGGGATGAACAAGAATGACTTGAAGCTCTTCAAGTGCTTTCAACTTGTCTGAATAGTGGGTGGCGGGTGGGTGGGGAGTGGGGCTGGAGAGCAGTGGGTTTGCAGAACTGGGGGAGGGGTTGGAGAAGGGAGTGTGATGGTGCTAGGGCTAAAGAATGCTCCTGTGTGCATGTACCGTACCTCCTGTATGGATATACCAGTGGCCTTGTATCCATGTGAAAAGCGTCTGACGCAGTTCATGGCCCCTGCACTGCACATGGCACACAGATTGGCAAGTATAAGCTGAGCCTGCACCGCACATTCTATGCGCAGTGTTCTTTACAGCCTTATAACTTAAATTAGAAGCTACATGCCATTACATCTAGCCAGCTATGTTGAGTTCATGATTGCACTTGCCACAAGGCTCAAGCCCTCACTTGGTAGTGAGTGACACCAGGGCCTAGTGTGCTCTGTAGAGAAGAATGCCTTCCAATCCTCCTTGCCTGCCTGCCTGTCTGCCTGCTGGTTAGCTGGCTGCCGCGGCAGCACTTGCGCCTTAGCTTACTGTCTCCGGTTGGCGTTCCAGAATTGATGCACATACTGCGTGCACACGTGGTGCATGCTCACAGCTCCATCCAATCCAGCACACAAGTGCTTCTCACAACCCTCCTCCACTCCCCCTCACAGCCCTCCCGCCGCCACGGCTTCTTCTGCCGACATGACGCCGTCTGGAATCGATCCCACACCCTTCGCTTGCCGCACCGCCGATTCGCCCTCCCCATGGCTACTCCCCACAACCCCCCCTCCATACTCCCCCACTGCTCTTTGTGCATCCATCCCTTCACTCACACTCCCTCCCGTCCCCCCACTCATCGCCTCTCCCCTTGACCCACTCCCCCCTAGTCGGCTCGCCCCTAATCTGTTCCCCCCAGAAGCACTCCCCCCCGACCTCCCCCCGTCCCCCAATGCCCCCATGTGCGGCTGCTGCTGCTGCTGCGAGGACTGGAACATGGGGATTCCCAGCCCTGCCACTGCTGCTGTGGCATCCATTCCCACCCCCTCCCCACTTGCCTGTGGCGGCTGCTGCTGCTGGTAGGGTTTGAACGAGTGCATATCCGCCTGCACCTGCTCCTGGTGACTCTGCTGCTGCTGCTGCCCTTGTTGCTGATGCTGCTGCACTCCCGCCTGCCCCTGCCCCAGCACCCCACTCCCCTGCGCGGCCCTCCCCTCCCCCCCGTCCTCCGGAATTGGCTTCATCTCAGGGACCCCAGGGGGGTGCTTCCCTCTCCCGGAAGACGTGGGGGAGACGGAGGGCTTGGGCTTGGCGCGCACGTGGCGCTGCTTGCGGGCGCGCGAGGGGCCGTGCACCAGACGCGTGAAGCCCAGGAAGCTGACCGTGCCGTCAAAGTTGGTCCACTCGTCTAACAAAGCTGCGTTGGCCATGGACTCTACCTGCCCCAACTCCTGTGGGGGGGGGAAGAGCGATGAGGGGGGCACAGAAGGGGCGCAGAGACGGGTCCGCAGCAAGGGGAGGAGGGAGATGGTGTTTTGGTAGCTTATTCTGAAGCTACCAGGAAGCTGACGGTGCCGTCGAAGTTGGTCCACTCGTCCAGCAGGGCCGCATTGACCATTGACTCCACCTGCCCCAATTCGTGTGGCGCATGGAAGAGAAGTGAGGGGAGGAGAGATGGGGAGCAGAGAGGCAACAGCAGAGAGGGGAGGAGGGAGGGTGTTTTGATTGGTGATTCTGAAGCCGAGGAAGCTGACGGTGGTGTCGAGTCCAAGCCGGCTGCGATTGCCATGGACTCTACCTGGCCCAACTCCTGTGGGGGGAAAGAGTAGCGAGGAGGGCAGGGAGAGAGCAACACGCCAGGTACGCCAAGTGTGGTCAGTACGGAGTTTACTAAACGGAGCACAGGCAGTGAGGCAAGCAAGCCGCCTCACCTTGACTAGCTCATCGATAGTAACGTGCGCCTTGCCGCCTCGCACGAACGTCTGGTACGCCACGCGCGCCCGCTCGGGCCAGTTGGGCAGCGCCTCCAGCTGAAACACGTTCAGCGCTGCTGCACAGAAGTCCGTGAATGGCATCCGCGATATGCGCGCTGGCTCTAACTGTTATATGGAGGAGGGGGAATGGGGAAGGACGGGAGGAGGAGGGAAGAGGTTGAAACAGGCGAGCAAGTCCATGACCCTGCCACGCCCCACACACTCCCTGCCACCCGCCTCACTGCAACTGGCCTCGACCGCCTCCAGCTAAAACACGTTCAGCGCCTCCAGCTAAAACACGTTCAGCGCCTCCAGCTAAAACACGTTCAGCGCCTCCAGCTAAAACACGTTCAGCGCCTCCGCACAGAAATCCGTGAATGGCATTTGCGATATGCGCGCTAACTCCAGCTGGTGGTGGGAGGGGCATGTGGGAGTGGGGAAGGAGGGAAGAGGTTGCAACACAAGAGCGTGAGGAAAAACAAACCCAAAGCCATGCAGCCTGAGAGTCCATGAGCCTGTCACGCAGCTCACCCTGTCCCCCTTCCACCACCCTTCTTGCTCCCTATTTCCCCCTTCACCCCACGCCCCTCACCATCTTGAGCAAGCCGGTGGTGTGTGACTCCCTCATCGCTTCCATGGCTCTTGAGTTGACTCACAGCCACCCTGCTGTCTGCCTTGTCACCAACCCACTTCCAACCCCTTCACTCCCTACCCCCCCCCCTTCCTCACCGTCTTGAGCAGGTCGATGGTGTGCGACTCCCTCATTGCGTCTGTTGCCACTCGCTGCATTGCCTGCTTGCCACCCAGGCAGAGGGCACAGTGTGGCCAGTAGGGTGGCAGGGGGGAGGAAGAGGGGGGGAGGTGGCAGGAAGGCGATTATTGGGCTAACTCAGGCCACTCGCTGCATCGCCTGCCAGTCACACTGGTGGCACGTGAGGGCGAGGGTGCGTTGAAGAGAGGTGGGCGTGAGTCGGCATGTTCAAGGGAGTCGGACAGTCAACAGAGTCTCATCAAGTCATCGCAATTCAAGGCTCACGTTCTAGAGGTCGTTGAAGTCAATGAGCCCATCAAAGTCAACGCAAGTCAAAAGTCAGTTGGCCAATCAAAGTCAACGCAAGTCAATCTCACGTTTTTGAGGTCGTTGAAGTCAATGAGTCCATCCCCATCCACGTCCATGTACCCAAACTGCGCCCTCAGATACACCAACTCGTCCTCCGTCAGCGTCGGCACCAACGCCTGGTGGGGGGAGGGGGAAGGGGAGGGGAAATGAAGGTGGTGAGAAGGGGGAGAGGGGGGGGCAGGAGAGGAAGGAGAGGGTTTTTTAGATAACAAGAAGATTGTTTCTGCATCTAAGAACCCCAACCGCGCTTCACTAATGAAGAAAAGGTGGGCGCAGGGGAAGAGGAGGAGGAGGGGGGGGGAGGGGGGGGGGGAGCGAAACAAAAAGAAGGAGAAGCACAGCAGCTCTTGAACTCCAGCATCTCGTGCTGTGCTGTCCACCTCCACCACTCACTCACCTCCACCCCCGTTCCTGAGCTCTGCTCACCTTGAGCCCAGCTCGTCGGAGCGGAGAGAAGGAGAAGAAGGCGCGCAGGCTCTTGTACACCGCGATGTCCAGCGGGATGCGCGCACTGCTGCTGCGGATCCACGGGTGCGCTGCAGAGAGGGCACGGTGGGAGAAGGTGAGGAAGGCGGTTTGAAAGGAAGGGAAGGAGAGGGGGAGATAAAGGTGCGGATGAGAAGCGGGGTAGCAAAAAGTGTGGTGAACACAGGCTGCTGTGCTGCTGATACAGGGGTGCGGATGGGTTGGAAGGGGTGCGGATGGGTTGGAAGGGGTGCGGATGGGTTGGAAGGGATGAGGGATGGGAAACGAGTGTAGGGTGGTCACGTGTGCATGCCACTCACTCAGTGCCTGGGCGGCTGTGGGGCGGCGGCGGTAGTCCTTTGTAAGCAGGCGGTGCACAAAGTCCCTTCCAGCATGCGACACCGCCGGCCACGGTGCGTCTATCAGGTTTGGCTCCAGCCGCAGCACGGCACGGAAAATGCCCGACTCCGTGCGCGCCCAGAAGGGTCTCGACCCCGACAGGAGGATGTAGGCTATGACTCCCACGGACCACACGTCAGCTTCAGTGCCATAGGCTCGGTGGAGGACCTCCGGGGCGATGTAGTACGCCGAGCCTACGATGTCGTTGAGCTTCTGGTCGGGGCGGACGAAGTCGGAGAGGCCGAAGTCGATGGCTCGTAGTGCTGAGCCCTCGTCTCGTGACTTGAAGAGGAAGTTCTGATGGCACAGGGTGGTGTGTGGTGGGTGGGTGGTAGGGCGAGGCATGGGGGATGGAGGGATAGTGGGGAGGATGGAGGGTGGAGAGATAGGGGAAGGTGATGGGAAGAGGGTGGAGGGATAGGGGAAGGTGATGGGAAGAGGGTGGAGGGATAGGGGAAGGTGATGGGAAGAGGGTGGAGGGATAGGGGAAGGTGATGGGAAGAGGGTGGAGGGATAGGGGAAGGTGATGGGAAGAGGGTGGAGGGATAGGGGAAGGTGATGGGAAGAGGGTGGAGGGTGGAGGTGGGGGAACGTCGTTAGGAGTTGAAGTGCCAAAGAAGGGGCATCATCAGTTGGCCACAACTGGACCACCACCGTTCTCAGCTTAGTCTGCTCTCCTAGAGGCTCTTACCACTAGCGGTTCTAGGAAGCTCACGGACCTCGGGCTTTAAGTCGCGGTGCACGACGCCCTGCTGGTGCAGGAAGGCAATGATGTTGAGAATCTGGCGCATCACCTCCCTCGCCTCGTGCTCCGGGTACTTGCCTCCCCTGGGTGACATCACGGACGGGAGGTTAAGCGGGATGGGTTGGGGTGGGGGAAGGGGTGAGTTGTGAAGAGAGGACAAACGAGAGAGACGGGGATAAGGATTGAAGAGGGGAGGAGAGAGGTGCAGCAGTGATGGAAAACGCAATGGGGCGAAGAGGAAGGCAGACTGAAAGCGGAGGAGAGTGGTGGAGAGTAATGCAGAGTGATGGAGAGTGGTGGAGAGAGGGTTGTCAAGCAAACAGAAAGAAAGGTGGCGAGAAAGAAAGTAAACGCAAGAGTGGGAAAGCAGAGGGAAAAGAGCGTTACCGTTGCAGCAGGCGCTCTAGCAGCTCGCCGCCCTCACACAACCTGATGGGCCATGGTGGCAGGGCGGGGCGGGGAGGAGACGGGCAAAGGGAAACGGGAAGACAGCAGGGGAGAGTTGTAAAGAGTGCAGGAGATGGGAGGAGAGTTGTAAAGAGTGCAGGAGATGGGAGGAGAGTTGTAAAGAGTGCAGGAGATGGGAGGAGAGTTGTAAAGAGTGCAGGAGATGGGAGGAGAGTTGTAAAGAGTGCAGGAGATGGGAGGAGAGTTGTAAAGAGTGCAGGAGATGGGAGGAGAGTTGTAAAGAGTGCAGGAGATGGGAGGAGAGTTGTAAAGAGTGCAGGAGATGGGAGGAGAGTTGTAAAGAGTGCAGGAGATGGGAGGAGAGTTGTAAAGAGTGCAGGAGATGGGAGGGGAGGAAAAGCAGGAGGGAAGTAGGTTGGGCTGTGGAACTGATGATGAGCTAGGTAGCTATGTATGCTGAATACTCGTTATAGCAGCACTCACTCCATGGCTATGTACACGTTGAGTTGGTCCTCGTAGGCGTCAAAGAAGCGCACGGCGAACTCCTGCGGGCCCAGCGCGCGCATCAGCCGCACCTCCCTCTTCACGTCCTCCACCGCTATCACCGTCGTCATCTGTGGGTGGGGAAGAGAAGGGGAAAAGAGGGGAGAAGGTGGGGGGGAATGGGGCGCGAGTGAGGGGAAGGAGGGGAGAAGGTGGGGGGAATGGGGCGCGAGTGAGGGGAAGGAGGGGAGAAGGTGGGGGGAAATGGGGGGCGAGTGGGGGAAAGGAGGGGAGAAGGTGGGGGGAAATAGTGGGCGAGTGGGGGGAAGGAGGGAAGGATCGAGTGCCACTATTACTGAATGAAAGGGATGGGGGAGAGGGGAGGGGGAGAAGCGGGGGAGGAAGGAGAGCAAGGAGGATCCTAACCTGGCACAGCAGTGCCACGTCCACAAAACCCTAGAATGCGTCTACAAACATACACCCGTTTTCACAGGGTAATAATCCAATGTACCCCGGAGCGCGGCTCACATTGGCCTTGGGAATGACTTTGATGGCGCACTGCACGCCCTTCACCTCGCCCTTCTTCCCCGTCGCCGCGCACGTGTGCCCGAAGTGCCCGCGCCCCACCTCGTGCTCCAACTCGTACTTGGCGTTAATGTTCCGCGCATACCCGAATTTCTTATTCAGCTCCTTTCCCTCATGCCCCTCCCCCGATCCTCCGCTGCTCCCCGCCCCCGCGCTCCCTGCGCCCGCCGCTGCGCCGAACCCTCCGCCGCCCCCTCCGCCAACCACCACGCCCACGGGGATCTGGTTCCCGCCCCCCGCGGCGCCCTCCGCCGCGCCCATCTGCTTGCCGCGCTCGTCGTCGCGCAGCCGGCTCACGCGCGCCTTTTCCGCCGCCTGCTGCAGAATGCTCCCCGCGAGCCCGTCGAAGGTGGCGGGCGCGGGGGAGAAATTGGACAGGTGGATGGCGGGAGTGCCCATTACCGACATTGCGGGCGACTCGAACACCTTGTTCCGCGGATCCTCGAACGGGCTCAGCCCCGCCCTTCCCCCACCGCCCGCCCCGAACGCGCTCCCCGCGCCATTTCCTCCCCCGGTTGCTTCCCCCCCTCCCGCGTTCGATCCTTCAGCAATTTCGCCGTTCCGCTGTTGAGGTTGCGCCTCCGCGGCGCCTTTCTCCGGCGGCTTCTCATTTGCGAAGACTAACTCCTCCGGCTCTTCCGGTGCGGCATTTTTGTGTCGGCCCTTGTGTTTTCTCCGCCCTCCTTGTTGATCGCCATCCGCTAGCGGCTTGCCCAGGCACGCACCCATACGTGCGGTTACTGATAATTCCCAGAAACAAAGTGAACCGCGTGAACTTACTGATAATTCCCAGAAACAAAGTGAACCGCGTGAACGATGCCCTTGCGATTGCCTTGAAAATAACCGATGTTTTTCAGCTCATAGCGTCTACAATACGATTGTTATGACAGGTCAATAAATAAGACGGTTGGATGCTTCTATGTCGGAGCCAGAGTTTGCTGAGCTCTGCGCTGCGGGTCCCGCCCTAATCGATCGAACCGCGACATAACTCTGAGGCGTGATTCTTCAAAGCGTGAACGTTTGGATCAATATCTTTTTCAAGCTCACATTTCAACAACCCTCAATGCTGACACGATGGCGGTGAAGTATCTCTCCTCTCAATGATGACATGTTAGGTGACTTGCCATGCCAGCAGCGCTCGACGCGCAGCGTTTCCACGCTGGCGGAAACACTCCGCTTGTGCGCTACGCTCTGAGCCAACCATCATGCGCGCGCGCACCTACCTTCATAAGGGCGTCTCGCACGGTAGCGGGGGACGTGGCGGAGTCGACAGCGCACTCAACTCTGAGCGATAATTGGTTTGGATCAATCGCTTTGCTCCCGGAAGTCGGGGGGGTCAGAGTTGAGGCTCTTCATTGGCTGGATTTGAAAAGGCAGGCAGGCTTGATTGGTGTATAGATTAGGTTCGGGGACGCAAAGGGTTTGGCCGGCTGGTGCAGGTGTAGGGCAGTCTGGGGAATGTGCCGGGCTGGCTGGGTGTCATCGGATTGCCTTGCCTGCCTGGTCTGGATGCTGGTTGGGGCAGCAACAATTGATTGGCTGGACCCTGCGCTGCGCAGATTTCCCCGCACCAACCACACCGCTTCGGTCTTGCTGGTGGGCTCCGTATCTTGTCAACAACCAGTGAGGCCTTGCCTGCCCGCTGAGTATTTGACGAGTCAGCAAATTTCTCAACACGCGTCTGATTTCTATCGAAGTTGCGTCCTCCCCGATATCAATGACACAAAACAACCGACTACACCAACTGTACACCACCTTATGGAATTGGGCTCAGCAGATAGTATACACCAATGCCCCTTGGCCTGGGCAAGAGAATGCAACATTTGCTAGAAACAGCACACCTAAAACGGGTGTCTACATTAATATCTAACTGATAAATTACAAGATGGTAACAGAAGGAAACAGGAAATATGCAAGAGTTCTGCACTGCAATCAAACTGCAATCTCGGGTAGGTGTGAAAATGCAAGAGCACAATCAGCGCTTCTTGCCCATATACACTACCACACAACCCACTTCTCACAGACCCCTCTCCGCCCGCCATAAACCTTCCATCCCCACACACCATCACAGCCAACCCCTACTGCAACTCCTGCTCGAGTCACTCACGCCTCATCCGGGGGGAAATCCGGGCGGCGCGGCACAGGCACGGGCAAGTGGTCGCCCTTGGCGCCCTTGGACAGGGCCACCGACCCCGACTTGCTCGACTGCGCATTTGAGTTGTCATCCCCGGGCGTCCAGTGCAGCGTCTCCGAGTAATTCTGATAGCTAAACTCCGACGACTCTGACGTGGACGGGTACGACGAGGACGGCAGTGACGTGGCGTCTGACTGGGACGACGACATGATAGACGCCGAGTCCCGGTGGCTGCCGGCGTAGCTGGACGTGGCGTGGCCGAGATTCTCCACGAGCGCCTTGGCAACGTCGCGGATGGTGGGGCGGTTGACGGCCTGGTCCTGCACGCACGTGCGTGCGATGTCACAGAGCGCGTAGAGCTCGTCCAGGTCAAAGTTGCCCTCCAGCTTGGGGTCCACCATGAGAGGGGTCTTCTCCCTGTCCGCCAGGTACTCCTCCGCCTGCATTCCACCACACATGCACACACACAGGGGGGCACACACAAGGATTCCATTAGGAAAAAATTATATCATGATGGTCATGCAGGCAAGCAGGCATGCAGCTCCAGAGGCAGCAGGCCACCCAGTAGGTCACCCAGCAGGTCACATCCAGCACTCACCCAGTAGGCGAGGGGCTGCCACTCGTGGATGGACTTGTGGCCGGAAATGAGCTCCAGCAGCACGACGCCGTAGCTGTACACGTCCGACTTCTCCGAGAGAATACTCGTGTTGACGTACTCGGGGTCCAGGTACCCGAACGACCCCCGCACCGCTGTCGCCGTGGGAACGAGCTGCTCACCGCCGTCCGCACCCGCCCCGATGGGCGCTTCCTTGCACAGGCCGAAATCAGCCACCTTGGAGTAGCCATCGTCTGAGAGAAGGATGTTGGCCGACTTGATATCACTGTAGGGTGGGGGAGAGGGCGAAAGGAGGGCAGCGAGGCGTGAGCAGCAGAGGATGGAGCAATCTGGGATAACAAAGTAGCCTCAGGCAAAGAGCACAGGAAGTAGGCACAACGCACGAAACACTGAGACAGCGAGACAGAAGGTAAGGAAGGCAACGCACCGATGAATGAGGGGCGGGTCGGCACCATAGTGCAGATACTCAATCCCGAGCGCCACGTGGATGGCAATCTTGGTGCGGCTGTCCCACGACAGCGGGTACTCCTTCGCGCTCTCCCCATGAAGGTGCTCATACAGCGAACCCATGGCCATGTACTCGTAGATCAGCGCACGCTCGCCCTTCTCAGCGCAGAATCCCACCAGGTTCACCAGGTGCCGGTGATGCACGCGCGACAAGAGCTCCACTTCTCGGATAAACTCCACGTCGCCTTGCTTGGAGACTTGGTCCAGACGCTTCACGGCCACGAGCTGCCCGTCCTTGAGCGTGGCCTTGTAGACGGTGCCGTAGCCTCCCTTGCCGATGACCGTCTGCCAGTTGTTGGTGGCCGCCTTCATCTGCTTCAACGTGAACTCGCGCGTCGCCTCTGCAAAAGGGGAAAGCGGGGGAGGAGGAACAGAGAATGTGAGGATGGGGCCCTGCGGGGCAAGGCGAACGGAGAAAGTGCAGGCGGGCGAGTGGAAAGCGAAGGAGGAGAGAGAGAGAAGAGAGTGTGGGGAGTGGGAGGGGAGGAAGCAGCTTGGGCACTCACGGCGGAGGCCCTTGGTGAACATCTTGGAGATGCTCTGGCCGCGCTTGGTGTAGTAGAGGAACCAGACGGCGCCGCCCACTGCGGCGATGGCGATGGCCAGCGACACCGTGATGCCGACGATCATGGGCGTCTTGGACGCCGGCACGTACTCCGTGGTCTGTACTGTTTCTGTGCCGTTGTAGCTCGTGCTTGACAGCTGCGAGGCTGGAATGGGAAGGGGGAAGGAGGGGAGCAGAAAGGGCGAGAGACACCGTGATGCCGATGATCATGGGCGTCGGCACGTACTCGGTTGGTTGCACCGTCTCCGTGCCGTTGTAGCTCGTGCTCGAGAGCTGCGAGGCTGGAGAGAGGAGGGGGGAAGAGGGACGGGAATGGAATAGAATGGAAGAGAGTGGGCGGTGAGGCGCGAGGGGGGCCGGTGCGAGAGGAGGAGCCACAACTGGTGGCGGAAGGGGCAATGGCGGCAGCAGGGGGGCAGTGGCCGGCAGTGGGAGCACAGCTGGGCGGCAGTGGGGCACAGCTGGGGGGCAGTGGGGGCACACCGGGGACGGATGGGGCCGGGAGAGCGGGGGAGGGCGGAGGGGGGCTTACCGAATTTGAGGGTGTTGTAGAACTTGGTGCACTCCGCGGGGTCCTGCGGCTTCTGATCCGCCAGTGCCGGGTTGGCTGACGTGTTCAGACAGTTGGTGAAGTACCTGCATGGGGGGGGATGGGCGGAGAGGGAGGGGGTGGGACACACGGAGAGAGAGGGAGAGGGAAGTTGAGGGGTAGGTGAGAAGGGGTGTGAAGGGGGCAGGTTACAGCAGATCAAGTGACGGTAGCTGCTGGAGTTTGCAGAAATTGGGGGAGTCTTTGCCAGAAAGAGGTGTAAGCAATGGCAGTAGGTGGCAGGGGGGCGGCAAGGGGCGGCAGGGGGCGGCAGGGACTGACTTGAAGTCGAGGTCGCGGCCGGCAGGCACTGGCGGTACTGTGCCGTTGAGGAAGTTGGAACTCACGTCCCTGCACCGCAGGGACACGGGGAGAGCGTGACAGGGAACAGTGGGCGGAGATGGGCGGAGAAATGAGAGGGGAGTGAGGGAGGGGAGAAGAAGGGCGCAGAAGCAGCACGAGAGTGAGCTGTGCAGGCGGACGGGCAAGAATCGACGGACGGCAGGCAGGATGGTGGGGGATGTGGGAGGAGTGCAGCAGGGTGGGAAGCAGAAGGGCGGAAAAAGGCAGATGCGGGCGGAGAAGGGCAGAGAAGGGTGGGGGCGGGCGAGGTTGGGCGGGGCAGGGGCGGGCGGCTCACAGTGCGGTGAGCGTGCGGGGCGCAAAGAGCTCCTTGGCGGGCGGCAGTGGCCCCCACAGCTCGTTGTTGTACAGCACTCTGCGCAGGGGCGGATACGGGTGTGGGGGGAAGGGCAATACGGGGAGTGGGGGGAGAGGGGGAAGAGGAGAGGAAGCTGAAAAGAGGAAGGGGAGGAAGAGATGGATTGGGAGGAAGGTTCGTGGGTGCGACACGGCGAGGCACCGAGCGTAGCAGCAGGAGGAGACGAGCAGCGGCAGGTGAATGCGAGGCGAGGGGAGGCTGAGACTCGAGCAGGAAGGACTGGTGGTGAGGGGAGGGGAAGGCGGGGGGTGTTGATGCGGCGGGGGCGGGTGAAGAACAGCGGACTTACATGTCAGAGATGTTTTTGAGCTTGAGCAGGAACGACGGGAAGCGGCTCTGGATGCGCGCGGCGGGCGCCACGAAGTGCTGCAGCGACGTCATGCCCGCCCACGATTCGGGGAAGGAGCCGTTCAGATTCAGCTTCTGCAGATTGCTGCCGCGCCGAAAAGGGGGGGAGGAGGGGGGGAGGGGAGGAGAGGAGGAGAGGAGGGGGGGGGGGGGGGGGGGGAGCGAAGGGGAGAAGTGGGGGAAGAGGGAACGGGGAGAGAGTTAGGATGGTGAGGAGCGGGAAAAAATGGGCATGGGCAAGCGATGAGTCTTTGGCCGAAACGGACGGTACAGGGCAGGTGGACGGGAAGGGGGGGGGGAAGGGGGGAGGGGGGGGGGTGGGGGGGGAGGATTTGAAAATGCGGCGTGAGCGGGCAAAGGCGACGGTCAAAGCAGCACACAGGGAGGAGGTTGATAAGCAGGCGTGGTAAGATTGATAAGTTGATAAGCACTCACAGCAGCTCTAGCTTCTGGAGTGAGCCCCAGCTTTCCGGCAGCGTGCCTTGAAACGAGTTCCCGCCAATGTCCCTGCGATGCGAGCGTAGCACACAAAGCCGTCAGTATGAGCCACCGGCAAAACGTTTAACTAAATAACGAGACACGTGGCGGTATGAAGCGCAGATGCCGTAAGCAAGCACGCACGATACTTTCCCAGTTAAAGACCACACGAGAGACAGAGCGGATTGAGGTGAACTTGCTCAATAGCGACCCCAAATTGACGAGAGGGCGAAAGGTCGAGTCGCGAGTGCGTACAGTTTTACAAGTTGAGTCAAGTTTCCAATCTCGGGCGGCAGCACGTCGGCCATCTGGTTTTGCGAGAGGGCGAGCCACGTCAGATTGCTCAACGTGGCGATGCCACGTGGGATTGACCCCGTGATGCGATTCAGACTCACGTCGCTGCGAGGGGGAGCGGGGAAAGCGGGGACGCGACAGGACCCCGGGAGCGATGAAGGAAAGTCGTCAGAGACCACACTATCCATCAGCATCGACAATGGCGGCAAAACGATAACAGAGTCACGAGAATGACGGTGGGGGTGCACGGAACGACAACAGGAAACCCGAAAACGCTCGAGAACTATCGAGAATGTTCGCGCATGTTAGAGGAATAGATGCGGCGGCGGCGACGGACTCGAAGCGCGGCGGCGAGCGGAACGTACAGTTTCTGGAGGCTCTTGAGCGCCGAGACCTCCTCGGGAAAGGGACCCACGAACCGGTTGCCCTCGAACATGCTGCTCGCACCGCACCGTACCGCACCGGACCGTACCGCATGCGCAACCACACGGAGGAAAGGGCAGAAAGGCAGGGTTAGACGAACGACGGATAAGCAGATGAACTGAGACTCGATAAACAGGGAGTGCGACCGGGAAGGCACGGAAAATCAAACGTCAGGGATCGACTGTGGATGGCGAGGAGCTGGCGCGACCGACTCGAGCGCAGCACACGGACGGGAGGCAAAGGCGACGCGGCTCACATTTCCTTGAGCTTGGAGAACTTGGAAATAATCGGCGGCAGCACGGGGCCGTAGACGTCGTTGCCCTGCAAATTAATAAGCACGAGATTCTCCAGTGCCGTCATCTTGGCCCACGGGATCTGTCCCTTTAGCGCGCCGGGCGACATCCCCTTGCCGTACGACCGGTCCTTGTCCGCCATCTGGGGGTTGCCTATGTCGCTGCGCGCGCGGAGAAAGGGGAGAACGGTGCGCGGAGAAGGGATGAGTTGAGTGTCGTTGTAAGATGAAGGGGGGTTGGGGGCAGGAGGGGGGGAACGTGAGGGAAAGGAGGATAGGGGAAAGCTGGGGGGGCGGGGGGAGGGGGCGGGGAGAGGCTAGTCCATAAAACGACTTGGGGGCGGCGGGAGCGGAGGGGTGGGGGCGGGGGGGACGGCTTACATGGCGTTAACGCGGCCGTCAATGTCGCAGGTGATCCATTTCCAGAACTGCACGCACGGCTTGGATGTGTTGTACTGCATGCCCAGCGACACGTTCGCCCACGACCCCCACTTGAAAAACACCTCGTGGTTGCCGAAGGCTTTCGCGAATGCCAGCAGTGCCGCCTCTGCACAAGCCACGGCCATGAATAGATATTCGTTAGAAGCGAAGAGGAAGTTAGTTTAGCGCAACGGCAATGACACTGGTAGTGGCCGTTTCGAAATGGGAAAAAAGGAGCAGGGAGAAGGAACAAGCGGCGAAGTGGAAACTATATTGGTGCCGTGAACCGACAATGCGTGAGGCAATGCTCGTACTTTCGGCCATGGCGACGGAATCAGAGGTGGAAAATCCTGGAATCGGGATGATTTCATTTGCGGGATCCCCTGGTGGTGGGGTGGGCGGTGGTTGCGACTGTGCGGAGACCGCCGTTAGTGATATTACGACTACTAAAACTGCTAATAGTGACGGCAAACACTGACGGATACCCATGCTGGGCCAATAAATGAACGCGTGGCGGCTGCTAGTAAGACGGACGTAGAATCGACTCAAAAATATACTCTCCTCAAGAACTTCTGATCTGTACTTCACGCCTGCCTTTGCTCAGTATACAAGATAGCACTTGCGCGTAATATTTACGAAGGACGAATGAGCAGAAGTGCAGGTGACGAGAACTGGTGGGGCGAGCGTAGTGTACACAGGTGGGTGGGTGAGTGGGAAAAATCAATCTCAGCTGAGAGCCACGGGAAGGGTTTTGTGCACCATGCCTCGTGCAAAAAAGGGGGAAGGCGGAAGCTTTACAGATGGGGAGAAGCGGGGATGGGGGCAGGAAAAGGGGGATGGAAACGCGTACAATAAAGTCCCCCTCTCCTCCCCCTTTTCTCCCCCACGACTCAGGCCACACCAAACCAAGCTACACGTAACCGCCAGCGGCAGCTGTCTTTCCGCCGGTAACCTCCAGGTTCCGCGCGGACTGGTAGTGTGCGGTTTCGGTAGGTGTGCATTGAGCATCCGCGTGCCCCCTGATCCAAAACATCAAGCCAGTGAGTGGGAAACCGCTTTCTGTCCACCGAAACCAAACATGAGTGCTGCACTTTATCTAAATTTGGTTACTCAACGTTAACAACCGTGAAGGCACCCAGCTAAACATTTAATTTAGTTACGTATAACTACCTGGGAGACCACCCAGTTCGCTGTTTCCCTGTGGATTCCCCCCTACATTCCAGCACAGCCAACACCTCGGCTTTTAGATATTGAGAAGGTATTGTACAGATAAGCAGTTTCTTCCGCACGCCTGAAATGTTTCCCCGCAGCCCGCTTTAAAGTGCAATCCAGGGGGTTACATTGCCAACTACAAGATACAGAGCTGCTACCTACAGTGCTGCCTGAGGTTCCCTTCTGGTCCCCTGCTGTCCGAGCCCCGCACTCACAAAAGACCCTGTCTGCTGAGGTAGGTAAGCGGGACAAAGAATTGCGGCCCCGCCAAAACAATCGCCGTTTCTTGTTCGGAGGAGCTCACCTGCCTGACATGAGCACCACCAGCGCATGTCTCCTCTCGCCACCATTGCCACCCATGCATTTTCCCAGGCTCCCTAGTTAGAAATCACTGCCGAGGTCACTGCGACATGATGCGCTGCACTGAAAACATGCCCTTGCAACCGTACACATTGTCGTTTGGGCCGGTATCCACCTGAAGCAAGTGGTCAATCTCGACAATGTCATGTTACTGTAAACGCCATTCACTTGCCCTCTCCTCTAATCAAAGCACGACATCCGAGGCGCGGGGACAAGAACATCAGAAACGACAGCACCACTTGGCACGTGTCACACATGTCGCTCGAGTCAGCGCATGATGTGCGCTTGAGGCTGGTTCGTTGCTCGCAGTTATTAGTACACTTGAACTTGGAAAATCGGGGGCCTCTGGTCTCTACACTGGTAATAGGTTCAATGCAACTCACTAAGACGTTTCAAAACTCAAGCACACAATATTACAGCATATTCAAAATTCTTTCGCAAGGCAAACTACCAAAACCAATCCATATCTCCAGACTTCTCGTCTTCAGCCCAAGCTCCCCACCGGCCCTTGGGTGTCAAAGCCGAGCCAGCATCCTCCCTTCGACCCTCCATCCCAACCGCTCTACACTCCACTGCACATCCACCCACACTGCTTGATACACCTGGGGCCTGCAGCCCAGACAGCTGCTGCTTCCCCCCCTGCACACCTCCACTCACATCCCCTCCACCACCACCTCTAAAGCTGCTCCCTTCTCTGTAGCTGCCCCCATCTTCCCTGTAAGAGGATGGGGCAAGCAGGCTGTGGCGGCGTGAGGCGCCACCACTTTCCCTGCTACTGCTGCTGGTGCCAAAACCACTCTCTTGCGACACACTCCGAGGCACCCCAGCCGACCTCGGGACCTCCAGAGAGGAAGAGCGAGGCACGATGCTCCGGGATGGGGATGAGGAGAGACGAGAGGAGGGAGAGGACGTGTAGCTGTCATGGGAGGCAGAGGGGCGGAGAGACGACGGCCGCGAGGAAGACGAGAAGAACCGCGGCGAGCCAATCAGGGGCTCTGCTCCCCCTCCTCCTCCCCTCCCACCGCCACCACCAGCAGAGGAGCCAGCAGAGGCACCCTCAGCACCATCTTCACGAGCCGAGGCACATTCTGCAGATACCGAGGCGAACAGAGAGGTGTGGGAGCGGCGAGGGGAGCTGACTGCCTCAAGGGCCTTCTTGGCAGCGCCAACCACTCCCTTGTGGCTCAGGGCGCTCAACAGGCGCCGGCCAGGCGTGGACGCCTCTCCTCCCCCAGGCTGTGAGTCGGCGGGTAAACTGCAGGGGTCGGGGGCGGTGCAGAACGGTGCCGGAATGTGGTTGAGATCGCGCTTGGGCTCTGAGTGCTGCTTGCGGAGGCTGCGGGCATCGTCGGATGAGGAGGAGCGAGCAATGAGGGAGGGAATACGGGAGGGCGGGCGGGAGAGGGGCTGAGAAGGACTGGAGATGGTAGCGGGAGAAGCTGGGCTGGTCTCGCTTGGTGCTTCCGAGTCGTCTACGTTGAGAGGTGACAGCGATAGGTTCAGTTTTCCTCGAATGCTGTTACTTCTGGTGACGGTACTGTTGCTGTTGTCAAGACTGCTGCCAGTGCTGGTGTCAATGCAAGAGACAGAGGGAGCATTCAAGTCCTTAGTCTCCTTGTCTTCTCTCACGGGCGATCCCAGCCAGAAAAATTCCTCCTCTTGCTCCTTTTCCTCCTTCCCTCTCTCTTGCTGTACCCCCACTCCGCTCCTCCCACTCTCCTCAGCAAAACGGCTAGCAGCCACCCGTCTATCCTCACTCCAGCCCTCTGGTTCGGCACTCCCAAGCCTGCTGGACCCCTTCTGTTCTCTCTTTGAAGGGGACGAAAGCGAAAAGCCCACTCTCCCGAAGCTCACCGCCTTGCTTAGGGCCGGGCCTCTTCGTTCCTTCTCCCTTTCTTTCTCCCTCTCCCGCACCTTCCCCTCATCATTGCCTTGGCCATAACTAAAGGCCGCTGGGGCAGCAGGAGACTGCGATCGTCCCATGCTCAGGCTCATGCGCAGGGATCTGCTAGCAGGGCTATCGCTCCTGTCGCTCTTATCTCTCCGACCGCTCCGCTCACTCCACCACACTCCCTCCCTCCCTCCCCCTCCCTCACCTTCCATTCCTTCTCCCCCGTCCCCTCCCCGAACCCCGCCCACCCACTTCGCAAACGCCCGCTTCTTGCCCTCCTCCCCCCCTCTCGCCGCCCTCTCCCTCTCGCGCTCCTTCTCCCTCTCCCTCGCCGCCTGAACCGCTTGCTGCACCTGCTGCTCCTCCCGCCGCTGCAGGCGCTGCTGCTGCGCGGCCCAGCGCTGCTTCACGCGCTCCCACGACTCCTCGTCCTCGTCCTCGTCCGATATCGCGTCCGCGTCCATCTCCCGCCCTCCGCGCGCCAGGTGGCACGATCTCCGCGCCGCAAGCCTCTCACGAACGTCCGAAATTTGCCGAGCGACGGTCGCGCTCTCCCCGCCCCTGCCATCCCCGATATACGCGCCCTCATCATCGTCGTCGTCGTCTTCAAAATCATTCTCGATTTCCTCGAGCGGCGCGATCGGGGATGTCATGTCGTCGTCATTTTCTGCTTCACTGTATGCATCCTCGTTAAGAGCATCCTCGTCGTCGGGGTCTTCTCTTAAAGCTAATGCCAATCCTTCCTCGTCTATCTCCAACCCATTCCCCTCCTCCTCTTCCTCCTCGTCATCCTCCTCCAATTCCTCCTCTCCATCCTCGCGTCGCGGCCAGTTGCTATTCTGGACGGTCCGTGACGAATTCGGAGGTTGCATTGATTTCAACGACCCTGTGCTGCTGACACGTGGAACGGGCGGCTTGCGCGCGGAGTGGTAGCCGGAGGCGCGCGTACGACCAGAGCTGCTCCCCACGTCGCCGTTTCCGCGGGATGGGAGAGGGGGGCGGGCGTGGGCGCGAGGGGGAGTGATAGAGCCGGGAGGCGCGCCAAACGCGCAAACCATTCCGTTCTGCTGCGCGCGGCTTCCCCTCGCACCTGCCCCCCTGATGCCGTCTTTTAAGCCCTGCTGCTGCAACTCGCTCTCCCTCGACCAATCGCTGTTCGTCTCGCTTCCCACCTGCCAGTCCGAACCTGGTGATGTAATTTGCTCCTGCGGTGACGTGGAATGGGGCTCCGCTGACGTGGAAGAACTCTCGAGAGAGTTGTCGCATGATTCGCCACCTATGCGACTCGAGTCCCCATTTATGTCGCCAAGGCTGTCGCATTCTGAGACTCTAATATCTTGGTATCTCCCAGGGACGCCATCAAACTCTCGACGTTCGACAGTTTCTCCCATTAGAGCGGCTTCGGCCGTTCGTTTACCCGTCGTTTCTTGTAGCGGGGTCTGGGGCGGTTCCTCTATAATCACCTCCACGCGTCGCACCCGGAAACCGCTGGCCGCTCCCGCCGCCGGCGTCGATGATTGCGGCGGCGCTGGCATTAAGCCCCCGAGGAGGAATGTTGGCGACGGTCCATCGCCTGCGACGGTCATCTCTTCGTCGCCTGCGAAATTCAGCGAGAGAGCGACGCGCGTGCCGACAAGATCGCCAGCTCTGTCGCTTTTCAGCAGCTTGAAGTGAATTCGCACCGAAGCGCGATTGTTCTTCGTCACCGCCTCTACGGCTCTCGACCAATCAGCTTCATAGAGCCCATCCGCCAGATCGTACAAGCTTTTCCCGCCAAAATCTTCAGAGCTGGTGTAACCCAGGTCGCGCAACAACCCCCGGCTGACGTGTGCAATGCGGCCTGAGCGCGCCTCCAGCAACAGCTTCGGCTGTCCGGAACCTTCGACTTCCGACGCTACCCTTGCCGAAGCTGTAGCCTGAGGAGCTTCCCAGCCACCACCGGCGGCTGCACCCGAGCCAGTGCGTGCTGCTTCGGAATGCAGCCCGGCAGGTTCGGCTGCAGATAGGACACTTGCGGATAACCCGGAGGCCGAAAATGCAGAGACATTCGATTTGACGTCGTTTTTGTCGTTTCCGCGCGAAAATGAGGAGGAGCGGGGATTGCCGCTTCGTGGCGAGAGGAGGCGAGAGAGGGAAAACGCTCGGTCGGAAGGTTCGAGGGAAGATGCGTCGGCGAGTCGAGCACTGGTGATGGACTTCCGCAGATCGAGGGCCATGGTGGAAAGAACAGAGGGAGATTTGACTGAGTAATGAAAAGATTTCACGCTCGATTCGCGAATGAAACTGCGGAGCGCATTCGCGTTCCCTTACGAACGTTCGGTGTTCGTATATTTCGAAGGGAGGAGACGCCTACAACGTGCTATGGGAGTAAATGTCAGTATTGAGTAATACTATGACTGCAGCTGTAGCTGATAGGAGCGTGGAAGAAGCATAAAGCTAGGTGTGGAATGGTCGGTGGAGGTACATTGTTGGTGTAGAGACCTGCAGTGGACGAGCCGAACAAGAGGGGAGGCGAGTTTACGGAGTGGTGGCTGGCGGCTAGAACAACAGGATGGTGACGATGACTCGACCTGCCTGAACTGAAGCAGGCCGAGCGTTTAAAAGGAGGCCGTTACGCGGACAAGCACGACGTACGCTACGGGACAAGGATTTGGGCCTCCCAGGCCTGGCGGTTGGATAGAGCCACGAGGCAGTTAGCGTGGAGAAAAGCGAGCAGAGAGAGATTTGTGGAGAAGGAAACACAGGACTGTAGGGGTCGTTGCGTTGCGTGATGACAGCTGGGGCGCTTCTTTACAGTGCATGCCTTGGATGGAGTGGATAGCAGGGAAGGGAGAAATGCAAGATGGGGGAATCTAGAGCAAAAGGCGGTGAATAGGTGAGTGAACAGGTCGAAAGAGATCAAGAACGTCTTAGTGCGGTTTTCATTTTTCCCAGGCTCGGAGACAGGTGACCACAAAGTGACGAATATTTGTGGAGCTGCTATTCGCATCGAGCCGCTTCGACAGAGGTTGGGGCAAAGCAAAGCAGTGATGGGGGGATGAGTGATTGGCGCAACCGTTGTACAGTGCTGTATGGGCAGAACGGGACGACCGAGGTTAGGGGGGTTTTTGAAGCAGAACAAAAGATGCTGATGAGAATCGGGAAAGTCGGAGACAGGAAGTGGAGCTGGTCGGCCAGCTTTGCGGCCATCTGGAACAGACCTAAGAGGGCTCTCCAACCGCCCTAGTTGTCTCGCTGGGCAGCGCAAGGTGCCTGCCCTCACGCTCAGTTACGACTGCTATTGCTGTATGCATTGTCCTCTTTAATGTATACTCCAATTCCAAAAAAAAAAAAAAAAAAAAACAAGAGGCGACGAAATCGTCTTAGGGTTGCGAAGCATTTTACGTAACGATATGTACACAATTTTTTACATTTTACATAACGACATGTACCGTACACAATTTTCTACAAGTGAGAATACTTTTATAAAAACCTGTGGTAATTGACATTTATAGCAACGACTCGAAAAACAGCTTCAGCATGATTCGAACCTACGACCTTCGTACCCACCGCTTTTCTCCTACCGACTGCACTAGCGCTACTGCAAAGAGAAGCAACGTAATAATCTAAATTACATGAAGTAACGACGAATCTGACACTTTGTTAGGGTTGGCTCTTCCTTTCTTTCTCCCTCCCTTCCGCTCGCTGGTTTAGCTCCCCGCTACTCACGCCCCACCTACCCGTTCCTACTAAGGTGAGAACAACTCTACCTTACCGTTTCAAGTAGAATTAAGTTACCTGATTTCTAGCGAGACTAGCATGCGTTAATCTCGTACATAGTTGTTTACTCTTACCCTGGCCGCGTTTTAAAAAGATAGTTTGATTAAGCCTATGTTCTAGGTTCTAGGTATTCGTTTTCTCTTTCTCTTTTCTTCTCGCCAGTGGAGCTTGTTCTTTTGCCTCACGCTACTTACGGTCCACCTACCACTCCAAGGTCAGAAAGTTTAAGATGTCATTTAGAGTTGTTAGCTCATGGTAAGATGTAAGCTCTTATTGTCGTCATTTACTTCCTATTCTTAGTTAGCCCTCCCTTTCCTACTTCCTCTCGTTCTGCTGACGGGCTACGGGACTTCCGCTAGGTAAGCTCCTAACTTGCAACTTATACGCGTTCGATACCTGTTAGGTCGACTTAATTCTAACACAGGACGGCTTAGATCTAAACTAGGTCGGCTTAGATCTTGTTTTTACACATGTTTTTTTTCGAAATCGTAGAAATCGTAATTTATTGAACACTCTCTCTATCTCTCGTTCGTTCTCGCTCGTTCTCTCTCTCGTTCTCTCTCTCTCGTCCTCGTTCTCTCGTTCTCTCTCTCTCGTTCTCGTTTTCTCTCGTTCTCTCCCTCTCTCTCGTTCTCGCTCTCTGTATTCGTTATATTCTCTTCTTTCGTTTACTGTCTCGGTATTTTGTTCCTCTATTCCCGTTCCTTATTTTCGTTTTATGCCTCGTTAGATTCTTCTCCATGCTCTTTGTCAAGTCTAACCATTCAATGCTCACGGCGTTTTTCTTAGCCCTTGTATTGATTCATTTGTTTCTTCGTTATTCCTGTTTCTCTTCATTTCATCACACCTTATGCCTTTTTTCTGTTTTGTTTGTTGTACCGGCTATTCATTTCCGTTCCTCCTTTCCACTTCCTAAACCCGTTTGTCAGGGGCCTTTCCGGTCAGGAACGCGATTTCAATCCAGAAAATGCGTATTGGTCACTAGGATTTATCGTATTGTCCTTTTAACATTGATTTACTTGTTATGTAGTTCGCGTCGCGTGTATCTCGTGTTTTTTGGCTGGGTTTGCCGGAGCTCGTGTTTTTTATTGTGTGAATGTGTTTGTTCGTGTGAGTGCATTCATCTCATCTGTCATTGCAATATCAATGCATGTCTGTCAATTTTAAAAAGGGGGTTCATTTCTATCATTTCTCATTGGTTCATTGGCGCACTCAGTGACTCGTGTGTTTGCCACTTCGAACTGGATTTGATAGAGTGAACCTCTTTTTTAGAGTTAACAGATTGTATTTTTTCATGTGCTAGTTGATTATTCAAAGATTTTGCTATTGACCTCCCCCCCATGCTAGGCAGGGGATGGCGATAGCTTAGTTTTTGGGTTGTTAACTGTCACGCATTTTATCATGTGCATGTGCATTATTCATCACATAACACATGCATTATATACATCATTCTATGCATTATGCATTGTATAGCATCATTTATGCATTACGCATGCACCTCTTCATCATTACACAACATCATCTAACAGTAACATATAATGCAAACAGTACAGCAAATCTCCATTAAACAATTGCAAAATATTCATATGGAATAATGCACTATGAACAGTACCGTATTCAAAACTGCTCAACATGCATACAGTATGGGAAGGGTAGTACTGTAGTTGACAAATTTTATTTTCATTATTTTTTTAAAAAATATTAACATGAAAATAAAATTTGGCAAAATCGATCGTAAAGGGTTGCTTCGCAACCCAAAAAAAAAACGGGACGACCGAGGGGGGACCAGTTGAAGGGGAGACCAGGGATGGGGGCCTTGCGCCGCACAATTATGTACAGAAGCGTGCCAAGCAGAAAGGCATGAAAATTCTGGCGTGAATAGCCCGTAAAGTTTTAACCTCCAAAGAACATTCTCAATATTCCTTCAATTACAGCTCGGCTTAGGGCGGGTCCGAAGTGAAGCCGACATCCGTTTATATCCGATGTCGGTAAATCCTGACGGTTGGAACTCTCGATCCGAGGGTTCACATTACCAACATCCATCGAGATCCATTCGACGCTTCACTTCGGACACGCTCTCAGAACCTTTGGTTGTGAATGTTTCGTTGTGTGGGCAATGCTGCTTGTACAACCTGGACTGAGGCTAATGTTGCCAGGGTGAATGCTGCTGGAAAACATTCAAGTTCGCGGACATGTACAGTGCTGTACGATGCCAAGAAACTGATTGTCGTTCCGCCAATCAGCCGAGCTGCAAAAGTGCGGTGTTATCATGAGGAGACGAGAGGGAGAGTGCAGCACATTTGTCCACATCGATAAATGAAGGTGATAATATGCAAAAAAAAATTCCGTGCTCTGCATTTTAGACTAATGATAATCTGTTTTGTCTGATATTTGACTGCCATTCACACAGGAGGCTTTGAGCAGTTTATCTCAACTATTAGAATAAGCTGCTTGCTGCTTCACCTGACCAGATTTTACCCATGATCCAGCACAATACAAAGCTCTTCACCATACCAATTGAGAGGTTTTGCCACCTACATGTGAATTCTCGATCAGCACGAATCAACTCATGCTGCCAGCCAATACTGTGCGAAATCCCTCACCACGTTCCTACAGCACCATAGCTAAACTCGGACTCCCCACTCTCTCCCTCCCAAGACCCTTTCCCAACATCCCCACTTTCATCATCATCCCTTAGCTTCATGCCGCCCTCCTCAGCTCCCTCCATTGTCACATCTTCATCCGACCCAAAACCTCCCTCCTCCCTTCGACCAGGAGTCGTGCAAACGACAACATCAACTGCCATTTCCCCTCCCTCCATATCAACAGCTGCATCCCCTCCTCCACCATCCCTTCCCATAAACCCTACATCCATGCCCACATCTACAGAATCTATAGCATCTACGGCATCTACAGCTTCTACAGTAGCCTCGGCCCCATGCTCCATAACCCCATCTAGAATCTCCTGCCCCTCCCCAACCTGCCCAGTAGCTTCCCACAGTCTCTCTGCCCCACCACCATCACTTCTCTCCTCCCTTAACCCGCCCGCCCCTGCCGAATCCACTCCACCTGGTGCCGACAAGACCGGGCCTGCCACATTAACAGACAAACTACTCCGCCCCTTACCGCGCACTGCCAACCCCATCTCCCGCTTGATAGCACCCCAGTGCCCGTCAATATTCCCTGAGAAGCTTCTCGCAAGCTTCCCCACCCCTCTAGTAGCCTTCTCCACATTCCTCACTGGCTTCTCTAGCATGCTTCCCATGCGAGGCGTGGGAGGTAGAACCCGGGAAGGCCTATCTGGGACAGGCAGCGGCACCCCTCCTGTCGACACAGAAGCTGCCACCGCTGATAGCTTATCAGCAGCAGGGCCTAACCCCGACCCCTTGGAGCTAAATGATCTTCGCAACAGCTGCCCGCGGGGCGACGACGCTTCCCCACTAGAGCCACCCCCAGAGCCCCCCCCACCAGGTGTTACTACCTTGAGACCTGTCCCAAACTTGTGCAGTAGCTTCTTAGCACCCCGAGCACCAGACGAGCCAGCCCTCTGCTGGCCTTCCACGCTTGGCCCTGACCCTACGCCCTCCTCTGCACCCCGTAACTCCATCTCCCCTGCCCCCACCTCATCCTCCCCCTCGCCCTCCCTCCCTTCCGCCACATCCCCCCCATCCAGAACCCCCGTCCCTCCAGCACCCCCAGCTGCTCCTGCATCCTCTGCTGCAATCTTCCGCCGCTCTGCATCCCAGTCCCGGCCAAACGCCGGCCCGCCCTCCGACAGATTCCTCCGAAAAAACATCTTCGTGGGGACTCCGATCCGAGAAGCGCGGCGCTCCTTGGCTGTGGGGTCGGACTGAGGCGCGTTCTTGCCACTCCGGAAGAACCCAGGCGAGGGAGGCACGTCTCTGCCTACAGGGCCATCATGGGAAGCCATTCTTGTGTGGTGTGGTGCGGGTTTGGGTTCTCTCCTCTTCCTCCACCGCTCTGCTGCTGCTGCTGACACCTGCAGAGGGCCGCTGGCTACCCTTCGACTGAGCTCCTTAGGGTCTACTGTGCCGGCTAATCCGCTGCTGGGATGCACGGGGCTGTCGCTGGCGATTCTAGGCAGGTGCGGAAGGGAGATGCTGTTGCTGTCGTCCTGTGAGGCGTGGCTCAGTTGACTTGCTTGACTGTCCTGTGGCGACCAGCCTGGTAGGGAACTACAGGAAGCATCAAACGGGCTGCCGCTGCTGATGCTGCTCGGGTTAAGGCCCGCTTCCCCTGCCCCAGCTGCTGCTGTGCTCGTGTCCTCGGCCTCTCCTACCCCTTCCCCTTCTCTCCCTTCGCTCCCATTGACCTGCCCTGCTGCAGACCCTCTTTCTTCTCCTCCCTGCGCACCTGCCTCCCCGTTTTCCCCCATCACCACGTCCCCCTCCTCCCCTCCCCGCGCATCTAGCTCCGCCTCCTCCCCCTCCCCCCCCATCCGCGCCAGCAGCTCATCCTTATCCGCGCAATCCCCCTCACCCTCCTCCGCCTCCCCCGCCCCCCCCCCCGCTTCCTCCCCTTCCCCGCCGCACCCTTGTCTCTCCTTACTTCTCTGCCGGGGCTCCTCGAAGATCTCAATGGTGGGTGGCTGCGTGCAGTACACAAAGGACTTGAGCGCCGCGCTACCGCCCTCCCTCAGAGGCTCCTGCTGCTTCCTCTCGATGAGCACTCGCAACAGGTCCATCACCTTCACTGCGTGTCTGAGCCCCATAATAGGGTCAAGCACCTGGCGGGAGGAGGATTGGAGAAAACAGATTAGCTAATCACCTGCCGAAGCAGCACCTCCTCTCAATGAGCACTCACAGTAAGTCCATCACCTTCACTGCGTGTCTCAATGCCATAATAGGATCGAGTACCTGGCGGCATGAGGACGGGAAGAAAGGGATTTCTTAAGCTCGTGAATAAGCGATTCTGGCTGCTGATTCCCCTTTATCCGTTCGATGAGTCCATGTGACTGGCTCCCTGCTGCACTCAATCAACGGTCAGACCTACCTGCATGCGCTGACTCAATCCCTTTGTGAATCACCTGATGATCTGATCACCAGGTGATTTGAATCATCTCATTGCAACCCACCTGCGTCATGTTGGGTGTGAACGAACACCACCACAATGTTCCGCGCGTTCATCTTGTTGCGCTCTTCGAAATATACCACCCCACCTGCTCCCTCTCTCCGTCAGCCCTCTGCTCTCTGCTCTCCACTCTCTGATCCGCACCATGTGATGCTACAGTTGAACCACCTCAACCCAGCTTAACCCAGCTCGACCCACCTGAGTCATGTTGGGAGCGAACACCATGGCAATGTTCCGTGCGTTAAACTTGTTGCGCTCCTCGAACTGCACCACCCCATCATCTCCCTTTCTGTTCTCTGCTATCTGCTCTCTGCTCTGCACCATGTGATGCTACACCCGAGTCACCTCAACCCATAATAACCCAACTCGACCCACCTGAGTCATGTTGGGCGCGAACACCATGGCAATGTTCCGCGCGTTCATCTTGTTGCGCTCCTCGAACTGCACCACGTCCGCCATGAGCCCCACCACCCAGTCCAGCAGCATGCTCTGCGTCTCCGGCAGCTCCGCCACCAGCGCCAGCATCTGCTCCTCCGTCTCGCACGCCGCCACCACCTCCACTGGTAACGAGTCCAGCAACCCTTGTGGTAACTCGCGGAACCACGCCTGGCGCGAGGGGGAGAGGGGAGGAAAGCGGGTGAGGGGGCGGGAGGGGGGGGGGGGGGGGGGGGGGGGGGGGGGGGGTTGGGTTGGGAAGGTGAGAGGGGAGAGGTGTACGGACAGGCAAGCCGAGGGCATCCTCTGCGTCTCGGGCAGCTCCGCCACCAGCGCCACCAGCGCCAGCATCTGCTCCTCCGTCTCGCACGCCGCCACAACCTCCACCGGCAACGAGTCCAGCAACCCCTGAGGCAGCTCGCGGAACCACGCCTGGCGGGGGGAGGAGCGGGAGAGGGGAAGGTTGAGGCCAGTGGCGCAATATCTAACAGCGCTCTGCAGAACGCAAATAGACTTCGGCTCGCCTCGTTACGGGATAATACGTTGGCCTTACGGACTGGTAACAAGCCTTGCCCGAAGCATTCTCGCAGCCCTCTCTCAGACCTTTTGCAGCGCTCTTGCAGAACTCTCGCAACACTTTCGCAGCGCTCTCACCTTGATCAACCCCGCGAGCGCGTGCACGTTGATGCTCTGCGGCACGAGCCCCATGTTGACCTGATCCCTGATCTCGTCCTCGTGGTCGTTCTCCGCCGCCACGCGGAATATGCCCTCCGTCTGTACGCGGGGTGCAGAGATGGGATGGAGTGGGGTGGACGGGGGAGGACACAGGGGAGGACGGAAAAGAAGGGGAGGGAGGGAGCATTGAGACTAATGCCGGACTCGTCGAGAGGGTGGAGTGGACAAAGCAGGGGTCAGGACGCAAGGGACGCGGGAGGAAGGGGGAAGCGGCGTACCTGGCGTCCCTTTTGACAAAAGGGACATCCTGCTGCAGCGTGCGTAAAAAGGGACGCACGCTGTTGCCGAACTCGTTGAGAGGGAAAAGAAGGGGAGATGGGGACGGCTGGGGGGGAGCGGGGAGAGGCGTACCTGGAGGCCCTTTTTGACGTATAGCAGCGCCTGCAGCTGCAGCAGGATGTTGGGCACGCTGTTGCCGAACTCGTCCTGTGAGCACTGCAGCAGTTCCGGCTGCACGCCGAACACGGACCGCCTGGGGGAGGGGTGGCGGGAGAAGGACAAGGGGAATACGACAGGAGGGAAGGGGAGAGTGCGGGGCCGGGACAGAGAGGAATGAAGGCCCTGTAGCAGGGAGGAAATAGGGAATGGTGATAAGGACAACAAGGTTGCGCGTTGGCGGAGTCTCCAGGGACGTATTGACGCCCTTCTCCAGCTCAATCGCGCTACCCGTCCGCCTTCCTACCGCCCGCTTCTGGCCGCACACTCTAGACGCGCGAACAACGACCGCATAATACCCTTCACGCGCGTCACAAACGGACTCCCCGTACACTCTAAAGTGCACTGGCACGCCCTAGCAGGCACTGACACGCACAGACACGCTCTAGCAGCGACCGCAGCTTACCCCGCACTGGGCGCGCGGCACGGCAGCTCGCCCTCGATGTCTTCCGGGAGACCCAGGAAGCCCTTAAAGCGGTCGAACGTGACGTGCGCCACGTGCTTCACGTCCGTTGGCTCGCCGATCTCTAGAGGGTGGCCGTCATCGTCATCGTCTGAGCGCAGCCGACGGTCAAAAATTGGGGTTGAGATATACAACAGGAAAAAAAAAGGTGAAAACAAATTTAAAAAAAACAAGGGTGTAGGTGCACGTGCTTTACGTCGGTCGGCTTAACGGTCTCCAGGGGAAGGGCGTCGACGTAATCGTCTGAGGGGGGAACGGCGGCGAGGAAAGTGTCGGTGGACGGCAAGCAGATGGACGGTGCTTTAAGCGGTCGAACGTGACGCGCGTCACGCGCGTCACGCCCGTCGGCTGGTCAATTTAAGAGGAAGAATGTCCACATCATCGCGCGAGGCGATGACGGTGGCCGGTAAAAAGACGGCGGACGGCAGCCGGCAAGTGAACGACAAAAAGACGCAAGGCAGCAAACAGACCGACAAACGCATCAGCAGTGAAAGGGGTAAATGACAGGGGACCAGATAATTGAAGTACGAAGTGACAGAACAACGACCGAAGAGACGACATAGGCCGTTGATGGGTGGTAAGTGCACGATGACAACTCAGGTTCGAACGCTGTCAGCCCGACAGTGACAGAAAGAATAGACGAAACCAAGACAATAAGGAACTTTCCCGCATCGTTCGAGATGCTGTGGAAATATAATATACTGTATCGAAGTACATCAACGAGCGGGGAGAAGCGCAAAGACTGACTCACGACCAGTCAGTACTAATGGAGGATTAGAGCGGCGGCGTGAAGAGGTCTGATGATATGTATGCATTGGTACAAATGCTTATCACGACCCGCAATAAAAAACGCTAACTCCTATAATGCTACGAAATGTCGCATGACGGTGGCCACCGCGTCTCCAGACATGTCGCGTCGCGACCTAGACGTGTTCATCTGCACGGGCGCTCTGAGCTGCAAGGATGGGAATGAACGACCTGTACGAGCTAAGGCGGACTACACTCGAGAGAAGTGCTACACCTAGCTTGATGCTACAATTTAGTTGCCGGACGCGGAAAGATCAGTGGAATAGGGAGCTTGGAGAACGTACCGTGACACTAGAGAGGGAAAGGTATAAAGCATAATGAAGCCGAAACCGACGGTACCTAAGGAGCCTACTATACAACCAGTGGAGTCTCCTTACACTCTTCCCTGTCTCATGGGAGGACTCTTTCGAAAGAACATTAATATGTTTAGCGATTTGTTCTAGGAGCTTGGACAAGCAACACCTCGCTTTTCCTGGTTTGAGCGTGGCACAGCAGCACGACCACGACGTACCACGATCTCTCTGCTTGCCGATACGACCAAGTGTCTTCACTACGCCTTTAAAGCCGCCGTTTATCACGTCCATCTCAGGTACTGCTGGAAAGCCTAACCGTCGACCTGGAAAAATAAATACTCCAGAGTCTAGACTAGGCTAAGACAACTACTGAAGAGAAGCCATAACTAGGTTTGGGAGGCGAGGCGGAGTCGGTGGGGTGGAAATGGAGAGAGGGGAGACCATGGGGAACGGGGGAAAGGGAGGAAATTGAGGAAAGGGAGGAAAGGTGGAAAGGGAGGAATGGTGTAAAGGGAGAAGGGGAAAGGGAGGGCAGGGCAGGAAGAAATGGGGGAAAGGGACAGCACGCACGAGGAGATTGAAACAGACGGAGCCTACCACAACCTATGTGAAAACGTTCTATGCGCTCGATATGGTCACAGATGTTCGCCTCCCTGAAGCACGATCTTGGCGTTGCCGGAGTGATAGTAGCGAACGAACTGTAGATTCGCTGTGCCGCGCGGGTTGGTGTGAATTTCGGCTGTCACCACTTGCACTGGGGAAGGTCAACTGGCGGATGCAGGCGAGCCCGTGTAGTGGATGCACAAAATTCGTTACGCGAGGCAACCATTGTATACAACACAATTCCTACAAAATTCATGCCAATACACAAGAATAGCTAACAAGATATGTTAGTTCTCCTCAGCCATGTGCGGTACATGCTACAGAGATCAGGCAATCAAAAGACTACCAAACTCCATTCGTTAACACAATAACTGGGCTATTGGCCCTACCACCTGTGATACGCATAGAGTGTATGACCCTATTCCAGTTACTATCGAGCGTTGTGACAGAGTAGTCACACTCTGCTGCCAGCATGAGGTTCACTAGGCTAGACTCCACCGAGGCACGCAAATCCCTTGTCTCTGTCTTCTTTTTTTATTGGCTTTTGGGGTTCCACTTGGGCTCATTCCGCGTGGATATTGCTTTGCAATGTCAATAACCTCCTGTGTATCCGTTGAAATCCACATGCGGTGCAGCGATGGGTCATGCACCCTCAGCAGCATGGCAGCCCTCATCCATGTAGCAACCGACTCCGCCTTTCCCAGCTGGATCTTATCTCCCTGACGCACATGCATGTGCAACATTGGCCTTGGAACAAACAGCTCCTCTCCCAACCAATCCTGCATCGCCATGTCATGTACAAGAGTCTCATTCGCCCTCCGATTGTCAAACGATGGAGATGCGAGGGCAGAATCGAAGGAGGATAAGCCGTCCTCTGTTACAGCCTGAGCAAAGCCAGCTTCTGTAATTCTGATGGCAGCATCCCGGCCAAAGGCCCTGTGCCGTGCAATGTTGGTGAGGTGGCAGAGGTACAGCGACGGCCATCGCAGGAGGAAGCGGATGGCCTGAGCTCGCCACCACGAGATCTGGAAGGATATGGGCATGAAAAAAACAGGTGGCAGTGATGTGACTGAGGGGCGGTGGTGATAAGTGGGGGGCGGTTGTGGTGATGTATTAGGGGTTGTGGTGATGAGCTAGGGGTGGTGTGGTGGTGATGAGTTAGTGAAAATGGTCATGACTTTGGGTTGGTGGTGACGAGTTGGGAGTGGTAGTAATGAGTTTGGGATGGTGGTGAGGAGTTAGGGGTGGTGTTGAAGAGTGCCGGTGGAGGTGAAGAGTGATGGGTGGTGAGGCTGTTGTGGGTAACATTGCAGTTTTTCCCGCATGAAGTATGTGCTCAGTTTACTGGGGGAACACACTTCTTCCTGACCCACCTTAGAAAACGTCTGCGGTAGATTCCCATACCAATGCCGATGGCCAGTTCGATCCCATGGCTCCCCCCACTTGCTGCAGGAGGAGATAAACACAAGGGGTGACAATCAAACAGGAAACCGGAACCTCAGTTAGGTTTTGCGCCAGGAGTATGGGGATCCAGTCATGATGCGAAAACAGTCTGAATGTTCAGAGCCAGAGTCAGGCAAAAGAGGGCTTACTCAGGAACGAGCTCTCGATCAGAGAAGCATCGCATGCGAGGCTGGACCGCCACGCTGTCACTCAACGCTGCCTCCATCACATCCTCGCACAGGGACCACTTCCCTTCCCCCGACCTGGGACTACCATTCCTGGTAGCTCCTATTGTTGCGTTCGCTCCCACTTGCACTAACTCATCTCCCCTTAGCCTCTGCGCTCTCTCGATGCACTCCTATGAGACTGGAGGAAAGAAATAGCAACTCAGATCGCCGGAGACGTTTCCAGGACACCCCGGGTGCTTCGCGCGACTGAAGCTTCCAGGAAGCGGTACGAGGATCCGGTTCGTCACAACTGCAACGGCCAAATGGACGGTCATGATGTGTAGCTGGGATCCGAACCCATGCCCGCCGAAATATATCCATGGAGCAATGAGGAAGCGGTGGGAGGGGGAGGAGCAGTTGGCGGGAAACTGGTGAAGCCAGAGATCACGCTGGATTGTGTGCGTCAGCGGGATATTCACGTCTACTCCCTCGCGCACCCATGGCGTGCGCGGCTCCCCGCCGCTGCTGCGCGCCTGCGGGGAGTCTCTGCCTACACCCGTCCACGCAGGGGGTTCTCCGTTTGCCCCGCGCCTGTCCATCCCCTCCGATGCGCATGTGGTTTCTGCGCAATCTTGGAGATGCGGCGCAAGAACGGGTGCGCGTAGGGATTGCGCCTCCTTGACTGAATCCTGCAGCGAATCGGTCGCATTTGACGGAGGAGACTGATCTTCCTCATCATCCCTGGACGGAATCTCCTGAGACTGCAACCTCCGGACCTTGCTGTGTCCATTTCCGGCCTTCGCTTCCCGCGCCTCCCCCGCTGTACTCCCAACACCATCCGAAGTCGTCGGTTTGTTCTCAGCAGGCTTAGCAGGCTGACCCGGCGACCAATCAGGCCGCTTTAAAACCCGCGGGCCAAGAATTTCAAGCTTAGGAAGCTTGGTTGGGAACAGATATGCCATTGGTACACGAAGGGACTGAAACGTCAAAAAGGTTGGACGAACGTTGTGAACTGCACACCTTAATCGCACAAACCCACCAGCGACCTTTCCCCACAACCCATCCAAATTTCTGAGTCTCACGCCCCAACAACACTTCTATTAGGACCTTAGTAAGCCTTACGTTGGTATCTATGCAACGTAAATCAGAGCAAGTAGAGTGACCCACCATCACGTAACATTCGAACGACCAGTGACTTCGTAACACATAGATTTCAAAGTCGTGTAACAAGGACAAAAATAGAGATACTGCCGGCGTCAACGCCCCCAGGTGCGGATTCCGTAAACGAAGCCCTTCACACAGCGGTTAGGGTTTGCTCGTGCCGGAATTTCCCAACCCGGGCTCGCCGCGCTGCTATTTCTTCCTGTCGCAGCGCGACGCCCTATCAGTCGCGCTGCTAGTTCATTACGTCTCCCGCTACACCATGTTCATCGACTTCCCCCTCCCGTCGCCTCCACTTCCCCCTCCCTTCGCCTCCACTTCCCCCTCCCTTCGCCTCCACTTCCCCCTCCCGTTGCCTCCATTTCCCCCTCCCGTCGCCTCCACTTCCCCCTCCCGTCACCTCCACTTCCCCCTCCCGTCGCCTCCACTTCCCCCTCCCGTCGCCTCCACTTCCCCCTCCCGTCGCCTCCACTCCCCCCTCCCTTCGCCTCCACTTCCCCCTCCCGTCGCCTCCATTTCCCCCTCCCGTCCCCTCCACTTCCCCCTCCCGTCGCCTCCACTTCCCCATCCCCCTGCTACCCTTGTCATTCTCCCTTCCCCTCTGCTCCATTCGCCCGCACTGCGCAATTTGTGCAGTTCTTCGTGCGCTCCGTCCCCGACGCACAGGTCAAGACCTACAAGTACATATTCAACTCCCTGCTCACGGTACGCCCTACCCTAGCCTGCCACCCTGCCCCACCCTGGCCCCTCCTATTCTTCCCTCCCTGCAGTTGTGTGCAACTTTCAAGTGTAAACACCCTAGACAAAACAAACCCCTCTCTCCACGCCATCCAGTGTTCATCCGATGCCAACTCCCTCCCCTCCCCATCCCCCTAAGCACAGCTGCTCGAGACCAACTCAGTGAGCATGCACATCCCGGGCGATGACTTGCGGCTGCTACTGGGCTTGAACGCTCCTTTGCCGCTGCTGCTGCCGATGCTGCAGTGCCTGATGACTCCTCGCTGCTTGACCAGGTGAGCCCGTCACCTTGTGTACCCACCTAAAGGCATGCCAGTTACCGACCTGTACCCAGTGTGGCCGCTCCCTGTCGGCCAGTCTTTCTGAGTCTTGTTTCTGCTTTGTAAGGAAATCCTGCTCAAACCATCTCCCTCTCTCTCTCTCTCGCTCTCTCTTTCTCTCTCTCTCTCTCTCTCTCTCTCTCTCTCTCTCTCTCTCTCTCTCTCTCTCTCTCTCTTTCTCTCTCCCTGCCTCTCCTGCATGCGACCATCTCGAGCTGCAGAACATAGTGCGCAAGATAGTGGACCGCAAGCAAGGAGCAGTCAGCCTTTTCGAGCTTCACTACTACATGCAGTCACACCCTGGGGTGAGCTTACAACCTTGAGTGCTTGCTGACGCTTGCAACACATTTTTCTCAAATCAGTTCAAACCACTCAGACCTCCAAATATGTGGCTCTCTATGCCTCTCCGCGCTTGAGCTCCCTCCCTGCATTTGCCGCCCTACTCTACGCTCCAATCAACACCTTTCTCTCTCATTTCCTAGGTTCCCCCCTCATGTGCTGCCCCCACATGCACCATCCCGTGCTGCAGATTGACGTGTTTGCACGGCTGTCCAGCATCAGCGACACAATGAGTTTGTACCTTCAAATGGGCATTCTCCGCGTGCGCGAGCACGTAGCTTGTGGCGACACCCTTGACACCTTGGCTGCTTCCATGCTGGAGGCAGGCACTGCTGCCTCGCTGCCGGAAGCAGGCGCAAGCGCTCTTGGAGGCATGAGATGGCTTTCCAGGGCTGTGCTTGCGATGCCGATGGCAGAGGAGCAGCACTTGCCCTTGAGAGGGCTGCGGCCCAACGTGGTGCAACGGGGGGCGGGCGATGGTGGGAGTTACGAGAGTTACGGGAGCAGTGCAGCAGGTGCAGCGGCGTATGAGATGTCCTAAATGAGGCTGAATGGGGAGCACTCAGGTGTGAACCTCAGATACTGATGGTGCTGAGATGACCATGCACAAGGATGTTAGGGAAGTGAGCAGAGTAGTTAGGCTACAGTTCTGTATCTTTGCACTCAGTCAATTGTAGGAAGCACTTGATGGCATCTTTGCTAGGTCAACTTTCAAGGCCACACGCTACTGATTTTTTCTTCAGCAAAACAAAATACACAATGAAGTTCTAACACTGGATCACAGCGGTAAGCCGATGTGCATGATGCAGATTCTTCCTGCTCTAGTCTCCAACTACCCTGAGCATGCTATCTCCCAGTCATGGCCTTAGAGCTCATCGTCCCCCACAACAGCAGCTGCCATGTCAAGCTCCTCCTCGTCCGGCTCCCCCGACTCCAGGTTCGGGTCCTTGCCGAACCTAAACGGCGGCGCCCTGACTGCGTGTAAGGTATGAGCCCGAACACCCGCGCAGTTCGCATTTCCCGAGCCACGCGGCGTTGCGCCTTGGCAGAGAGCCGAGTCTGCACTGCTGGCGTGGATAGTGACGGTCGGCGACATGGCATGAGGAGTGGAGGTGAATGACAAGCAAGTGTGCTTGTTAATGTGGAGAAATAGGGTTTACAACGAGTGTGAGTGAGGAGGATAGGCAGGCAGCACACATGGCAGTGCGCACTATAACTTGTACGAGGAGTGAGAGTAGATAGCACAGACAGTAGTGCAACTTGGAACCTAACATGAGGAGAGTGAGACTGCGGGCTCACCTTGTTCCTGGGTCTGATCTTGCCGGAAGCACATGCACCTGAATTTCAGAATTCTCAAGAAGCACATGCACCTACCTCTTGACCCAGTCAGCAGAGTTTCCCGTTCCACTATGCCCCTGTGTGCTGCCCATACTCCCATATACATATTTCACAATCCAACTTCGCCACTTCTCTGTTCCTCCCCTTGCCCATTCCCTCCCTGTGCCTATCCGCCCTCACTTCCCCCCCCTGTGCCTTCATTGCCCCCTCTCCATCCCTCCCCTCATCTCACGCGGAAGTCAGCAGCACGCAGAGTCTCCTTGGTGGTTGGGGTGGGCAGATTGCTAAAGCAAGTCCCTCGCGCCGTCTGGGAGAGGCTGAGATATGTCCATGCCCGATTGCCTGCTTAACTTGGCTACTTTGAGGGTCAGGGACGGGGGGTGGGAGGACAGGGAGAGATGCAGGGAAGGATGTGGGGTGGGGGGCGCGATGTAGGCAGAAGAGAGAGAGATGGGGGGAATGGAACATGTTAGGGAGGTGAGGAATGGGGAAGAGGAGCGGAGGCAAGGAAAATAGCGCATGGGCATAATAGCGCATGGGCATAGTGAAATGGACGGACGACACATATGAGGGGAGGTAACGTGCGATGGACCACCCATCTATTGCCATGCGCGCCTGCTGCTAACACCCCTCTCCGCCTCCCCCCTCGCCGTCCTCTGCCAGGCGACCAGGCACGCACATGCACACACACGTGCAGCACACAAGCAGCACGCATGCAATACACATGTAAGCCAAACGCGCTGCTGAGAGCCACGTGGCAGGACAAGGTTCTACCAATGAAACAGCGCGTGCGTGGCATGGATGACCTGGCTACCTAGAGCTTGGAGTGAGAAGCTGCTACGTTGTAACTGCATTCATTGGAGCCTAGCGTGTGACACTGCCACGTGTTCTGTGTGTGAGACTGCCACGTGTCAGCAGCGCTCAATGGAGAGCGCCTGCTGGATCCACTACCGCCACTCCCCGACCTCCTCCTTCCGCCCCTCCCCTCCACCTCCTGCCTCCGCCCCGCCTTCCCCCGACCCCCCGCCACCACCGCCCGCAATCTGATCCGCGCTGGCTGGGGCTGGGAGCGGGGCGAAGTGGAATGGCGCTGCAACGGGGAAGAGGGCGAGACGAGGAGAGGATAGGCATGGTTGAATGAAAGGTGAGGTGCGAGATGGTGCGTAGTAAACTGAGAGGGAGGAGGGGGCTTAGAGCGCAATGAAGCCCCCAGCGATCTCATCAGCGTAAGGGATGCGCGCGGAGAAGGAATTGGTAAGGGGATGGCGGAGCGGAACGGATGATGTCAGCATGATTGATGGCGGTGGGGTTTGAAGAGTTTGATCGACGGTTTGTAACGGGGACAGATTGATGCGATCGGACGGTCCAGAAACTCTCGAGGTACGCGGAGATCCCGAGGTGACGTCGCTCACACCAGGGGCAGGAGAAGATGACGTCACTAAAGCCACAATTCGCTGGCCTTCTCTCAAGCCGCGACGCGCCGACGTGGCAGCCGCCCGCCAGGCTAACTGAGAACAATGCGACAGCGCGAGTGTGCAACGGGAAATGTGCTTGTGCGAATGTGCCATGGCGAATGCGACAGCGCGAGGGAGCAGCGGCGCATGCGACGGTGCGAGTGTGCCGTGGCGAAATGCCTAACGCGAGTGAGCCGCGGCGAACCCTCAATATCACGAATGTTTCACACTCGTGCCAAGTGCGAGATGTGTCTTAGCAATCGTGGAGCTATGGGCAACGTAACCCTAAAGAATCTGGGCGCGACGCGCCATCGCATAGGATCTTGCTAAGGCCGTACGTGGTCGTCCCGATGGCATTAGATTGTACTTTATTCTCGTCATTAGTAGATTCCTAAGGCTTTGTGCGGCAATGTGGTTGCGTTGACGACAATGTTCACGCACCGGACGTTGTTGTCGAGCTGCGCATACGTCCAGTGCGGTTTGTTGGCGAATAGCTCTTGCTCAGCGACTATAATAGTAGTTCTTAGATAGCGGGTCTAATCTCTGGCGTTTTGGGACAAGTTTCTCTGGGCTAGTGGGTCATGTTTGTTGAGGTTGGTGTTGGGCGATCTTTCCGTGCGATGTTCATGGGGCTGAAACGTCGTTGCTACAGTGCTTTTGGTTGGCGAAAGTTGAGTTTGGGCCTTGTGTGTTGACCTTGTTGGCCCCTGGTGGGAACCGGGTTACACCCAACCAAGGTTAGGAAGCTTGAACTAGTTTCGTGCTTCTTGACCCTCCGGTTTTAAGGATCTGTTGAGCAGCTGCGCGCCGAGCGCGGAGAGCGCCGGAGGGTTCTCGCGATCGTCAAGGTTGTAAAGCTTTGTCCATGCCTACGACGGTCGGATAATGATGACCCACAGACAAAAAGATCAAGGGACAACTGTTACACGTCACGCTGACAGGCCGAGTACTGTGGTACACTCTCGAAATTAATCGAGTGTATCGTACTGTCTTCACAAAACGTGTATGAATTTCGACAATAACAGTTTCGTACATATAAAAGGTAACGAGCTTCGGAGTGCAAAAGCTGATCATCGACTAACTGAAATTCGGCGGCCGTTGCCTTCGCCATTGTCACGAGGATCGACGAAAAAGCATTGATCCGAGCAACGCCATGTGTTGAGATAGGAGCACAAGTGGTAGTTTAGTTTAGGTAGGGCCTAGTCTTATGTCAGAATGAGGAATGAGTGTTGCATTGATGTTGGTTGGGGTACATATGACAAACCCTAACTTCTGTACCCCCTAAGACAAACCTCACTACAGGCTACAACATTTGACACACCCCCATAGCCTAAGTGAGGGGTGTCTAGCAAAAACAAAAAGAGTACGGTCACAAGACCAGTCCAAAAGAAAACAAAGCTCAGGGTGGATCACAACGTCACCACACACTCTGAGCACAAGCAACAGTGGCCACAAGGCCAGTCCAAGAGATCACAAGTATATATAGTAAATGTACAGACGAAGCAGGCAATAAACTCAAGTCTACGCATGACTAGAACCTGTGTCAACAAGGCCTAACTGCACACAACACCTCTGGTGGTCACAAGGCGGAAGCGCCTTGGTGAAGATGTCTGCAGTGTTGGCCTCGGACTCTACGAACTCGAAGCGAGCCTGTCCACGCCTCTGCAACTCTCGCAGAAGAAAGTACCTGATGTGAATGTGCTTCACTCTGCTCTCCAGTCGCGGCTCACGACAGAGGAGGATCGACGCCTTGTTGTCAGTAAACAAGGTCGGTGCAGAGCTCGGCCGCTCACCAAGGTCAGTGAGCAAGAAGGTCAACCACCGCAACTCCTGTGCCGCCATGGCACCAGCGTAAATCTCAGCCTCAGCTGTAGAGGTCGAGACAGAAGAGGAGCGCGTGGAACGCCAGGAAACAGCTCCAGAACCCAGACTGAAACAGTACCCCTGAGTAGACCTGTGAGTCTCAGCGTCGTCAGCGTAAGAGGAGTCACAGTGACCAGTGAGTACGACAGACTGCTGCCCTCCAAGAACTAGCCCCACGCCTGATGTAGTCGCTAGGTACTTCGCCACCCTCACAGCTGCCGTCCAGTGAACAGGACGGTGTCTCCCTGGCGCAACAAAGCGCGCAAGGATGCTGAGAGGGAAGGCGAGGTCCGGGCGAGTACAAGTCATCAGGTACATGAGGCAACCCACAAGCTCTGCGTAGGGACCACTAGGCTCAAACGGCTCGTCAGGAAAGGGACCAGTGAGTCTGTGGTCAACAGCTAGAGGTGTGCGCTGTACGGCGGAGTGCTGAAGCCCGAACCGCTGAAGGACCTGCTGCACCATGTGTGACTGTGAGAGTGTAATGGTGCGAGCGGCTCTGTCCCTGGTGATCTGCAGGCCAAGGTAGTGGCGCAGTTCACCAAGATCAGTGCACGTGTGTCTCTTCTGCAGTTCGGACTTCACGTCTGCCAAAGCAACCCTGTCCGGAGTGGCGAAAACGAGGTCGTCGACGTAAACCAGAACAAAGAACGGTGTGGAGCCACGACGAACGAACAGCGACGGGTCGGCAGAAGACGGCTGGAACCCAAGGTCAGAGAGGGTAGAACGCAGAGTGTCGTGCCACTCACGAGGGGCCTGGCGAAGACCGTAAACAGGTCGCCTCAGCCTCCACTGGGTCCCAGGAGGGAAGGTGCCAGTGAAGGCCGAGGGACGACGCAACCAGACCTCCTCGTGTAGGCTGCCCTGAAGGAAAGCAGTGGAGAAGTCAAGAGAGTGTAACTCGTAGTCTCTCTGTGCTGCTACGTGTAGTAACACCCGAAGAGTGGTCATCTTCGGGGTAGGTGCGAAGGTCTGAAAGAAGTCAACTCCCTCGCGCTGACTGAAACCTCTAGCCACGTAGCGCGCCTTGAAGACCGGGGGAGATCCCGGTGGCCGCTTCACCCTGTAGATCCACATGCCGTCGACTACGTTCGCCCCCGGGGGGGGAACCTCATCGACGTAGGTGCCTGTGGATCTGTAGGAGGCCATCTCTGCGTCCATGGCAGCTCTCCACTGAGAGGCCCAAGGCCCTGACACTGCCTCAGCGTAAGTGCGAGGAGTCGGAATGTCAAGGGCGTCGGGGTCACCCTCAGGGGCGAGGAGCATGGCACAGAGATGAGGGGAAGCGGCCGCCAGGAACTCTAGCTCAAACTGCCTGTCCTCTAGGGCGTCACGGCCAAGGGCAGACACACCCCCGACGGCCAGAGGACTGGTAGGAGGAGCAGCCACAAGCGTGGTGGCGTAGTCAAGGCGGCGGGTAGAGGCAAAGTCAGTAACTGCGGCAGTAAGAGCGGACACAGAGGACACAGAGGCACGAGGGTGAGTAACAAGAGAGGCGAGAACACGAGAGAGAACAGGACGGTACGTGCGGTAGTAGTCAGTGACAGGAGTAGGGAGCGACACAGTGAGGGCCGACTCAGGAGGAGACGGAAGCACAGACTGAGACGGACGAGGTGGACTAGAAAGAAGGAAGGCAGTACGAAGGTCAGTGAAGGGAACAGGAGACGAGGGACGAGCACGAGGGGAGCGACGAGTAGCCCAAGAACGAGACGGAGGAGAAGAGGACAAGGGCGGAGAACTGGGGAAAACAGCGGGGGAGGAGTCAGGAGGAGGAAACGTGGGACCGTAGACAGGAGGAGAGGCGGAGGAGGGAGGAGAAGGGGAGGGGAGACCAAGGATCCGAAGACCCGAGACAGGAGGAGGAAGTGGCTGCTGCTGCTGCGGCTGCGACTGCTGCTGCTGCGGACGCGGCTGCTGCTGGGACTGCTGCTCCTGCGGGTCCAGCTGCTGCTGCTGCTGCTGCTGCTCCTGCGGCTCCAGCTGCTGCTGCTGCTCCTCCAGGCGCTGTAACTCCCTCTCCTCTCTCTCCAACGCCAGCTGCTCGTCACGGGCACGGCGAACACGAGCCTGGTGCCTAGTCGGGTAGGGGTGGGGGGGCGGAGTAGTGTCCGAAGCAGCGGCAGCTCCAGAGTCCACTCCAGAAGAACTAGGCTCACCACCCCCAGAGGCAGCACTAACACCAGCTCCAGACCCAGGCTCACCTGAACCCAAAGGAGGCGCACCCTCACCCCCAGACGCAGCACCCCCAGTGTCCGCGCGGCCAGCACCAGCTCCCGGACGACAAGCGTCCTCTGCACCCACCTGGTCAGCTCCAACTCCAGAACCAGAAACTCCAGCTCCAACCCCAGCTCCAACTCCAGCACCCCCAGAACCAGAAACTCCAGTGCCAACTCCAGCTCCAACTCCAGCTCCAACTCCAGCTCTAACTCCAGCACCCCCAGAACCAGAAACCGGTACAGGAACAGGCGTCGCACCAACCTCTCGAGAGCTAGCACCAGCGGCACGCTGCGAGGAGGACTGTGGGGAGGGAGGCTGTACCGGAGGGGCTACCGAAGGAGGAGGGGTAGCCTGGGACACACCTGACGGGGCTGGACCAGGGGGGGGAGGCTGTACCGGGGGAGCAGGAGGGGGAACGGCAGTCAGGAAGAGGGGGGGAGGAGGAACCGGGAGACCTCGACTGGGGTACCTGACGTAGTACGGAGTGGACTCCTCGAAACGGACGTCACGGGAGTCAAAGAACCGGTGAGAGGGAGGGTGGTAAAAGGTGAAGTCAGAGGAGTCCTCAGGGAAACCAAGGAAGACACAGGGGACGGCACGAGGCGAGAGCTTGTCCGCGGAGGTGTCGCGGACAAGAGCCAAGCACCCCCAGACACGAAACCGCGACGCAACACCAGGGAACCCTGTCCAAAGACTGGTCGGTGAAACCTCTGGTCGAGAGACACGTGGCCAGAGGTTCAGCTGGTGCGCGGCGTACCTGACCGCGTAGGGCCACAGAAAATGGGGGGCACAGGCGTGAGTCAGGGAGGTGCGTGCGATCTCCATGACCAGGCCTATGCGGCGCTCAGCAACCCCATTCTGCTGTGGGGACTCTGGAAGCGTCCAGGACTGACGAATGCCCTGCTCGCGACAGAATCCAGCGAGAATGCCGGAGCGAAACTCACCCCCACGGTCGGAGTGGAGACAGCTGACACGACGACCACGAGTGTCCTCGGTGGTGAGCAACCACCTGATCAGCGTAGAAGTCACCTCAGACTTCTTCGCCAGAGGGAACACTGTGGTGTAGCGGGAGAAGTCGTCAACGACCACCAGAAAGTAACGCTCACGCTCAGGGCCTAGACGAGGGGCTGGGCCCCAGACGTCCAAGTGAAGCGTCTCAAAAGGCTCGGTGGCCGGACGAAGGGAGGAGGAGTGAGGGGTGGCGCGCAGCCTACCCTCGACGCAGGGACGACACGGCGGCGCAGGCGAAGGCGGCAGCGACGGCAAGACACGTGGGAGGCCTAGGACAAGACGCTGACTAGACATAGCGCGCAGACGTGGAAGGGACGGGTGCCCCATCCGGTGGTGCCACAGAACGGTGGGGTGGGCAAGCGACCGGCAGGAGCA